GGCCATGGTACCATGGTGGACCAGTCACTTACGAGACATGCATCAGTTGTTCGGGTCATGTTTATTCCCAGGAAGATCCAGGTGAAGAAGAAGAAGAAGGTGTCAACGCCACCAACGAGACCAATACAAGCATGGCATCTCTCCCGCAGTGAGTTGCAGCCTTTCTTTCCCGATTCGCACACTGTTCTGTTTTGTTTCTTCTTGTTTTCAGTGCATACTGTTCGGCTGACACCAAACATATTGTAAGGTTGATTGCAACGAGACGGACAACGAATCAGAGGAAAATGTGTCCAACGAGAGCTACCACGAGAGATACAACGAGAGCTACAACGAGAGCTACAACGAGAGCTACAACGAGAGCTATGATTGGCTGAATCAGACGCCTCTCAACTTCACCATCAGCTCTGCAGATAACTTCAGTGAAAACGCCACGGACAACTTCACTGCTGCAGCAGCAGCTGCGGGCAAGCGCGGCGCCTTGGCAAGCACAGGCAGAGCACCAGGGCTTCCAAATGGCCTTGCAGAGAGCAAGGGTGAGACAAGGTTTTGTTCGCGGCGCGTCAATGCAAATTGGAGGATTTATTGCCCTCAAACAAACAAGTGCCGCCTGTGCGAGAATTCAAGGACCGAAGATGTACTTCATTGTGGAGCGCATTGTGAGTGGCCCGGTGTGCTCGGCTTAGCTCCCTTCCGACTGAGTGGATGACCTGTCAACAGCATAATCTTGGGACCCTTGGCAGGTGGCAAGTGCATGGCTCCACGCAACCGCTAGATCACAATCACCAGGCAGGCAACGGTGCTCGCCTCAGAATGCGAGTCCGAGAGCGTGGCTCGCACCTCGCCAAAGCAGACGGGAAGTCTCAGCCCGTCTGTGCAGCTCCGCTGATTTGATTTTAGATGTGCTTTGCCATTTGTTACTGCTATGGGGCACATGCCAGCTGCCACCACTTCACAATTTTGTCCCGAGACAATGTGCGTTTAACCGCCGGAACCAAGCCTGCGAAAGCCTTTGTGGTTGGGGCACGCCTGACAAGTCGCAGTGGGTCGAGCAAGCCCTGGCTGTAGTCAGCATTCCGGATTTACGTTTCAACAAAAAGCTGCATATACTCGGTCTGCTATTGGACTGTTGGAGCTTCCACCTTGCACATTGCGACATAGGTTTCACAATGCAAACACTACGACGGGTGAGATGACGGAAGTTCGAGATTCCACAGTCATGGCATTTCCACGAGTTAGGCTGTTCACACGCTATGGTTTTGTTTGCTGTGGAGGAAGGACTCTTTCTGAGTGTACGGCTCCGCTGTACTAGGGTTTAGGGTTCCCAGCTGTCAATTTCAGCCATGGAGCCATCTTGTTTTTGCACATATGCTTTGGAGCCATCCTGCTTTTGCACACATTTGCTTGGCATTGAGCGGTAGAACAACCAACACTATGACGGGTGAGACGAAAGTTTAGCTTTCTGAGTGTGAAGCTCTATTGTATTAGGGTTTAGGGTTCTCCGCTACCCACGAAGGATGACATTGATGCAGGTGAGTGGTGCAAGAGTTCTCTGATTGGGGGCGCTGGCAGTTTGAGTTGCGCCTGTTTAAATTTGGGGTCTTGGGCAAATGAAATGTTTTCAAGTGCCCAGGCACAAAAAATCCTGGCCATTCTTGCAGGGGGGTGCTTTCCGTGTCACTTGAGGCCCGAAGACTAAAAGTAGAGAAGTTTGAGGTTCCAAAAGCCATGGCATTTGCACAAAGGCTGGTGACACGCTATGGTTTCGTGGAATGGCTTCTTTCTGAGTGTACGGCTCTGCTGTACTAGGGTTTAGGGTTCCCAGCTTCAATTTCAGCTGGAGAGCCACACGGTGTTGCACACGGCCGGCGCCGCGAAGGGGTCTTAACAGACTGTATGACATTGATGAGCACGTTACCCTGGGTGAGTGATGCAAGGGTGCACTTCTGGGCATGTGTATTCAAAGGGTCGGTTTGGAGCGGCGGCTCGTGACGGGATGGCATGGGAATTGATCAGCTTTGTCAACTAAAGGATCAGCTTCGTCAACAAGCCAAAACATATCTCAAACTTGACCGCCTCGCCCCAGGTGATCAATGGCAGATGCCCTGCACCTCGACCGCGGATCCCGGTCTGGCGCTCCCCAAGATCTGGGCCTCTGGCCTGGACCTGAGTAGCGGTTTTGGTTGCGGATAATCCGTTTAGGGCCCCCAAAGGACCATGGGTAACTTTTACCATTTCGTGGGAAGTATAAGCTTTTTTTAGTGGTTGAACCAAGGGTCCCTTGTAAAGGACGTTTTGATCAACCCCCCGCATAGACATGTAAGGTCCTAAGGTCTAGTCACTCCTCCTTGTGGTGCTGAGGCTCGCAGTTTGTGACGTTTCGCTGGAACCCGCTGGACACGGTGACTTGTGACTTCAACGTGAACCAAAGTGTGGAGAGTGCCTACTACAATGGCACGGACAGCCTGGCAGTTGCAAGTCTGCAGTGCCCAACGCACAAGGCATGGATCGCTTGTTCTTGAAGCACCCGCTTGCCCAGGACGTGACGTCCTACGTCGAGGGCAATTTTTCTGATCCATCTGAGGTTGGCCATCGCCCGTCTCGCTATACCTCACTTCTGACAAGCCTAGACATGACTGTGGGTCAAAACCATTGATACCATTTTGAGCTAGGTGCACCACCCATTTTAGTCTATTTTGGTGTGGATTGGGATGTTCACTGGGGGATAACCGGGCTTTTGACCCATGGCCACATGAAACTTTTTCTTGCGGGATGTTGCATGTTCCTTTGCCTCGCCCTGCAAGGTGAAGCGGCTGCAATTTGGCTTGCTGCCGGAGGGCTTCCTGGTGATCTCCGGTCAAGACGCTTGACTGCCCTCGAGCTGTTGACTTGTAGGAGGGCAAGCCTGAGACGCGAGGATGTGGGCGGCTCGGGCTGCGACACGGGCAGCTTCCAAATCAGCTGCAGCAACAACCTCACTTCCGGGATCGCTTGGGAGGCGCTTCAGCTCGTGGGAGTCTTTGAGTCCTTGCGCGTCGAATGTGGGTTCAGGTCCATGGGCAGAGCTCGCCATTCGGCGACGTCTTCTACCAGGTCGGCGAAAGAAGAGGGACACGAGGGAAGGAGGAAGGGAGAAGCAGAGGGGCAGGGCAAAGGACGCTGAAGGAGAATGAGGGAGATAATTTGGGAGTGGAGAGACTGAGTCAAGCCAGTAAGAGACAGAGCGCGCACAAGCATTTAGGTTCCTGCGAGTTTTTGCAGGCACACTTATCAACCCGTCTTGAGGGCTATGATAAATTTGACTATTAAACGGCACTTGCCGGAAGTGTAGATTGGGACTGTTCAGAGCCAGGCTGGTGAGGGCGGACCGGAGGATTGGCGAGCTCCCTGTGGCTCCGGAACGGAGCTCGACGTGCCGGCAGCCCCCGGCATTTGGGCTGGGCCCTTCGATTACGCAGCCTTCCGCTGGACCCCTACGTCTTGTGCTCAGGATCAGCTCCTACGGCTGTGCTTAGGGCCGAGCGCAGAGAGCCGAGGCCTGTGGTGTACCCAGCTCCCGTTCTGCCACCCCACAGCCTCACGTGCACCTTCGCGATCCTTGGCAGCCAGGGCCCGAGCTGCCCTGCGTGCCCGAGGGCCCCTGCGTGTGCCTCGCATTCGCCGCAAGGCCTGGAGAGCGTGTTCTACAACGGCACAAACGTCACGGAGCTGGTGGAAGAACTGACCTTCTCGGAGCGATGGCGACCAAAGTTGATAGGCAGCATGACAAGTTTGCTTTGTTTCCGGGGGTCGTCAACTTTCTTGCCTTTGAAGGTGCCACAAATGGGAGAGACCAGGCAAGGAGCAAGGAGCATTTCCTTGCCAGGAGCTGCTCAACGACACCAACGCTAGCTTTGCGAACAGCAGTTACTTTCAGCTGCAGGTGGAGGAAATCCCTGGAGCGACCTTGGTGGGCTGCACAGTTGTGATGAGTGTGTCAGCAATGGTGGAGGGTTCAGGAGCCGGGGGGCTGTCAATAGCACCTGTTTGTTTCCCAGCATAGCGAAGGGTTCTTCCGGTACACTGTTCTAGACTGCGCAGAAAGAAGCAAGACATGGTCTGAGACAGCAGAGAGATGTCATCAAGAAATCGCCTGAGAGATTGCACAGCAGGATTGCTCACAGAGATTGTTCAACCTATATTGCTAAAACACACGCTGAAACAACAGTACTAAGAAATATTGCTCGGAGAGAAGACTCCCGCCTGAAGACTTGCTCCAGAAGATTCGCTTTTTCAACGAGAATAGCCTTTGCAGGCGGCGTGATCGGATGCATCGGTTTTTGGATTTGCAGGAAGTCCCAGCTAAAAGCAGCTTACCGCGCGGCGGGACTAATGGATTTTTGGCATTTCCGAAAAGTTTGCATTGGCGCTTAGAGCATGGCAATGTTCGTTTCGCGCCACGTGTCTTCTGGTTTGTCATTTTCTCGTCAGGCTTGGGAGTCCCGATTTGTTTCTCACTTGGACAACCTTGTTGAACAATGGCTTTCTAAATGCATTGCGACATGCCGAGGCAGTCTCGGCAATGGCCAACTCGTCTGACGATGCTTGCTCAACGGCGGCGTTGCAGACACTCTGCTTCAATCTGTTTTTCCTTGTGCTGTGCTGGGAGGGGTCGGATACAGAGAGAGAGAGAGAGAGGGAGAAGCGTCGCGAATTCATTGCTTGGAATCTGAGGATGGTGTGCGACTTCAGCAATGCCACTGATGGTGTGCCCTGGCAGCAACATTCTTAGGGGTAAATCAGTGGTACTTGTGGCAACATGTCAGCCCCTTCACTTTTGCCGCGTTTGCCCTGTTTGCTGCGAGCTTGATAGGCAGAAAGAACTCGGGCTGACCGCTGCTTGGCCGAACGGATCGGGTATTTGGTTTGCCTGGCCATCAGGCTCAAGTTCCCCGGCAATCAGCCTTACTCCAACTCTACGTGGCTGAGGTAGCTTCACAACAGGGCCAGAGTGGCTGGGACGCATGCGGCGTGACCGGTGTAAGCCCTGTCATGGAGCAAAAATTCCCATCCAGATCGCCTAGTGTTGTTTGCTACGTTTGGCTGGGGGAGGTCTTATCAACTCCGGCACAGGTGGCAGGCCTTTGGCTCTTCCAGTACCGCGGACGAGGACCACCAGTCCGGAGAAGGCCGGGGCCCGGGGCGGCACCGTGGCGCTGAGTTGGAGCGAAAGAAGCCGAGGCGTGTGGTGGGACGTGCCCTGTGGCTCCAGGGCGGGCCCAGCCTTCCCCGCCGCCTTTCCAGGGAACCTCGCCAAATTGCCGGCCATCTGGGCATCAGGCGCAATGCCTGGTGCGGAATGGCTGGGAATGACCTTTCTTTGCGAAGAGGAATCATTGTTTAAATGTTTTGGACAGGACGAAACTGAAGGGCTAAGGAGCTGAGCATACGAGTTTTTGTCCAGTGATTCACATGACGCCGAGTGGGCCTGCAGGGCATCAGCATGCAACCTTTCGCTGGGTCCTCTCTGATTTGGTCACCTGTGACTTCAGCATCGAGCATTTGGACAGCATTTTCTACAGCGGCCATGACCTCACCACCTACGTGCGAGGCAATGACTCCGACCCCTCCCAGGCCGGAGGTCCGCTCGCGGCCGCCGAACTCGGAGCCGAGACCTCGGCTTTCGGTCGGGTCGGTGCACAGGCGCTACGGCTGCAGTTCGCCTTCCATGAGCACGCGTACCTGGTGATCTCGGGGCACACGTCCGGCAGTCCGTGCAGTTCCAGCTCCAGCTCCGGCTTCCAAGCCTCCTGCACCGGTGACGTCGGCAGTTCCTGGGAGGCGGGACCGAAATCGCCCAGATCGAGACCAAGAGCGGATTCGGTGGACGTTTTCCGGGTCTTGCCGGCGCGTTCTGTGCGATGGCAGGCCTTCGGTGCGAGCCAAGCACTGGAAGAGCGCTACAAGGCGGGAAGCTGCTGACCCGAGAGAGAGCGAGGGGGGGAGACGCGAGATCATCGCCCGAGGCTGGGCTGGGCTTGGACTGGACTACGCCCTGTGCATCGCCATCAACAGGGCTACCCGAGTTGGGCAGCAGCTTCTGGGCCACTGGAGGCAGGGTGTCGTTGGACGTGTTTTGGAAGCGAACTGTGCAGAGGCCTCCCCCCCCCCAAAAGCAACAAAACACCACAAAAAAAAACACTCCCCCGCTGTGAACTTGCGTAATTCATCTGGGTTTCAAGGGGGGTCAGCGATTAAGGTACGGTGCCCTTGCAAAAGTTCCCAAGCGGGAAATTTCAGTTTTTGGTCTGAAACACATGAAACAAACAGCATCAACAATTGTGGGTTTTTTAGCCCAACAAATCCTGAATTGCAGCCCCTCCCCCCCCCCCCCGCAATTGAGGATTTAGTTGCCCCAATAAATCTTTCATTACTAACCCCCCTGTCAGTAAGGGCGCCCTAGCAGCTCAGGAGTCGTCGGTCCCCAAAAATCGTTCATTGCTGATTCAGTCTTGCGGCCCTCCCAAGTCCTTCGTTGCTGGTCGCTCTCAGAAATTAAGGACGGTTGAGTCCCCAAAAAGCCTTATTAATTGCTTGCTGTTTTGCAGTTGCAGCAATCGCTGAGGATGGGCCATTGTGAATATTGAATGATCAACATATTCTTAACTGAGTGGGGGGGGGGGCAGAAGTCCTTCAGTTTCTTTGGCCACCACCATCCTTGATAGCTTCTTCTCAGCCACTAAGTGTATAGTCCATGCTGCCAGTCGCAAACTCTGAGTTTCCAGCAAGTTGGAATCAAGCAACGGTTTGGAGGGTCGAAGTAGACAAATCAGGGGACAGCAATTCATGATATAGAACGATCCTCAAATGCGACGAGGGTCAGAAAGTCAGGATGTGTGAGGCCCACAAAATCCTCAACTGTGCGAGGGGGTGAGAGAAACATTGTTGGGACCAACAATTCCAGAATTGCTGAATGGGTAGATGAAACTCTTGAAATCCGAAACTTCCTCTCATCCACAAAGGGTAATGGCTTGAGTGTCTGCCAAAAAGTTGCCAGCCGTCATCAATGTCAGGTTTGTCCATCCAATGCAAAGTTTTAGCAACTAAGGAGCTCGTCGGCCAGAAATTGTGAATTGCTATGTTGGGCGGGCTGACGATTGTACACAGGATACTTGTTGTTGCCTTTGCAGAATCCTATTCACTGAATAAAGCTGCTTGTCCTTGTCCTTTTTTAGCCAACAAAGCCCTGTTTCCCGACAAGCTGTTCACTACGGGTCAGTAGTTAAGGAATTTGTTTGGGGCGGGGGGGAGTGTCAGCAATTCAGGATTTGTGTGGGCTGAACAAAGCCTTAAATGCTGAGGGGGTGTCAGCAATTAGGGTCAGAAATCATTGTTTTTCAGCTGCTGAGGGGGGACGTCAGCAATTGAGCAGGTGTCGGGGCCGGAAAAGCATTTTTTGCTGGGCGGGGGGGGGGCGGGGGTGATGCCAAAAAATAGTTGCTGAAGGGGGGCCAGAAAATCCTCAGTTGCTGAGGGGGGGGGTTTCAGCAATTGAGGATTTTGGGATCGAAAATCATTCGTTGTTGAGGGGCGGTCAGCAAGTATTTCGGAGGGCAAAGCGGGGGGTCAGTGATTGAGGATCTGCAGGGGACCGACAAATCCAGCGTGAGGGCCGTAAAGCAAAATTCCGCTAAAAAATCTTAATTGCTGCACCATTTCCTTAAATGCTGAGGGGGGGGTCAGCATTTAAGCTTTTTGCAGGTAGTTTTCAGCGCATTTTGGATTCCCAATACGGGTAAAACACCTATTGGGAATCCAAAATGCGCTGAAAACTACCTGCAAAAAGCTTAAATGCTGACCCCCCCTCAGCATTTAAGGACTTTTCGGCCCTCGCGACCCCCGCAAATCCTTAAATGCTGACCCCCCTCCGCCCCCCCGCAAATCCTTAAATGCTGACCCCCCCTCAGCATTTAATCCTTAGGAATTTTCGCTCCCCCGCAAATCCTTAAATGCTGACCCCCCCTCAGCATTTAAGGATTTTTCGGCCCTCGCGGCCCCCCGCAAATCCTTAAATGCTGACCCCCCCTCAGCATTTAAGGAATTTTCGCTCCCCCGCAAATCCTTAAATGCTGACCCCCCCTCAGCATTTAAGGATTTTTCGGCCCTCGCGGCCCCCCGCAAATCCTTAAATGCTGACCCCCCCTCAGCATTTAAGGAATTTTCGCTCCCCCGCAAATCCTTAAATGCTGACCCCCCCTCAGCATTTAAGGATTTGTTGGCCCTCGCGGCCCCCCGCAAATCCTTAAATGCTGACCCCCCCTCAGCAAGTAAGGATTTTTCGGCCCTCGCGGCCCCCCCTTAATCCTTCTTTGCTGACCCCTCTCCCTCGCGGCCCGCCGCAAATCCTTAAATGCTGAGGGGGTCAAGGATTTCCGCCGTCGCGGCCCCCCGCAAATTCTTAAATGGTTTGTCAACCCAAAAAAACTTAACTGCTGACCCCCCCCCCAGCATTTCAGGATTTGTCGGCCCCACCAAATCAATACTTGCTGAACCCCCCCCCTGAACATTTCAGAATTTATTCGACCCCAAATAATCCTCATTTGCTGAAGCAGAGGTGCATGCGTACTTGCCTGCAGAAACATGCAATTCCAGCAGCGCACTTTCAAATGTGATGCGTGGGTTCATTCAAGCGACATGAGAACTGGCAAAAACATATGCTCTGCTGCTACCAAATAAAGATGTTTGTGAACTGATAAATCCTGAAGCGCCGATCAGCAACTATGCCTGTCGCCCGCAAAATCCTTAGATGCTAAGGGGCGGGGTCAGCAAGGCCCGAAAAAATCCTTAATTGCTCCGTAGGGTGGGGTCAGCCACAGAGGAATTTGTTGGAAACGGACCGAAACATTCTCAATTGTTGGGGGCAGGCCGGAGGTCGGCAACTAGGATGCTCAAAAGGAATCAGCAATTAAGGATTGTTGGCGGTCGAAATATCCTTGAATGCTGAGGGGGGGTGTTGTTGCCGCCACAAAAACCCTTACATGCTTTGCATTCGCATCGTTTCGGTCAAAATTTGGATACTTACTGTTACATTTAAATTTTGTTGCGCGTAACCTTTTTCAGGGCATTCTTGCAAGGCGCGATGAATTGCTTGGCTGCCCTGCCATTCGCGACGCCCGTTCTTCATTAATTAACGCCCAAATTGGTGTTGCCAGATTGGACAGTTTGTCGTCGCTATTTCCGTTGGTCGCCATTGTTCAGAAATGTCCCAGGGTGGTGAAAAAGTTTTTTCGGGAATGATTCGGGCTTAATTGCTGCACCCTTCTCTTAATTACCGCGCAAAACCCTGGGTTACGCAAGTTCACATCCCCCGCCAAAAAAAAATGAAAACAACAAAAGAACAAAACGTGTAAGAGATGCTTTTGAGAGGCAGCTCCGCCGCCTTCCGCTGGCGGCGCGCGGAGCTGGTGAGCTGCAGCATGACGTGCCGTGGTTCAAATATTTTAGGGCTCGGACTTGCCTCCCATGGCTCGTGCGTTGTAACGTGTCTGTGTGTCTGTGTGTGTGTGTCTGTGTGTCTGTGTGTTCCTTGAGTGAGTGGGTGGGTGAGTGAGTGCAATGACTGGGTTGACGACTGCTTGGGACTTGAGAAGATTCGGGATGTGATGCTGACAGACTTTCACTTGCCCACTACCTCACAGTTTTTGCACACCTTCGAAGAAGCAACAGGCAAATCAGGAACCGGCGTGAACACAGGAGTGACAGGGTGGAGGCCGTCTACTATGATGGCATGGAGCTCACGTCGACGCTGACGGGTGACCTGCTACTTAGCGAAAGAAATCCGCAGACCGGGAGGTGCAGAATTGGGGCTGGCGCAATATGGGGGTGGGTCAAAATTAAACCACCAGGGGACCTCCTGCTCCATTTCTTTTTCCACATTCACCAGGTTCCATTTTGGGTACCAAGTTTTGACCCACGGCCATTTTGTGGTTCCTCTGGTCCTGGGACTGCCGCAAGGAACATGAGCCACTTGCGCAAAACCCGAGTAGAGGACAATCCCAACCATAGCTGCGGAATTCCGCCTTCTTAATTCTTGAAGCATGGTTCTGGGATTACGACCATGTCAATAGCGGGTTTTGAGCAAGTGACTCACATGTTCCAAGTTCGAGGGCCTTCATTGCTTCCAGGTGAATGCCTCCCTTCCCTGGAGGGACCACGAGGGAGCACTGTTGAAGCCAGAGGAAACAGGTTGGTTCCCAAAAAGGTCAGTGCAAGTCTGGGACGACGCCCCACTTGGAGTGAGATTCGGTCGGCTTGGCTGTACATCGTTGCACGCTTTTCCCAGGTTGGACTTCAACAGCTCCAAAGAGTTCCGCTTCCGACATTCTCAGGGAGCCTATTTGGCCATCACAGTGCGAGGCGATACTGGAGTGTCTGCGCCTGAGTTCTCGGTCTTGGCCCCAGGCAAACGTGAGAAACACGATGATATGGTCCACGGAATTGAATTTGCACGAACGTTTCCTTGCTTGGAAGAAGCGCAGATCCAGGACTTCCTCGATCTGTTGCTTGCTCCGTGCGCAGGTTTGTTCTTCCACTTCTCATTCAAATTAGGCTTTCGAGACGCACTTGCTGAGCAGTCCATGGGCATAGTTTGCAGATGAAGCCACTCGCACCTCCACGCGTCTATGCATCTCCACAGGTGCAGATGCCACGCTTAATGCGGAGCTTCTCACTCTTCCAGCTTGGGGCTCGTTTCAATCAAGCCTGGACTCAACGATGCACTGGCTCAGCATCCATCCTTGCGCGCGCCTTCCCATTTCCCGCACAGCTTCACTGCTTCGGGCGTGCAGCGGCCCTCGCAGCTCGCAGGAGTCGCCCAGTGAGTCATTACTTTCCTCAGACACCTTCGCCCGCTTGGCTATTCATCTCATGCTGTGCAAAGCTTGGCAAAGGCTCCGCCCATCATCTCACATCCTTGTATTCCTTCTTCGTCTTTGATGCAGTTTCACCGAGGGACTCCACTCTTGGATTGGGTGTCCCTTGCAAACCAGATTGCTCCGGGCCTGACACTTTTCCTGGCGCTCAGTGGCACTGGAGACTCAGTGACTGGCCATAGCAAGTTGCGTTCGTTCGGAGAAGCAGAAAGCGACAAGCGGAAATTGGCAGTGATTCATTCTCATGCCGAATGATGACACAGCTTGAGGTGTGGCCGCGATGCCTTCCACATCAGCTGCACCAATGGGGTCGGGCGGCTCAGGACGACGGGATCGGGACCGAAGAATCGAGCGGACCTAAGGTGAACTCAGAGGGCTGGGAGGTGTTTGGGAGCACCGGCGTGGTGGATGCTACTCACCGGCAGGGAGGCCGGCCACAAAAAGCAGCACATGGGGGTTGATCAGAAGGTCCTTTCCATGGGGGGATGACCCTCAGGGAAACCAGCACAAAAGTTCACCTTCCTCACAAAAAGTGGGGAAACGTGACCCATGGTCATTTCGGAGCCGAACGGAATATTGCTCCACCCCCATTTGCGGGTGCGCATCCTACGGGTTCAATCGGGCTCGGATGTTGCCAGGCGGATCTGGCTGGACGGCTCCTTGCGCCTCTTCCTGGCCGGCCACCCCTGGAGTGCGGGGTGTTTGGGCCGAGGGGGCCACGGAGGCCACCTTCCGAAGCCCGGCGCAAGGTGAATTTTTTGTTGCCCCCCCCCACCCTTCTTGGGGGACGGTCGTATGTTGTTTTGCCCCCCCCCCCCTTAATGGAGGGGACGGTAGGACCATCTTCCTTTTTTCCGGCTTGCAAGGAAGTAAGAAGAGGGTCCGAAGCAAAGTTAACTCGGATTTCACGAAGCTTTTCACTCTAGTGGGCGAGGCAGGTTCTTCCACAGGCAGGAAAGAAGCTCTGAGGATGGCTAGATTTGGAGTCTTGGGAGCTGGCGCTGAAGGCGGAGTGGGAGGACACTCCTGCATTAGAAGCTGGCAGTTGAGCGAGAGAGCAATGGCATGCGACAGGACGGCACCTTCGACTACGACTCTGCTGTTTGGCATGATGGTAGCAAGAGCACCTTCGGCACAGGGGCCGCGCTGCAGAACACCAAGACCGAGGAGGGGATCCGGGCATTGCACATGGTTCTGCGTGTCATGAAGCAGTATCCAACTTTTTGGAGTGCCCCAATTCAGTTTGTCCGGTGCGCATAGTGAACCATGACCGTCTGGCAAGCTGAGCCCTCTCAGCCACTTGCAGGCCTATAGCCAACTGAAGCTGACCAGGGTGAAGCTGGTGATTGACCGGATGGCTGCTATCTTCACGCTGCCAGCCACTGACCTGGCATATACGAAGATCTCTCGCCAGGGGCACATGGTTTGATTGGAGCAGAGCTGTGTGAGGCATCTTCTTGTAGATATTTCCATTGGCATTGCTTCAGGGTGTTTGAGATTGTATCATTTGATGCTTTGCGGATGATCATGTACGAGAGGCGATGTCACCCAAGCTGTGAAATTCACAGCCATGCACTTGTGGGCTGGTTTTTCTGTGGAACACTCAACTAAGGGTTACGAGGTTGTTTGGTGAAACCACTACGTTGTGCCATTCCACTGGAAATGGCTAGGATCCTAGCCGTTTGGCGGGCCACTTGAGCTTGCACGGAGAGTGAAGTGCATGCCGAGGTTGATGTGAGATATCGCTATACCTTACAAGAACTGTCCTCAGCGCTCAGTTCTTCAGTCTTCCGCGCGGCCTTGTCACAAATGGGCCGGGCACCTAGCCCGGCAAATGAAGAGAGCCAAAGCCCCTGAGTTGCTTGGCAATGAATTCACAGTCAAATAATATTATATATATATTGTTATGATTCTGGGCTGAGACAGCATAGACCTTCATACCCACTTTGGAAGCAACACCTTGGTTGAGCAGTGCTCAAGGGGCGTGCCCTGAAAGCTGCTGGGGGGTCATGCGAAAGAAGTTGTGGCTTGACCAGGCCTGGAAGCAGAGACTCCAGGATGGAGCTCCGGTGCAGTGGACCACTTCCGGCTGGGCAACGCACAGCACTACTGCGGTGTGGCGCCCAGGTTTCCCCGAACTCAAGCGCCTTCGTGTTGCGTCGCGTCGACCGGCTGACCGAACCTGAGACGGTTGCGCTTGGAGCTGACGGCAGGTGCTGGCTTCGACCTGCGGAACGGCCCCAGTGTGCGCCTGGGCGTTATGTTGGGAGATGCCGGCTGCACCACTCTGACTGGAGTGGAAGGAGACGGAAAGCGACGATGTCGCCTGCCAGCTGTAGGGTGATGGGTCAGTTGTTTGGGCGCTTGTTGAGATATGGGTATGGGTCAAAATTAAAGCACCAGGGGACCGCAGGTTTTAGTCCTTGGTTCCATTTACTAGGGTTCCAAAATGGATACCCATTTTTGACCCACAGCCAATATGTTTGTGTTGCAACTTCGAACGCAAGTGCCAAGTGGCCGTGTGCTGTACGGCAGGACTTGGGTTATCTGCAAGCAGTGACAGCTTGGGCTCGGGCTTGCTGGGCAGCCAGAAGGCCGGCCATGGCGAGCGTGCTGACAATCCATGGTCACATGGGACAGCGAACATACTGCCGCTGATGACTGCCACCGATTTTGCAGGGTGAATGCTTGTTGTAGAGCATCAATCGCCTCAAGGGGCATAGCAAGTATCACACATATGTGTATGACGGGATTCAATACCCGCCTCGCCGGCCATGTCGCGAAGCATGCATGATCCGTAGCCTACCAACATGGCTGTGGGTCAAAAATATGTACCCAAAGTGGAACCCTGGTAAGTGCTGGACCAAAACCTGTGGTCCAATTCCTGGTGGTTTAATTTTGACCTACATCCACATTTGGATGCATGACGTGGCCAGGCGTGGGGCCGAGTGGAGGTCTATGTGGAGGGCTCGCCGCTGCGAGAGCAGGAACTTCGGCTGTCCGAGATCTCTGAAGGAGAGGGGGCGGTCTTCAAAACGGTTTGCCAGCGCCGAGCGCCTGTCTTGTTTTGGAAGTGGGGGCCGGTTTTCAAAACGGTTTGCCAGTTGTTCTGGGGGGAAGTGAGGCATAGCCAAGCCAAGTGGCAAGGACGCGTGGAAATCTTCCGCAGCGGCCGATGGGGAACAGTCGACGATTCGGCCTTCGACAACTTGGATGCGCAGGTCATTTGCAGGCAGAACCTCCCCATGCTGAGGAGAAAAAAGTCTCAGTTGGCTGGCTGCCAGGCAATTGTCCTTCAACGGTGGCATGACGCTGCCAACAGATGAGGCAAGCTTGCCGTGTTGCCAGTTTGAGTGTTCCGCGCCGAGCTAGGCATGGCGCTTCCCTTGGCATTTGCAGGTTCTGCAGAGTGCGCAGAATGGAAAGGCGATGGCCAACACCAGCTGCGTTGGCTATGAGCAGCTTGGCGCACAAGCATCATGCTGCCCATGACGATCTGGGTATTGGCCCAAAGTCAAAACTAGGCAACCTTCCAAGACACGGCTTTAAAGAGGAGCTGCGAAGCCAAACGTGTGATTGGTCACTTGTTTGGATTGGGATGGCAATTTGGCTTTTTAAAATGAAATAAGGCGAACACATATCAACAAAACGACAGCAACTTCACTGAGCCACTGATGGACCCAAGGCCGTCCCTCGCCGACTGCGTCAGCGATGCAGTGGAGGAAGTGGGTGCTGCCTAGCGCCCGGATTTGGCTTTTCAAAGGAAAGCTGGAAGCTGTGGTCAGGTGAGGCCGCACGAATTCGAGAAACACTGCCAAGAAATGCTTGCCAGGTTAGCTGGACCTAGTTTTGCAGGAATCACAGGATGTTTTCGTGATATCAATAGGCTCTTGCCGAGTATTGAGCAGAATGTGGAGCATTCATCTACCAGAACCTCTCAATGCCACTTTCCACACGCCCCGGTTTCAACATCTCTGTGGCCACTGTTCTATGGGCGATGCGCGTTTTGGTGTATGTTTGAAGCGTGCTTTATTGTGTTGCTCACGGATGCTTGCAACAGGCTGCTATTTTCCTTCAGCTCAGAATTTTCAGATCAGTGTGATTGTTGGAGGTTTGGGCTTGGTACCGTCATGACCTTGTCTTGCATCTACGAGACTTATCGCAGACGGTAATATAGCATATTGCACGCAAGGAGGGATACATCCAACAGGAGGAGCTACCCTGCATGCTCAAACTGGCAGTAAGCCTCAGAAACCGGAATGGGTGCTTGATTTCTCGCAGAGTGCTCATGGTCGAATCAAATATGCCGACCCACTCAAATGATGCACTTAAGTTCTCACGCATCCATGCTTCTGTTGCGCAGGACGCGGGCGGGTACGGATCTCAGAGCAACTCTGCCAATGTCTTCTTGCGCAACTCCGCAGTGCGCAGCATCCAAGTGTCAGTCGTTCTGGTATATGTGGGAGCATCTCTATTGGAACCAGCTCGTGATGCGGTTTTTGGTGCTGCGCAACGCCCAGGTCAGATGCAGGTGTGAGATGCTTGCGAAAGAAAGTGCTGGAAGCAGAATCCTGAGCGAGCTTATCGCGATGTCGGCACAGGGCTCTTCCTAACCAAAAGAAACTCTATTTAAGCATTTCCCAAGTTGCCACTCCACCTCTTGCTTTTACGTTTGGGGGCGAAACCTTTTGACGGGATTGGGCTAGACAAAAGAGGTGCTAGAGCTTGGTGTTTTGGGAGCCTGTCAGCAAAGCTCATAATTGCCCACCCCTATCACTAGAAACACGGGACGAAGGAGCTTTTTTGGCGAGGCTTGAAGCAAAACGTAATTGAAGAAGAATCGTGTCCCGGCCATTTGACTCATTGCATTGGAAGACACGGGCACCACATCATGCTTCTTGCCCTCCTGGGGATCTGATAGGAATTCTTGTGAAGGTCCTGTGGGTGGGCTGCTACGTGGATGACGCCTTTCACGACTTGGACTATGGGCCTCAGGAGCGCAGGGTTCGATGTGCAGTTGACACGGGGGTTGGCCTTGTCCTGTGTGATGTCCATCCAGCCGCCCACTCGCAGGCCTACGGCTATACTACCTCCACCTGCGCCGAAGCCTGTGCTCAACTCAGCGGTGCAGGCATTTGGCTATTTGTTTGACTGCTCCACATTTCTTTTTGTTTTAAACTTGGCTCTCGCTCAAACCGAACATCCAATTTCCAGCCCCCCTTTTGACCACAAGGTGCGGGTGTGACCAGCCGTTGCGTTTTGGCGTTTGCAGTGTGGGGTGTGACCGGCGCCCTGTGCGCACTCAGGCCAGGACTTCACATATATGGCACTGCAGAGTGGCTGGTGCAGCTGTGGCGACAGCTTCGCCACCTCGGCTTCGTGACCTTTTGGGGTTAGAACTCAGCATGTACGTGGAGAGGCAAAGTTTGCTCCTTGAGGCCTGACTTTTGTGTATGGCTTGCACGACAAGGAGCTCTAAGACTTGGCTTCCTATATGTTTATAAGTGAGGTGTCCGTGTTCTTCGGGTGGCACTCCCATAAGGCGATGGCCCTTTGCTGTGGGTGCTGTGCCAGGTACACCAGCGTGGGCGTGGAGGAGTGCGGCTCACTCTGCGCGGGGGAGGAGCTTTTGCAGCCTCCGCGCTACTGCGGGTCTGACTGGAGGAGCGGTTGCGACTGAGACGCCCTGAGAGATGAAAGCTGAAGAGATGCGTACATCGCTATATACACATACATCTTGCATAATTGCGATAGCTGCCGGGAGCTACGGCGATTTGTGCAAGTTGCTTGGGCCACGCAGTTCAAAGTTCCCATTCTTGCGTCAGGAATGCCATCTATTCCCTGAAGAAGGGCAACTTCCAGCCTGGGCTTCTGGCTGAATTCTATACCTTCAACCAAGGCGCGACTCGAACAAACCGGCATGTCGAGAGCTGACTTGATGTCCTGATCATGTGCTTTGTGTGATTTGATGTCTACTGCAACGCCACCATTGCTGTCCTGGAGGGTTCACCATTGCTGTCCTGGAGGGTTCCCTAGTTGGAATCAAATGCACGGAACGGGGGGCAACATTGCGCCCAACTTGTTGCGTATTTTTGACAGATGCCCAATGTGAAGACACCGCAAACAGGCTGTACGTTCCAAGACCTGACCTACCGGACGCCGGACGAGTCTCGCGTCGATGCAAACATCAACTACGAGGCATTGTGGGGGGCAAGACGTGAATGCCCAGGTTTGGATGGGAGTTGGCACGCTACATGCTGGCCACATGTGCTATGCTTAAGGGTCTTCAGTAGTGCTTAGCTTCCAGTTCCTAGCTCACGGCCGTGCCAGGCAACCAGGAACGCCTGGCCGGGCTTCAGCTTCACAGACCATTTTGCCGCGAGGTGGAATGGGTATGTGCTGCTTGAGGCGGTATCTTGGCAGCAGAAAAAAAAAAGCGCCGAGCGATGGTGTCGTCTTGAAACCAAGACCAAGAGCTCCATTCTTGTAGGCAGATATTTCAACTAGTCCCTGTGTGTGCCATTGAAGATCGCATAGAAACGGTGCGACCGGTTTTCAGAGGGACTGTGGGCGTCTTTCTGAAGCGACAGAGTCAGGCTGGAAGCCACACTTTTGAGCTCGACTCGGACGATGGCAGCCGGATGTTTCTTGAAGGCTGGATGGAGCCATTTGGCTGTGGGTCAAAAATAGGTACCCCAAATGGAACCCAAGTAAGTGGGAACATGAACCAAAACCTGCGGTCCCCTGGTGGTTAATTTTGACCCATACCCATTTGTAACAAGAGTGGTGCGATGTGCCTTGGGAAGCCATGAATTGGCTCCACCAATGCCAGGAGTCCAGGTGATTGATCACGATGGCTGCCGGGTCACGGACCAAGCCACGCTGCCCAAGCAGTACACCAAGCAGATGCGAGCGGGACATTATGCCATCAGGCAGGGCTGAGGGCGGTTGGGAAAGGTGCCAGGTTGACAGGCACTGGGACTGATGGGGCTGGTGCTTAATTATCCTTTGCACCATTCTACGACACAAGAGTCCCTGGGCATCAGGACTATCTTATCCCTAAGCAGGGTGTTGGCCCATTGCCGGTGAGCCCAGTGGTGTTTGAGGCTGGAGCACTTCGAGAACACCTGGGCAGCTTGTCTGAGGACCAGGAACGGAGTCAAGTTAGTAGATGCGGATGGCTGAAGGCAAGGGAAATGGCCGGAAGTGCAGGGACTGAGAATCCACATGGCTGTGGGTCAAAACCCTGTACCCCTGGTGAACATCAGAATAGGTGGCCAACGGATGTTCATCCATCCCAAAATGGGATCGCCATAGGTTATGCCCCAGGACCACATGAGGACCGAAAGCCCTTCTGACGTAATACTGTGGATGGACGAAATCCTGCACCACCTAAGAAACCTGGGAATGATGATTCCCCGGTAAAATACCAACAAACAATGGTTTCCCATGGTTTCAAAGTGGTGCGAAATGGATTTCGTCCATCCACAGTATGCACTTAGGAAGCGAAGATGATCTTTGGATTGGACGGGGCCGTGGCGGTTCCCTCGCAGCTGCGCAGCTGGCCTGGCCTGGTGATCCCAGGCTGGCGAATACGAGAGTTCCGACATGCTGTTGTCAAAACCAATGGAGCCATCTTGGGTTTGGCGAATTCACCACCCATTTTGGAACCTATTTTAGTGGGGATTGGGATGTTCACTGCGGGTACGATTTGGATTTTGACCCATTGCCAAATGGGTATGGGTCAAAACTTTAACCACCAGGGACCGCAGGTTTTGGTCCTTGGCTCCATTTACCGGGGCAAGCCATTTTGGGGTTACCCAGATTTTCGCCCACAAGCCATATTCCCTGGGCAGAATGGACCCCTCGTCTCGTGGACACATCTTGCCCCAACATGTGAGAAGCGGTTTCATATACCGCAGAGAAGATTTAGTTCGGCAGAGCCGCTGACCGCCAGAGGCATCCGGGCGGACTTCTTTGCCTTTCAGCAGAGCTGCTCCTTCCAGGAGTCCGATTTAACTTCACGCTGGGGACGTAATGGCTAACGTTGGTGGGTGTGGCTCAAAATTAAACAGGAGGGGTTACACAGGTTTTGGTCAATGTGTCCACTTACCAGGGTTCCATTTTGGGTACCGTCTTTTTTGAGCCACAGCCAGGTGTTCACTTCCAACATGGCGTGGCGGGGTCACCGCGGATGGTGGAACGAGGGGGATGCTTGTGAGGACTTGGATGAGCGCATTCCCGACGCCTCACGTGTGGACTCCCATGTGGCTTTGCCGGAGGGGGGGAGGGGGGGTTGCAGCGCCGAGTTGTTTCGTGAATAGTTAGGCAATGGTATGGAGTAACGGTTAGTTACTCAAGCCGTCCTGTGGTGAACCTCAAAACGTGCGGTGTTTCGTGATAGTTGGTCTGAACGTTGGAGACTATGGCCTTTTGCCTCTTCTTGTCTTCTTGTCCACTTGAGGAGAGTCCAGTTTGAAGCGGTTCGCTCCTTTGACGCTGAAGCCATGATCTGCCTGAGTTGAGTTGGCTTGTGCGCCTAGCTGTTTGCCTCAGGTGGACTATGGAGGTTATGGAAATGACACTCACGCTATGCCATGGAGGGGCCTTCCATTCGCCAATGGCCTCCTGGCTACATGACCGGAGCTGTTTTGTCATTTCCAGGAGGCATGCACCCTGGTTTTTGTGTTTCACTGATTCGCACTGGTCAGAACTCGGCCCGCCCTTTTTGTCGGGTTTCAATTGGAACTTGCTGTTACATGTTTCCAGGTGCTATGCTTCAAAAGTGAGGAGTCCTCCCTCTTCAGGTCTGCGTTGAAACGGTCAACAGAAATGCCACCACGAGGGGTAACCAAAATGCATCCGCGCCCCGCTGAGATTTCGCAGCTCGCTGGAGCGGCAACTTGGCTCCAACTTGACGCGTCGCGGCCGCGTGGCAGCGTGCGACCTGCTGCGACCCCGCAGGATACCTCTTGATCACAACGGCGGGCAGCTACACCTTCCAAGTGGAAGCAGCAGATTGCCACAGGCCTTTTCGCCGGCCTATGTTGTGTGTGTGTGTTGCTGCGACGCAGTTCAGACAAAGTGAGCAAGAGGGGGGCACGGAGAGCATGGTAGCACTGAAGATGTGCGAAGTCATTGTCATGTTGCGGACCCGTTTCAACGCAATGCGCGCTAAAACAAGCCAGACGGATCTCCTGTGCCAGACTTTTGGTGGACGAAGTCTACTTGGTAGACAGGCCTGGATGCCACCCACTGGCTGCCCAGCTGCTTTCAGTGAGTGCTTGGACATTTGAGAACCTGATCTCTTCTCGTTTGGGAGCAACACTCCGAGTTCTCAGCAGGGAATGAGAAAATGACCCCTACAAACCATCCCCTATGGTTTCCTTTACGGACATCCCTAGGTTCATTCCGGTCATTCCCTACTGAGCACCAAGGAAATCACCCAGCTGTTTGACATTTCACACACTGGCAGCGATCATTTGGGAGCAGATATCTTGGAGTTAGAGACAGCCACGCTGACGCTTCACTCGCACTGAGGAAATCAATAACGGGAGCATCGCCTTGATGCAGGGCTTCCACCGCGTGACGCTGGAGTACTTTGAGAGGCGAGGTGCGTTTTTCTTCTCTCTCTCTCTTTTTTTGCGGGGACTCGGCTGGGGATTCCTTTTGGCGGGGATGGCGGGTGGTCTAGGGGACATTTTCCCCTAGCGCTTTGAATGGTTTCACTTAGGTTTCATCTCATGCCTAGGTCTGGAGCTTCCAGTGTGCGCTTGAGCTACATGGGCCCAGACTCGCTGGAGATGCAGGCCGGCCCCAAAGCGACGGCACTTGCTTGCGCTAGCCAGCCCGTCATCTCCGCTCAGGTCGTGCCACCGGAGGTGTGGTGGAGCAGTGCGGGCACGCTGCAGGTAGGCACCAACACCAAGTTCTACGCCCCTTCCTCAGTCAAAAGCCACTCTGAGCTGGATTTCAGGGGCTTTGAAGGGTTCTCCACGCTGTTTGGGGGCTTTCAGTCCGATTCTGCGTTAGCTTGGAGGTCAGACGTGCGTGCCTGTGTGCCTACTGCAGGTGACTACTCAAAGCTGCTCAAGCTTCACTGACTTGACTGACCTGATTCCAGTCTCTTGGCGGGATGCTGGAGCTTTGGGACGATGATTCGGTGTTCGGCAGAAAGTTGGTTGCCAGCACGCAGAACCGTGCTGATGTGAATGAGCCTAGGACGTGCTTCGTTTTGATTCGGAGATCAACTATGCATCCACCACATCAGCCTGGACTGGCTTGTCTTTTGCTGACCACTTTGCGGTGAGCTGGACAGGCCTGAGAGAAGCTTTTTGTTTCTTGTTCAACATTAAGGCATGGCTTGGCAGATGTCACGCTGAAGGTTTCATCATCATCACCCTCCCGGGCCTTTACACCTTCCAGGTCGGCGCTGGTGTTCGTACCATGCGCGCCATTGAATCGCCTTGGGTCAAACAAACATGAACTCTGACTGAAGCCCCTTCTCCCAGTCCCAGTTTCTCATGCGCACCCCCCCCCCCTCCGCTGCAAGCTGCAGGTGGAGGTGGAGGACGGCGCCCGATTGTTCCTGGACGGCGTGTTACTGGCCTCGTCGCCGTCCTGCGGCGCACAGACGCTGACGGCCTCGGTCGAAGTGGTGCAGGGCTACCACTACTACCGGCGCCTCAAATCAAAGAAGGGTTGGCCGCCAGCTGGCACCAGGCGGTTGATCATCACAGCTAATCCATGGAGGAGTTTGACCACGGCCGCAGATTCATGACGCCTTGGAGTGTGTTCATGGCATAAGTTATTCACATGCAGCGCACTTCAGCATGAGCATGGTTTCGCATGCTTCTTGTAGCCTGGCCTGGCTAGGCATTCAAAAGCTCGCATGTGACTTGCTTCCGCCTGCGAATCTGAGGTTGGAGTACTTCGAGGTGACTGGGAGCCTCCGATGGCAAGTGCTGAGAGCATGCCGCGGCATTTTGTGCATGTCTCGCACCTCCTTGGCGCGAGCGAGCTGAGGAGCGCAGCTGCCATTTGGAGCTATCAAGGGCCAGACACCAGCGACATGATGGTGGTGACTTGGTCTGGCATTCTGGGGGTTGGTAGTGAAGAGCCCTGAACCCATTCTGCTTCAAACTTCCTTCACTGCTTGCGCTCCAAGGTCGTGCCTAGCACTGTGCTGCGCTACTCGCCTGACACCCTGGTGCCTTACGAGGGCCAGGTGAGGGGGGCAATCCCGAATCGAAACCAGGGGGCAGTCCTTGCACTTCCTTCGTTGAAAATGCTTTGTAATTGCGATGCGAGTGCTGCTGGATGCTTGATGTTGCTGCTGCTTGAGATAAGAACAACCCGCTTCGACGCCATTCTTAGGCTCACAGAATCACAAACATGAGCCCCAACCCCAGCTTGCGCTTCTTTTGTCTACTTTTTATCACGACTTGTACGCGAGGCTCTGGGAATTCGGAATTCGTGTCCCCTTCACGATACCTGGGAACAATCACCACAGCCCTGATTGAAGGGGATTCCTCTTGCCGGAACCGTGATCCCTTATCCTCGAACCTCAGCCGGTCCATTGCCAGGTGCAGCTGAGAGGCACCACGAGGGGCCGCCTGGAGATCTACCACAACCACCAGTGGGGCACTGTATGTCCGGGTCCTAACTTCCTCACAGAGGTGCATCTTGCTTGGATGTTAGGACTCTAACTTTTTGCCAACTAATGGGTTTGCCATGAAACCACTGAAAGTTAAACTTTTAGCAGGGGAGCAGAAAGCAACCGAGCTCAGGTGCCATGGTCTCTTAATTTCCATTTTTGCCTTGAGGCGACGACAACTTCGACGACGTGGATGCCTTGGTGGCATGCCGTCAGCTGGGCTTCACGACTGGCAGATCGCTGGGTGCCTTGGCTCCATGTAGCCGGCTCTCGCTTTCGGGTCGGTGAGCGAGCAAAGTCAGGCAATGCGGTTCCAGAAGGCGCAGGACCCATCTGGATGGATGAGGCCCGTGCCAGCTCGTGACATGGAAATGGTGGGTTCTGACGCAAGATTATCTCGCGTGACTGCTGGTTTGGCCACTGGAGTGGAATATGTGACATGGAGCCCAGGTGAAAGCCATGTGGGCTTGTATGGCTACTGCTCTTGGAATTAGTTCCTTTACATTCTCTTTTGTTGAGGGATCTATTGCTTGTGCTGAGATCATGAGAGTGGCTGGTGCGGCTTCTGTGAATGTTGCTTGACCATGCTGTGGCGCAGGTGACCTGTTTGGGGAACGAGACGAGGCTGGATCAGTGCAGTTTTCAGAACTGGGGCGAGCACGATGCTCGGCTCAACCAAGCTGGATGGTGAGAATGCGACGGATGTCCCACTTGCCGCTTGCTGATTTTTGTTGGCTCCAAGTCTGGACGCATTTTTCCGCCCTCAGCCGAGGATTGCGGCCACTCCGAAGACGTTGGCGTGGACTGCACCGAGGCCGCGGGTCCTCGCGATGCGATGGCGCGAATCATCCGCTTCCTTCCAGGATGCGACGCTGCCGGTGGAAGGGGATCTACGGCTGTCAGGCGCCGGATGGTTTTCTGCTCACCGGCCTTAAGCCTCCCGGGGAATGTGGGCCTTTCCTGCCACAAGAGCTTCACAAGCGCTTACGAGAGGCCTGTCTGTCTGGGATCATCCATTGTGATGGCTGGAAGTGGAGACCCCCCCCCCCGGCATTCCTTGTCTGGCTGGCTCCAAGACTATGACCTCGTGCGGCAGGTGGGAGCCACGGCAGGCTCGATGTATACCACCTGAGCACCTGGGGCACCGCGCAAGCCTTGGAGAAGCCTGGTGGGTCTACGTGCGGGTGGGACCAAAATGCCGCCAAAGGCTCGTTGAGTTGTGCTTTGCCAAGCCTTTGAAACATGTGGTTGTGGCTCAAAATTAAAGAACCATGGTTGTGCAGGGTTTAGTTTTTGGTCCTAGTTACCAAGGTGCCATTTTGATACGTGTTATTGAGCTACAGCCATGTGAATGTCTCCAGTCTCCGAAGAGCACCGCTCATTTGAAAACAACCCTCAAGGCGCTTCGTCAGAGAGCTGAGGTGTGCAGCGACGGTTTCATGGAAGAAGACGCACGAGTGGTGTGCCGGCAGCTGGGCTATTGCTGCGGCATCATCTCGACAAGCGCTGCTCGACTGTGTCAGACATGGAGGATCTCGTGAATGACTTTCCATTGAGTTTTTGGGCCTTGTGATGCTTGACACCACGCACCTCACTTCACCATGCGTTATTTCTTATGGCGTCTGAGGCAGACGTGGGAACAGGACTGGTTATGCACGTTTGTGCCACATGCGCTCACAGAAGGAACACGGGGGTGTTGGAAGGACCGATTTGGCTATCCAATCCTCAATGCATCGGTCTCCCGGCTGCACGGACAGTTATCCAGTTTGGGACTGCTGTACTGGCATGGGGCCGTTTGAGGATCTGTCCTCTTACTAGACGTGCCGAGAAAATCAGCAAGTCGAAGGGTTTGGGGTTCATCACCCTTGACGCTTGACGTGTTCAGACAGCTTTTCAGCTGTTCATTGAACACTGAACTGGTTTCCTTCCACAGATTCCAGCTTCGAGGCTTCGAGCAGCGCCTGGATCAATGCTCGGGGATCACATGGGGCAATAGCTCCTGCACCAGGAGCCAGGCGCCGACTGCGTTTTGAGTGCCACTTCGGAGAGCGTCGAAAGGCGATTTGGAGCGGAAGATGAGAAATCACATAGTGAAACCGCCAACGGCTCCATTCCGAGCTTGGTCTCCCAAATGCTTTCCTCTCAGCCCCCTACCCAAAAGGATTTCCTGGGCAGGATGTGGCGATCGACTGCTTGGACGGAGCCACCTGCTTGGCCAGAGGTGTGCGCATGTGCCTCGCTTTGATGAGCCGTTCAGCTCCAGAAGCAAAGGGTTGTTCAGCATGACGAGTCGGCACTCAGAGATGGAGACGCGGCGCAGCTCAGGTATTCAACTGGAGACACAGGCCTCCAGGTGTACATATCTGGCGTCATGGCAGTGACGCCTACCGAGTCTTTGCCAGTCCTCGCAAAGCGGCTCGGCATTTTCGTTTTCATCGCAGCCAGCTCAAGTCTAAGTGCGTGCTGGACCATTCGCCGTCATCCACGCCGAGGTTTCTGCTGACCTGTCCAAGTGGCTGCTCCAATGTCGTGAGCCCAGAGACGCCCGTTTCACGTGCCGTCACAGCATGGCGGTCTGCCGCCGGGCTCTTTGCAGCGAGGAGTCCTCGGTGTTCCTGGCCCAAGCCTGCGACGCAGAGGCGGGCCGCAAGGGCGACACAGAGATCGTGTGCTCCCACAAGGCTTGAGGTATGCGAGCGTTCCCGGCTTATCACAAGTCGCGCAGAGTTGCAGGTGAACGGCACACGCACAGATGCGATGACGCTGGAGCCAGCTGCTGGCTCTGATCTTTGGTCGTCACCCAGCCGCAGCTGAATGAATTGGTATTTACATGAGAGCCTTTTCTTGTGTGCATGCGATCCTTGAGATTTCCTTGTTGCACACCAACCAGTCGCCAGAAGTTCCAGTTTGTAGGCAGACCAGGTTTACGCGGTTTACACAATCCATTTCATGCGCACCTCGATCGCCATGAGGGTGAAAGTAGCGGAAACGTTGGTTTCTCATGGGCACATTCAGCCACGTGCACAGTCCGATTCGGCTGTGGCCCAGGAGCGTCTTGGACCTCTCCATGCTCCCATTGGGGAGGTACTTCAGAGACTTGGGTGAAATCGCCGAAGCGTTTGGCGTGAAAATGTGGCGGGCGGCCATAATCCATTTATCTATCTATTTGTGGAGTATTCCGAATTCCATTCTTGTTTTATTATTATTATGATGATGATTATTATTTTTATTGATTATTATTATTATTATGATGATGATGATTTTTATTTTTATTGATTATTATTATTATTATTATTATTAGTATTATTATTTTTATTATTATTATTAGTATTATTATCTTTATTTTTATTGATTATTATTGATTATTATTATTATTATTATTATTATTGTTATTGTTATTGTTATTGTTATTGTTAGTAGTAGTAGTAGTAGTAGTAGTAGTAGTAGTAGTAGTAGTAGTAGTAGTAGTAGTAGTAGTAGTAGTAGTAGTAGTAGTAGTAGTAGTAGTAGTAGTAGTAGTAGTAGGTAGCATGCATGCATGCATGCATGCATGCATGCATGCATGCATGATTGTTTGATTTCGTTGTTCTTTCGCATCGCATGGTGCGGTTGCACCCAGGACTCTGCGTGGACACCGACGGCGGCGGCGGTTTGCGTGTGGGCGATGGAGGCCACGAGGCCATCACCGGAACCACGCGCGGCCAAAGCGGTGGGTCAAAATGAAGCCACGAGGGGCGGGTGGGTGGGTGGGTGGGGGTGGGTGGGTGGGTGGGTGGGTGGGTGACCGCAGCTGTTCGTCCTTGGTTTTCATTTGCCTGGGTTCCATTTTGGGTGCCTATTCTTGACCAGCCAGGTGTAGATAGGTCACACGGCTGAGTCTGGTGTGAGGTCTACTTGCAGCTCCTCTCTGTGCAGACCGCAGTTGTGCTGGCAGCTCCACTTCAGAGGACGGGTCAAGCACTAGGGGTATCTTCCAAGTCCATTCTTTCCAGGCATGAAAAGAACGATGGTTGAAAAGAATGGAATTGGAATCAACCCCTACAACAGGCCTAGTTCTCAGATGCCCTTCTCGCCAAGTTGGCACTTGCGAGCCTGCACATGCGAGTGTTGCAATGCGATGGCACAGCCACTGCCAGGATTGACGTGACAGCCCAAGATGTGCCGCTCAGCTGCAAGACGAGGCTTTCAGGCCCGGTCAGTCGAAGGGACTAGCAAAAGTGGGATATTGGTACTATCCATTGGTGGCACGCTCGCTGGCTTTCGAAGCTACACTCGCACTGACTAAAATGAAACACTTGGATTACATGTGCTGTAAGGTGGAGCTGAATCTGGCTCATTTCGATTAACTTGGCTCGCACGTGGAAAGGCAACAATTTTCATGAAAGTGCCCTGTGAGCCTCGTGCTCCCCCCAAGTTCCGCAGGCCCTGAAACACCAACTTCAACGTTAGCTGCAAACGAGGGGGCAAATGCGGATGTTGCACAGTTTTGCAGGGATTGCTAGGGGCGGCTAGGCAAGGCTTTGCAACACTTTGTCAGCGTGCTGCCTTGTAAGTCAGCTTTGTCATCTGAGTCAGCTTGTACGTCAGCTGGCTTGAACTGGAAGTTTCGAACACGTGAACGCCTCGCGACAAGCCGAAAATGAGCTGAAACTCACGAAAGCGACCTGACATGAACATCCGCCAACCAAACTATTTTCAGTTAGATTTGCTTCACGTGGAACTCCCCTACAGACGACGCTAGTTTCCAGCGATGGCAAGATCAGCAACAGAAAACATCCGCATGTATGATTCCTGATGTGATTTCTGCAGTGAACTTGGCACCCGAAAAGAGTAAATATTTGCACACAGATATAATTTGTCAGTGACAGCCAACCAAGCACACCACACACAAACAACCAAACAAACAAACAAACAAACAAGCAAGCAAGCAGGCAAACAAACAAACAAACAAACAAGCAAGCAAGCAAACAAACAAACAAGCAAACAAACAAACAAACAACATGCAAAGAATGAAAGAAAGAAAGAAAGAAAGAAGGAAGGAAGGTAGGAAGGAAGGAAAGAAAGAAAGAAAGAAAGAAAGACAGAAATAAAGAAAGAAATAAAGAAAGAAAGCAAGAAAAGAAAAGAAAGAAAGAAAGGAGGAAGGAAAGAAAGACAGAAAGGAGGAAGAGAGAAAGAAATAAGGAAATAATTAGAGAAAGAAAGAAAGAAAGGAAGGAAAGAAAGAAAGAAAGAAAGAAAGAAGGAAGGAAGGAAGGAAGGAAAGAAAGAAAGAAAGAAAGAAAGAAATAAGTAAAGAGAGAGAGAGAGAAATACAGAAAGGAGGAAAGATAGACGCAAACAAACAAATAACCAAACAACCAACAAACCAACCAACCAACCAACCAAACAAGCAACCAAACAAACAAACAAACAAACAAACAAACAAACAAACAACAAAGTTACAAAAAAGACAAACCATCAATTAATGCATCAATCAGTCAATCAATCAATCAATCAATCAATCAATCAATCAATCAATCAATCAATCAATCAATCAATCAATCAATGAATCAAACAAACAAACGAACAAATGAACGAACAAACAAACGAACAAACACACAAAACAAGCAAGAAAACAAACAAACAAAAACAAAACAAACAAGCAAGCAACCAAACACAGCCACAAGCATACACCCACAAGCACAAACACAACTAGAAGCAGAATCACAAAAAACAAACAATCAACCAGACAAGGCACCAGCCTGCCAACCAAGCATCCCAAGCCAACCCAAACCTACCCCCAAACCAACCCAAACCCACCCAAACCGACCCCAACCAACCCAAACCAACCCGAACCAACCCGAACCAACCCAAAGCAACCCAAAGCAACCCAAAGAAACCCAAAGCAACCCAAAGCAACCAACCCAACCCAAGCAACCAAACCCCAACGACGCAAACCAACCAACCAACCCACCCACCCACCAACCAACCAACCAACCAACCAACGAACAAACCAACCAGCCAGCCAGCCAACCAACCAGCCAATCAACCAAACAACCAACCAATCAACCAACCAACCAACCAACCAACAAACAAACCCATTTCCCCACCCAACCCACCCAGCGAGCGAACAAATGCATCAAAACACACCAGCAACAAAAAGCAAACAAAACAATCAAGACAGACAAACAAAGAAAGAACACAAAAGAAACAGCAAACACACACAAACAGACAACAGAGAAACAACACAAGCAGACAAATCCAGTAGCAAACAAACAAACAAACAAACAAACAAACAAACAAACAAAGATACAAACAAAGAATCAAATCTGCCGACGCCAGTCGAGTGTGTAGATGGCAGTCCGCAACTTGGTCTTCCTTCGGATCGCTTATCAAAGCCGAAGGCTTTTGGGGCTGCAATGTTTTGGGCATGGTGTGCTGGGTGTCCACAACCCTGTACTTTTCCAGTGTTTTTGGGGCTTGCGTGCTAAAAATATGCGTTTCGCCTAGGTCTCTAGGGGGGGGGGGTTTCCCCCGGACGCGCAGGATCTGCATCCCCAGCATCATCAGGATTACCTTGCTGCCATGAATTTGTCTCTCTTTTTGCAGATACTAATGGTGTTTTGCTGTTTCAAGCGATGTTGGAATCGGCCTGGTAGGGGTCTGGGTGGGGCCAAGTGCAGTGATACGTTGAGGAATTGTTTAAATTTCCCAAAATGAGTGTTTTCTGCAATTCCCCAACTGTTGCTAGTATCTGCTTTTGATGGTTGATCGTAGGAAATAACCAAAAAATCCTGGTTTTGGATTTTTTTTTGTGGCCAGCCGGCCTCATTCCCAGCATTCCCGTATTTCCGTGTTTGGTCAATTTGCGTGTCTATTGTGGATGCGAAGATTGGGTCTGTTCCTGTGGTTGCATCCCTTGCATTTCCAGCATCCTCAGCATCACTTCCATGAAAAAATGAAAAAAGGTCTTAAATCCCTTGCGCCCCACTGGCGTCGGAGGATCGCGCAGCGATTTCAATAAGCAAGCAAGCCTAACCAGCTATATATCCAACTAACTACCTAGTAGACAAAGAAGCAACCAGATACGGACAGAGACACGCACACCCACAGACACACAGACACGCAGACACAGACACACAGACACAGAGACACAGAGACACAGAGACACAGAGACACACAGACACACAGACCCACAGACACACAGACGCCCAGACGCACAGACAGACACAGACACACACACACACACACACACACACACACACACACACACACACACACACACACACACACACACAGAAACACACACACACACATATACAAAAACAGCAAACCACACAAAAACCACACAAACACGCAAACACACAAACGCACCAACAACACAAAAGCACACACAAACACGCAAACACGCAAGCGCACACACACAAACACGCAAACACGCAAGCACACACACCCACACACACACACACACGCGCAGACAATCACAAGCACACGCACAAACGCTCAACCACGCACAGTCGCTATCACCTTCCACAGTCGCACACGCGTGCGTGCGCATTCACACACACACACACACACACACACACACACACACACACACACACACACACACACACACACACACACACACGCACGCACGCACGCACGCACGCACGCACGCACGCACGCACGCACGCACGCACGCACGCACGCACGCACGCACGCACGCACGCACACGCACGCACACGCACACACGCACGCACACACACACACACGCACACACACACGCACACACACACACACACACACACACACACACACACACACACACACACACACACACACACACACACACACACACACACACACACACACACACACACACACACACACACACACACACACACACACGCGCACACGCGCACGCACGCACGCACACGCACGCACGCACGCACACGCACGCACACGCACGCACACACGCACACGCACACACACGCACACGCACGCACACGCACACACACACACACACACACACACACACACACACACACACACACACACACACACACACACACACACACACACACACACACACACACACACACACACACACACACACACACACACACACACTCACTTACGCTCTTCTTTATTTTTCTTTTCTCTCTCTCTCTTTCAGGTTTCATGTCTAGGATGAGTTTACCTTTGGAATCGGCTGAGGAACAACTCTGTGTTCGAGATGTTCCTAAGCACCGTGGACTGTGGACTTGAGCCGGACCTTGAACAGCCGCCACCGGTGAAGAGGACTGACAAAGTAGTCCCACTACTGCCGACGAAATTATGCTTGAACATTTCCGCGTTTTGACACAGTGTAGCAGTGTAGCGCCGCATTGCTTTGAATGGTGGTTTGGCCAGAGTGTGGTGTTCATCTGTGTCTCTCTCTTGCTGTTTCTCTCTCTATCTTGCTCTCCATCTTCCAGCCTGAGAGGACTCTGTCAGGCGTGCCAACCTGGACGGACGGCTTGTCCTGGGCTTTTGAGGCTTCGGCCGAGACGGGTGCATGCAGCAAGGGGAATCCCATGAGTTTCTCTGAGGGGATTCCATTCAAGAATTCCAAAACGGACGACTCTTGCCAGTCCTTTGGGGATCTGATTCTTTTGCTTGCCGCAGTCCGCCTTTCGCATTTTTCGCGCTTCGCGTTGTCTTGCTGGTCAGTAGGGGAAGGAACCCAGGAATTGGTCCCCTTAAAGGAAACCACCAGTTGCATGGTTTTGCTTGGGTTCATTCCATGTCTCATTCGCCTGGGGTCATAATTTTGACTGTTTCTGGGTGTTGTCAAAGATCTGCCGATTTTCATAGCGAGCTCGCTTGGTATCACGAACTCAAGCCATATGCGGCGCCAGGTGGACGCGTCGGGCCTGGAGATCGGCGCCCACGCGGTGCTCTGCGAAGACTTCGACGCCGCCGGGCCGCGGCTGCCGGGCCCCGCGGCGGGGCCTCGGGTGTGCCGCGGCAGCGGGGATGCGGTGGGGATGCGGTGGGGATGCGGTGGGGGGGATGGGGTTGGGGTTGGTTGGGGGGGTGTGGGGGGGCGTTGTTTTGAGGGTACCCACCTCTTTGGGATGGCTGGTTGCGAGGGAAGCCAAAAGGAGAACTCAGTATTTGGGGGGGCAGGGGTATCCTGATTTGGACGCATGCCCAAATGCTTGAAGTGTGCGCAAAGGTTCGAATTTTGTTGCTTTGATCTAGCTGTCTTTTGACATCCAAACTCTGGGATTCTGCCGGCAAAGGTTTTCAGCAGCTGAATACATGGCTTTGCTAGCGAGGGGAGAATGATCCCTGCACGACAGCATTTGGAGTCTTGAGCACTGCTTAGATGTCAAGTATTTGCAGTTTCCAGTCTTCATTCTATCTTGTTCGGCATCATTCTATTTGTCCTTTCCTCACACCAATCATGCGGAGGGGCAATCCAAATGGCGCATCTCTGGGACTTTTGTTTCCTGTTGTTCCGTCGTTTGAGCTGCTTGAAGAGGTCTTGTTTCAGGTCCAATTGTTTTCAGCGCCTCTCTGCTTCAGGTATGTCTCTGGCGCGGTCCGCTGCCAAGTCGCAAAGCTTGCCGCTGGCTCTTGACAGAGCGGCAAGTGGTTGCTTCAGGTGGTGACCACTTCAGAGACAATTCGCCGCGAAGCGCTGCAACATATCTACATGCAGTGTGCTGCTGGGTGCGACACGAGGCTAGACAAGTGCAACCCGCATATGTTGACAAATATGCGTGATTGCACATCGAGCAGGTCGTGGGCCTTCCTAGCTACAGACTGTGCAGCTTGGAAGGAACAGGCGGAGTCATGCGGACTAGCTGACTAGTTACAGTCTATTTAGGTTTACGAGGCTTTGGAAGGAAACCGAACACAGCTTGACTGTTGCCTAACAAGGGAATGTCCTGAGCAGCTTGTCCAGAGGGGTCCGTTTTGTCGCCTTCCTTCCTCAGCGCACTTCAATTCCAGCACAGTCAACTGAGGATTCGCCGGTTTCCGGCCGCACGACATCTGGAGCCAATTTACAAGGCCGGAAAGCGAGAGACAGACGTCCTTCGTGTCGGCCAGACTCCAGAGAAGAAGTAACCGGATTTTCCATTTGCTGACCCTCCGAATGTCTTTGAATGAGTTGTAATAAGGAACCACCTCCAATCTCGTTCGTGGACATAAAAATCACCTAAATGGTAACCACAGGGTCCCTTGGAATTCAAACCCACATGGCTGTGGCTCAAAAAAGTGGTACCAAAATGGCTTTTCTGGTAAGTGAAAGACTAAAACCCGCGGTTCTTTCCCCAGCTCTCTAACTTTGAGCCATCCCCACATGCGGCACGCGCACACACGCAGATGTCTCCTGCACCGCCGGATGCTTCGCTGCGACAGGCGTGGCTCCGAGCTTCAACGTGACCTTGGATGCCGCGGGGCTGGAAGCCGGCTTCCGATACCTGCCGCTCAGCTCAGAGCTGGTCTTTTTCTTTCTTCGGTTTTTCGGTTTGGCAATGTTGGCATACTCTGCGCACAAATATATATATATATACACATATATATATATATATATGTATGTATAAGGCAGTTGTACATGTTGTGTCAATTGTGCACGCATATGGACCTGTGTTTTGTTGTTTTAACGTACCTGGTGGCGAGCGGGGCCTGTGCATGAGTGTTTGCCGTTGGCGTCCTTGGGGAGAGTGCACAGATCCGAAATGCATTGAGATTGCTATGAGTTGCAGTTGAATACAGGTGGACCTTGGAACATACTTTGTGATATTCTGCAGGGCTGCCCTGAGAAAGGGGCAATACTACCAATAGTTTGAAAAAATGGCTGCACAATTGCCACGGATAGCCTTGAACAAGCTGGACGGCTGTAGTGACATGTTCTTGTGTGCAAAGTGAGACTAATTGAAAGCAACAATAATGAACTCCCGCAATGTGCGCATCACATGAAAGTGTGGCGTAAATGACACAGTTGCAGCATGACAACTGATAGCCAAATCTGCCTAACGTATCGTCTTCCAGTTGATTACTGATAAGAAGGCTAGGCTCGTTTCAATCCAGTACATGTTCGTCGAATGATTGCACGTTGCCTTGTATGCCTTTCAAAAAAGAGCTAAGGCTTCAGATGAATTTCATGCATTCAGTTCAATATCAACCGCAATGGTTTTGGTGTGGGGACATGCCTGCATAGGAGTATTCTTTGAATATGTATGATCCAGACTGGGGTTCGAGGAGAAAAAGACAGCAACTTCCGAGTTGTTTTTTTCTCCAACTCTAAGATTGAAGACTGAAGATTCGCTCAGATTCCACCGAATGCTCAGAGACAATGTTGCATGCATGTTGTATCTGCACTACACGTTGATACATGATAACAGCACATCTGCAGAAGCTGCGAAAGATATTAATCACCCATGAAGCACAGTGTTTGGTTAGCGACAGGATGGCCTTGTGGAGAGAACAACGCACAGCCACAGACATTCCACAAAATAGATGCATGCTCTCTCAGCTGAAAAGCACGCTGCAGTTGGTGCAAGGTGCTTTGTAGGGCATTGAGGGCTTCTAGTGATGCAAACACGACGCGGGTGTACGCGTGTATCTATATGTTTGCGAGGGTGTCGTCGGATATCTATGTACTACAGATATGTTTAGCACATTACATATATGGAATGTGTGTGAACATGTACAGAGCTATACAATGTTTAGATATACACACATTGGACTGAACCAGCAGCAGTCATATTTTGGTGTGCACAGGCTGTGCACCGACCTGGATGGGCCAACAGGACGGCTCAAGGCGCGGGAGCTTTCTGTCGGCTGGGTGCTGTGTGGACATGCGGGCATCAGGAGCCTCAAAACGAGGACAACCATGGGCCAACAGCCTGGCATAATTTCGAGCAATTGTCATTGACACGTGCTTGGGATGATCATCAACCCAATCAAGGGGAGGTCTTTTAGGAGAGCCGTGTGACTTCCCGCAAATGCGGTGTGTTGCCCAGTTGCACATGCGCAATTCGCCAGCTGCCGCGAGGCTGGGCCTGCTGTGGGCGTTGGACCCTTCGTTGCCGGCGTGGAGCTGGTGAGGACGCAGTTCATCCAGGCCTCGTCGCCCACAAAAACTGTTTGAAGAAAGCATCCAAAAACCTCCGGCGATTGACAACCAAAACGCCTGCAGTTGGCCTGCCTTTTTTTTTCTGGATTCACATGCTTCGCACCAGAAGATTACTTCAGAAAGGGTTCATGATGGTGCAATGGGCTTCTTAATCAGGAAGTTATGAATCGGGATATCAGGTGGTTCATTTCTCTCAGGGTTTACTGTTTAAGGGCTATTGATTCGAGGTTTATCGATCAGATCGGGTGAGGAGGGGGGGGTAGGGTATGACGTGGGAGGCGGTGGACCCGGTAGACTAAAGGGAACCGAGGGGCCATATGTATCAGGTGTCTTGTGTTGGCCAAGGCCCATGCACTGACATCCAAGTTGCTCTTTGCCGTCAGAACTGCCTACAGCTGTCTCACAGACCGACCACTTTCCTCCCGTCTACCGCCATGTTCCGTCTTCTCTTGGCATTTGTCTCGGTGCTCATGTGCTCCGGGACGCCTACCTCCCAGGACTCCCAGTGCACCGGCCTTGCGGACTCCCGCGCGTCGGCCTTGCTGCAAAGCGGCCAGGCGCGCGGCCATTCCGAGGAAAAGGCTGAGGAAGAAGAGCAGCTTGAGGATGAGCAGCAGTCCACCTGGTCACGCCGGCGAAGGAGCCGACGCAGGGTAACGACGACAACGACGACAACGACAACTACACCTGAATGGAATGGCATTCTGAGCGATCAGGTCGCCAACCTTTCCCATACGGTCGATGAGGTGGAAGCTCAGGTGCTTCGCCTGGAGAATGAGCTGCACAGCCTCGCGAACTCATCGAACTCCTCGAACTCGTAGCTCGAAGTCCATGTTCCACCTGCTAGGAACACGCCCAACCTGAACAGAGGGTTAGTGCTAGATCACTGTATCGACAGGCGACTCGTAAGAATGAGCCTGAGAGTCAAACAGCGGGGCACAGGCTGAGGGGGGAGGGGCGGCATTTCTGCGACCGCTGAGGGCGAAGGCTTTTGCATGGCAGCTCGCCTGTTCAAACTCAATCGACCCTTTTTGGCTTCATCAGGTTGGGTCCATGTCTTTTGGTCAAGGCCCCAAAAGGTGATCTCCTATGTGATATGTTTGCGTGTTTGTTTGTGCGTGCATGCGCATGTGCCACACCTGTTAGTCACAACTGCCTTACGACCATGGTTGTAGAGCTAGTTGCAGCGCGTTCCTTTGCTTCAGCGCTTGCATCAATCCTGTGAATCTCCGTTTGCTGCATGGGCGAATTGTTTTGCAGATGCTAAGCTGTTTGTCTCTCAAGGTTGGCGGTTCTCAGAAGTACCGTTTTCGCCGAAATGGACACCCGCATGGGGACCAGTTGTGCGGCTTTGCATGTACACGCGTGCGAGTTCAGCGTGCACAAGCTTGTGTGATAGACATGTTGGCCTTCAGATTTGTTCGTAGTTAAAAGGGCACTGGTTTTGTGGATGGTGAGGGTTCAGGTATTCAGAATTGGGTGGTGTATTAGTCAGGAGGGTTTCAGAAATGATTCTGGGGGGTTTTGCAATAAGGGGGTTTCTCAAGTCAGAGCGGGTTGGAATGTGCCTTTGACATTAAAAAAGCGCTTACGGCAAATGGCCGTGGGTCAAAAATCGGTACCCAAAATGGAAACCTGGTAAACAGAAACATGGACCAAAACCTGCGGTCCCGTGATGGCTTAATTTTGACCCATATCCAAATGAGCCAAAAAAGCCGTTGTATGTGTCAATGTAAGGCATGATCCTAGTTTGGACGTATCAAATCAGCTGCACCGCTGAGTGTTTTGCTGGCGCGCAAGTCATGGCCGCATCGTGGCCAAATGCAGGCGTTGGACTACGAAGTGGTGCAGCTCGACTGCGCGGTAGATTGTCGTGGCTTCGTTTCGGGAGCCAGGCACTCAGGAGAAGGCTTCAGGATCCCTCCAAGACACTTTGATGCCCAAGAGCAATAGCAATAGGCCTCTACACCCTAGCTCCATCGATTCCAAAATTTAATGATGCCTGAAACGTGCACTTCCTGATTACAACTAAGACACGTGCCAAGGATCAACTTACCTGTTTGGGGACTCCTCATGGCTGAACCTAGTGATTTCCGGCTCCCTGCAAATTAACACTCGAGGATTTTGCTCCTGGAGACCCCTCTGTTCCCATGTGAATTCTCAGGGGAGTGTTCAAATCCCAGTGCGCAAATTGTGCTCCCGGCGGCTGAAGGTGTCAAGCATCTATTTGTCGCGGACATGCGACGTAGTTCCAAGCACAGACATGCTCAGTTGGAACCTCAGATAGGATCCAGGGAATGCAAGCAGTCGTCAGAATGATCTCTAGGGCTATCTTTGCAAGCGATGTCAGCGAGAATGAGTTGCGCAGGCAATGAGACGACTCCACTGGGCACACTCACTGGAGTGTCTCCCACATTCTCTGCTATTGTCAACGCGAGCTCCCAAGTGGCAATGTGAAGCTTTCGGCCATTCCTCTCAATATTCAATCTTGCTTTCTGGTCCAGGCCAGCGGATTGAAGACCGGTCTGCGCTACCGAGTCTGTGCCGGCATCCTTAGATTGGCTCTGGTAGAAGTGGCAAACGCCTGGGTCCCGTGGGTCTCCCCAATGTTAAACCAACTGCGGCGGTGCCCGATGTCGTTGGAGCAGGTGTTGGAGCATGTTGCTCAGGTCGATCTGGACGGAGCAGGTGCAATCATGCAGAGAGAGAGAGAGAGAGAGCCGAGAGACAACAGAACAGGAAGAAAGAAGATGTGGCACGTGCCACGCCGTCAATCTTTGGCGTTGCGCGATATTTCTTTCACTTTCAGCCATCCCGCAAGGCGGCGGCAAGCCTGCCGGCGACTCCTTGTTCGACATCTATGTCAGCGGGCTGGTCTCTGTGCCGGCCTCAGCTTGCGAGCCTTTGCAGTTGGGCACGCCGTCCATCAGGTGGTCTCACCACCTGCAGTCCGCGCATCAGCGGAGGCAGTCTGGCAGTGGAAGTCAGTTCCGTCATGCCCATTGGGGTGTGAATTTCACTAGGGGAGTTTTTGGGGCATGATTTAGGTTGGGATTCATGTCCACCAACCAGTTAGACGATTCTGACTCTAAAACATCTCAGGCATGTAAAGTGACTGACTCTACAGCAGTGATTGTTATTTCAGTCAGTTTGAGACTTGGGCAGGAGCAGCCCATTTTCGTGGAGTGCTCTTTGGACGCCTGCTCGGAGGCCCCAGCTTCGCTCGCAGGTGCGACGTGGATCATTTCATGGATCGCTTCAGGTGGCCACAGCCTTCCTGGCTGGAAGCCGCGTCCCAAGCGGTGAATCGCTTTGTTGATGCGCATTTTGCCGGGGCTGGTTGTATGGCGAAGCTGTCTTGTTTTTTTTCTTCTTGCCCCATTCTTTTCTTGTCTTGAGTGTAAACTTCTGGAACGGTTTAATGGATGGGCTATGTCTTTTGCCATCGTGTTCCACGTTAATATCTTTTGGTTGTGGATAGGAGATAGAATGATGGAAAAGAGATGGACTCCTTCTCTCTTTCCTAATCCTTGCCTATCAATCGAACCTCAGAAGCGAGGATATGAGGAAAGGTAAGAAGGAAAGGGAGATGAGAGTGTGATGAGTGAGGGTCTAACGTCCTTCCTCACCCTCACTCCCCCTTTGCGTCTCTTGTTTGGTGCATGCAGAAGGGACTGGGAAGCGAGACGACGAAAACGACAGATGTCATTCCTTATTCCTTTCCCAAACTCATAGATCATTCCAGATAAATGGGTTTAGGTAAGGAATGCCATCACCGCACTGCCAAGTCTATCTTTATATTGATGGTGGGGAGGAGTGAGGATAGAGATGGGTGACTACCCTACACTTCCTGGCTTTCAGTGTATATTTTGTCTGTGCGACATCTCACCTCTTCCAGCCCCATTTGTTACTAAAGAAAGGACTTGATGAGTGGGGCTGGCATCTCCCGTCCTGTTTCCCTTTCCCTTTTCCCTATCCACCTCTCGGTTGAGCTTGTGAAAGAAAAGGATAGGACGGGGCACGGCGTGGGGAATGAATCCCAATGAACCCCGCGCTCTCTTCTCTACCAGCCGCCGTGCGCGGGCTGGGTTAGAGAGAAGCAGAGATGGACATGATGCATCCATGCAAACCGATTGATCTCCAATAAAGATGAATGCATCATATCATTCCTTGGTCTCGCCATGAAGATAGTTAGAGACATAGGATAGAGGGGTGTTACTGGCTGGGCGAAGAGAGGCAGACTGACCTCTGCAAAGGCTGCGACCTGGCGGCGAGTCAGAGTCCACCGCTGCGAACCCCAGAGGCCGCACAGAGCTTTCGTAGTGCGCTGGCGGCTGTGTTCATTTGGCCATGGGCCAAAATCCAAATCGGTTAGCCCCCAGTGAACATCTCAATCCAACCACTAGAATAGGTTCTAAAATGGGTGGTACATTCACCTACCAAATGGGATCCCAGTGGTTTTGTCCACTGTTCATTTGGCAGTGCCCTCTTCTTTCTAGTTAAGGGGACACGAGCTTGGCTTTTTGAATGTCAGGTTCCCTTCATGCCCACACAGAATGATACCCAGCCGCTACCTCAGCAGACCATGTGAGCCAAGACATGAGTGCACGCTTGTTGTTCCAGGTGGCAGCTGACCTTTCCGCTGGTCTCTGCCTTACCGTGCCTGACCACCGGATCATGATGAAGGTGTGTCTCGCAATTGAAGGAGTTTCTTACATAGATATAAATGGACATCCCACAGAAACATGAATCCATCAACATTGGGAGGGGATACCCACTTGTCAGACAAGTCTGCTTGGAGCGCTTGCTGTTGTATTTTCTTGCCTCCAGAAGATTGACCTGAGTTTCCTGAGGCTGGACTGACTTTGGGGAGTCACTATCGCATCTGCGTGGACATGGACGGCAGCGCTTCCCTCACACCCGGCACCGTTCGCGTTCGCGGTCCTGTGGGCGACCTCGAGTACCGAGGTGTGGCCTGGGCGCAGGCCGCCAACGGCACTGGGACGGACTACCCTTTGGGTCCTGCCCTCGATGGGCGAGGGATAGGGCTAGGAAATCTAAAATCTGCTTCCCAAGGGCCTCGTTTCGAAGCAAAACCCTTGAACTTGTCATCACCCACTCAGGAAAGAGGCAGCTCATGTTTTGCAGCAGCTCAGATCGGCTGTTTGGCTGTTTGACCTCGCAGATCAACGCAGATCGACTGCCACGCCGCGCCCTGGGTGTGCTGAGGTGAATCGGGGCTCACCGTCTTCATAGCGCCATTGGGTCTGCGGCCTAAGCAAACTCTTAGAGGTCGGATCGTCGCAGCCAGCGGAAGCAATCGAAGACGAATCACAAGGAAACCTTCTTGTTTGTCCTCTGGCAGGGGGTGGGATTTCGCTTGGGAGTTTAGTTTGCGTTTTTGCTTCTGAGGACCATCCTTGCCACCTGCCTCGACAATCCGAACCGAGCGGAATCAGGTGGTGATGGCAAGGCGGGAGATGAAACTCAGACTAGCGCTTCCGACCTTACTCGTGGCTTCGAGTTTAACATGGGTACAGGCTGACTTAGGTCTGACACGGCACACCTTGCTTGGGTATGGGCCAAGGGGTGTAGAGATGTTTTGCCGCCTTTCCAGCGCAGGTGTTTGACGACTCCGTGCCAAGACTTGGCAGTCTCTGGCTCCACGGCAACTGCGCCGTGGCTGCATGACAGGCTTGTTGCTGATCACTTTGCCAGCCCCCCCGCAGCTTGCGGCTATTGCAAGAATGAAGGAATGGGCTCTAGATTCATAGGATTGCTGCATTCTCTTGGGGCTTTTTTGAGGTCTGTTTGTGAATGCGCATGCCCGGATCCGTTCCATGCGAAGTGGGACATCTCTGCTCAATGTGAAGGGCCGTATTGACACTGTGGCAAGAGGCCTTTCTGGCAGAAGACGAGTGCCAACGTCCCGCCGCAAGCTCAGCGAGTCTTGGACAGGAGCCCATGGACGTTCAGAAAAAGTGAGCGGTCGCTGCCTGGCAACCTCCCATAAAAAAGAAGCCCAGCAAGTCAGGTCAGTCAGGTCAGGATTCCTGACAGGAAACTGGAACCACCGCTCAAGCATTGGATACCACTACCAAAATATCGGCTTGTCTCCTTTGGCTTCCCTTCAAAAGCCGCAGAGAAGGAGAACCCTCAAAAGCAGACAGGCCCATATTATGACCTTCTAAAAGATATGTCCCGACAGAGGCATGTTCCAAACTGAGCTTGCGCAGGTTTCACCGTGGCACGGCCAGCGGTCCAACATGGCCTTAGCTACGCTTCTCGGACTAAGGCCACGGCAGCGTCAGATCTCAGGCTGAAAGGGCGCTTTGCTTCGGCGTGAGGACAACTTGAGACGAGAAGTGCCAAAGTCCTGCCCCCTCCACTGCAGAGTTTTTCACTTCCAGCTGATCTTTGCACAAACAGTGAAAACCTTGCGGGTAGAGTCCAAGGCTGACATGCACTTACTCAACACCTATATTGTTGGGGAAAATAAGCAAGACTCACCATGGCTTTCAACTTTCATCACAATCATTGCTTCAATCGCAATGATAGAAACGAGTGTTGGCCGTTCCATCTTCTTGCTTTGACCCACGGTGGCAAGAAGCAGCCATGAATCAATGCACATGTGGGCTTACAAGGGAAGAGAGAACACTACACAGCCGGAACATAGGTGACGAGCAAGCCAGCGCCGGATAAACATGCACTCCGCATTCGATCGGTTGAGTTTGCAGCCGGATACTCTTGCATGAGGTCGGTATGTTGGTGGACGTTGTTGGTGCGCACCTCCAAAATCAAGCTGGTGAATTTATTTGTTTTCTGCAACGAGTGCAAGGAGGGACAAATGAACTAAGCCATTTCCATGGCACTTGCTTGCTGTGTTTCGACGATTGCTGCAGCAATGTGGCAGGCAACATGGCTCCCTGCCCGACACCTGGCTGGCAACTGTTGATGCTCGGCCAGGTGCTCAGGAAGCAGCTTGAGAGACGGGGCTCGTAACACTTACACCGCACCATACTGCCATGGGGCCTCAGGTGGCTGACGTCTGGGAGGACGTACAGGTGCACAGATTGGTGGATGAAGGGATTGTTTCCAGAGCAGCTGGCAGTACTATCAGAATCGATTGTTGGTAGTTGGTAGTCGTTGTGTGAGGACCTGGATCCCACAAAAACCAAGAGGCTGTTCAATTTTCCCCAACGGGGCACTTCTTTTTTGCCCGCGGCTTGGAGCAAACAAAAGGCAGAGCATGTCCAACAAAATTGAGGCCCCAACCCCCGCGAAGCAGGCTTTGCATAGATGCAGACGGAAGTGGCGAATCTGCTCAAGCTGGTGACGCCCTTGCGAATGTCTTCGTGTCGCCCTTGAAGGCGCGTCTTGACTTGGGTTGGTATTCCTCATCCACCGCGCGCCTTGCGGGATGCCAGGAGCAAGGATTCACGGTCCTGGCAGATCCCGCGCAGCAGGCGGGCGACTGATCTTCCGCATAACGTTGACCCCGCATTAATCAACCCCAACCCCAGTTTATTAATAGGGGGGTGTTCCGCTCCAAAAGTGAACAATCCCCACTAAAACCAGGAAACAGGGGTCTATTAATAGGGGGTGTTCATTACAATCAAGTATTGGCAAATTTGGAGACCAGCCGCGAAGCCGCAAGCCCTCCTAGAAAGCAGAAGCAATATGGGAAAATAGGCCTGGAGGAAAGGAACTCCGGCTTGGAGGAAAAAACAAAACATATGTCGGGTCAGGCATGCTTGCGGCACAGGTTGGCGGCATGAACTTTCTCGCCCAGTACAAAAATAGAAGGGTACGTCCTGGGCCCCGGGTTTTTGCACCCAAGCGCTTTTGTCATGATTTCATGTGATTTGCCTACTTGGAAACCCCAAACCCGAAAAACATGTGAAAAAACCACAAAAACAGTTCTGGGAGAGATGCCCGGTTCTACTCAGCTAGAAGCCTCTAACCGAAAAAACATCTTCGAGAATCGGGGAAAAAAGCAAAAAAGGAGCAATCAAACAAGTTATAGGAGAGATGACAGGGTATACTAGTAATGTCCTCCGCATTTGTTTTTCTCTGATTTCTCGATTTGTTTATTCTCGGTTTTCTATACATCCCTGACTGCTGGCACAAAAACAAGAAAGTTCTAGGAGAGATGACAGTAATGTCCTCTGTAGTTGTTGTTGTTCTTCTTCTTTTTTCCTCCGATTTATCGCGTTGTTTTTCCTTCTTTTTTTTCCCCCGGTTTTTTATACATGGTAATCCTCATGCACATGTAATGTTAACTACTAGATCTAGAAAAGGTCTAGAGTTGAGCAATAGCATTGGTTGGTCTAACTGCTTTATCTGTAGAAATAAGAATAAGTGCTTCTCGCTAAAAGCATTTTGTAATGATTCTAAATCACAAACAGAACATTTACATCATAAAGAGACAATTCTTCAGACATTTTACATAAATTAAATTCACTATGATCGAGTAACATTGTTTGCTTAGCTTCATACTTAATTCATTGCCTAACAATTCAGAGCCAATACTCCCCCCTGCCCCTGCAATAAGGACTCTTTTCTCCTTGATAAAGTATGACATAGATTCTTTAGCAAGAGTTTTCGAGTCTCTAGAAAGTAAATCATTTTTTCCCGGAAGCATTGCGAAGGGTTCTTCTTCTAAAAGCGGCTGCCAACTTCACCTGCCAACTTCTCATGCCAACTTGTCGAGAGTTACTTCACCTGCCAACTTCTCATGCCAACTTGTCGAGAGTTACTTCACCTGCCAACTTCTCATGCCAACTTGTCGAGAGTTACTTCACCTGCCAACTTCTCATGCCAACTTGTCGAGAGTTACTTCACCTGCCAACTTCTCATGCCAACTTGTCGAGAGTTACTTCACCTTACTTCTCACAACTGCCTACTTCTCATGTCAACTTTTCGGCTGTTATCTCATTCTACTAAAAGCACAAGCTAATTTGTCGGGTGTTACTTCACTATCCTAAAAACACAAGCTAACTTTTCTGTTCTACCTAAAGCACAAGCTAATTTGTCGGGTGTTACTTCACTATCCTAAAAACACAAGCTAACTTTTCTGTTCTACCTTCACTTCTCGACTCTTAATTCTTCTTCTTTTTATGGCGGGGGTAGGCCCGACGGGAGCTTACGAAACGCACCCCTCTGCGGAGATCGTGCGTGTCGAAGCGCTCTCGCTGTGGCGCCGTGCGAATTTGTCTTGAGCCCGGCGAACCCTCTGCGGAGATCGTGCGTGTCGAAGCGCTCTCGCTGTGGCGCCGTGCGAATTTGTCTTGAGCGCGGCGAACCCTCTGCGGAGATCGTGCGTGTCGAAGCGCTCTCGCTGTGGCGCCGTGCGAATTTGTCTTGACCTTGGCGAACCCTCTGCGGAGATCGTGCGTGTCGAAGCGCTCTCGCTGTGGCGCCGTGCGAATTTGTCTTGACCTTGGCGAACCCTCTGCGGAGATCGTGCGTGTCGAAGCGCTCTCGCTGTGGCGCCGTGCGAATTTGTCTTGACCTTGGCGAACCCTCTGCGGAGATCGTGCGTGTCGAAGCGCTCTCGCTGTGGCGCCGTGCGAATTTGTCTTGACCTTGGCGAACCCTCTGCGGAGATCGTGCGTGTCGAAGCGCTCTCGCTGTGGCGCCGTGCGAATTTGTCTTGACCTTGGCGAACCCTCTGCGGAGATCGTGCGTGTCGAAGCGCTCTCGCTGTGGCGCCGTGCGAATTTGTCTTGACCTTGGCGAACCCTCTGCGGAGATCCTGCGTGTCGAAGCGCTCTCGCTGTGGCGCCGTGCGAATTTGTCTTGAGCCCGATGAACCCTCTGCGGGGATCGTGCGTGTCGGATCGCTCTCGCTGTGGCGCCGTGCGCATCTGTCTTGAGCCCGATGAACCCTCTGCGGAGATCGTGCGTGTCGAAGCGCTCTCGCTGTGGCGCCGTGCGATTTTCTTGCTCGCGAAACGGCTTTTGGAAGTTGTCTCGTGGTGTGCGCGCCTGCTTTCCCAATCCCGCGGTCCCGGGTTCGATTCCCCCCTGGTCCGCGGCAGCTCCGGCTTGAAAATCGCAGCTTTTAAGTACAAACGTAGTACGCGGAGCGTGCTCCTGCAGCTCCGGCTGGAAAATCGCAACTTTTAAGTACAGACGTAGTACGCGGAGGCTGCTGCAGCTCCGGCTGGAAAATCGCACTTTTTAAGTACAGACGTAGTACGCGGAGCGTGCTCCCGCAGCTCCGGCTGGAAAATCGCAACTTTTAGATACAAATGGCTGGAAAATCGCAACTGTAAATTGCAAATGTAGCACGCGGAGCGCCTCCGCCGCTCCAGCTTTTTGAGGGTTAATTACTTCACCTGCCAGTTTCTCATGCCGAAACTTCGAGAATTACTTCACCTGCCAGCTTCTCATGCCACCTTTTCGAGAGTTACTTCACCTGCCAACTTCTCGTGCCAACTTTTCGAGGAGTTACTTCACCTGCGAGCTTATCATGCCAACTTTTCGAGAGTTACTACACCTGCGAGCTTCTCATGCCAACTTTTCGAGAATTACTTTACCTGCCAACTTCTCATGCCAACTTTTCGAGAAATACTTTACCTGCCAACCTCTCGTGGCAACTTCACCTGCCAACTTTTCGAGAATTACTTCACCTGCCAACTTCTCATGCCAACTTTTCGAGAAATACTTTATCTGCCAACCTCTCGTGGCAACTTTTCGAAAAATTACTTCACCTGCCAGCTTCTCATGCCAACTTTTCGAGAGGTACTTCACCTGCCAACATCGCCTGCCAACTTTTCGAGAGTTACTTCGCCTGCCAACTTCTCGCGCCAACTTTTCGAGAATTACTTCGCCTGCCAACTTCTCATGCTAACTTTTCGAAAGTTACTTCACCTGCCGGCTTCTCACGCCAACTTTTCGAGAGTTACTTCACGCGCCATCTTCTCGTGCCAACTTTTCGAGAATTACTTCACCTGCCAGCTTCTCACGCCAACTTTTCGAGAGTTACTTCACCTGCCAACTTCTCATGCCAACTCTTTGAGAGTTATTTCACCTGCCAACTTCTCATGCCAACTTTTCTCTTGAGTTACTTCGCCTGCCAACTTCTCATGTCAACTTTGCGAGAATTACTTCACCCGCCAACTTTGCCAGCCAACTATTCGAGAGTTACTTAACCTGCCAGCTTCTCATGCCAACTTTTTGAGAATTGCTTCGCCTGCCAACTCCTCATGCTAACTTTGCGAGAGTTACCTCACCTGCATCAACTTGCCTCTATGCTTCCGGGCCACTCGTCGTCTAGTTAATAGTTGAGTTAGCTGATTTGGCAATGCTATAACTAAAAGATCAAATCTTGAAGATTATAATTGTTAATGCAATTCTAGCTTTGAGAGAACTTGTTTACCATCTATGTTTTTTTTCAAAGATATATCATCATCAAAATTATTTTATCATATACCCTGTTGCATCAAGTTTCTGAGCTATCTTTGTCCCAGCAAGACCTGCACCAGGATGATTTCTAATGATTAATATAGTAAGTGAGAAGCTTTTTTTTAGCGCTAGGATATAGTTCTTGACCAGCGACATTTTGAAAAACTTGTTTTAAATGTACTGTCTAAAGCATCTCTTGTTTTTTCTTGAGCAACATCATAGTTGCTTCTTTCTTATTAATTAGGGTTAATTTACGTTTTTCAATATCTTGATATAGGTTTTCTACAGATATATCAATATGACTTGAGGCATTAGTATTTGGACATCTTTGTTGATCATATCGTTGCAAAGAAAACCAAGTATATGTCAATGTTTTGATTAATTCTAATACATCGTTATGATTAATTCTCTTTTTGGGCGGTCATGTTTTTTTAAATTGAGATATAACTTCAATCAACAGATTAGGGTCAGTTTCAAATTTTGATGGATTCATGGTAGAACCTTGTGTCATATGTTGCTTTAATGTGTGTGTGTGTGTTGCCCATTTTCTGAACTTTGTACCTAAAAATATAATTTATCCTATACCCTACAGATATGATCACATCAAGGTTATACTCTTTAACATGTTTGGAGTTGTTGAGGTGCGGATTGGTGTTGAGTCAGTTGTTTTGCCTTGAAGTAACCTGTTTGCACGTCTGCAAAAACAACCATTTCATGTGGAAAACACTAGGGCCCACAGCGTACCCCGCTCTACAAAATCAAAGACGAGATGGCCATGCTGTTGATGTACAATTAATGCATGACCATGCAATGATGCACTATCTGGGCTGGGGAAAAGAGCGTCAGCCAGGCTTTCGAGCGGATGCTTTTAATTTCGGCTGACACTTTCCAGGTTTGAATCCACAAGGTCTGGTCAGCAACGCTTTGCAGAGTCCTGCGGCAGGTGACCATGAGCTGTGTGTCAGCATGTGTCGCTGCTGCTGCGCGGAGCCCAGAAAGCGCGCAATTTCAGTGCCCTTTTGCATCCCAAAGCACTTGTTTTTTAAAGATAAAATTATCAAACAAATCAATTCATCAGAAAGGGGCTCCCATCGGCAAATGGGACGCCTGCGATCATATCTAGCAGCAGGACGCCCCCTTTGCCTACCTCATCGGCAAGGCGCCAGAGGAGAGAGCCGTGCAACTCCATAATTCCAGCCCAACCAGTTCAATGCAACTGGCACATATTGTCATAACCAGAGAGGTTCCTCATTGCCTCACTCAAAGGGGGACAAGCCCTTTGGGTCGGAGAGGTTTTTCAGCGGCGACTTGCGGGGCCCGAGAGATCAGCCACCGCAGGATGCTGTCGCGTGCGACCGCGCGGGGCGACCCGCCGACGTGCCTTGGGTATGGCTGAGCTCACAGGCGGATCAGGCCAGCTGGCCGACTGAGACCCACGCTTCTGCATCAAGTAAAGGATCAGGAAGCACATGTTTGTGCGTCTCCCCCCCGCCCTCACAGCAAGCATGTCGCCCAAACCGGGTTTCCCCAACTGCTTCGGGCAGGCGTTCGAGGCCCACTCCCCACACTGTCTGGTCGTTTGGGGGTGGGTCTCCCCGTTCTCCGCACAGAATGGGGGGATGCCGCTTTGTCGCTGCTCCTGACGCAGGGATTTGCTACAACGCTCAAGGTCCCCGAAAGAAAAGGAGGCTGCAATCGCACCAAGCACCAACAGCCTGATGGCCTCGGTTTGGATAATTCATGTGTTAGCTTCCTGATCGTGCATCATTCAATCTCAGATGGGTGTGTCTTTTTTTCTTTTCTCAGGATATTTGTTTTTCTTCTAAACCACCAGGAATACCAGCATTTTGGAGGGTTCCTTTTTTTGCACTTTTAAAGGGAACCACCAGGAATACCAGCATTTTGGAGGGAATCCCCTAAAAAAAGGGGTTCCTTTTTTTGCACTTTTAAAGGGAAACCAACAGGAACACCAGCATTTTGGGGGGAATCCCCTAAAAAAGACTTTGGGGGGAATCTCCTAAAAAAAGACACTTTTAAAGGGAAAGCCAAAGGAGAACCAAAAAAGGACACACCCAGAAGTTGTGCGACGCCTGGCAGGTGGTGGCCAGCTTCAATGGCTCCAAGCTGGTGCCAGGCTACCACTATGAGCTATGCCTGGCCTCCTCCTCCCTCTCCGATGAGGTCCGGGGTGTGCTCGAAGGCTTCAAGGCATAAGGCGCCCCTTTTCTTGAGGGTATATTTTTTTTGGGGGTGGGTTGAAAGGAAAGACATTGCCTCCCACCCACTAACATGGGTCTGTGCAAAAAGGCCAACTAGCCAAGAGGAAAGTAGTCTTTCTACAGGGGTCTGTGCACTGCCATGTTAGCTGGTGGGGTAAGGCGTCCCTTTTTGGAGGGTGCCCTTGTTTGGGGTTGGTTGAAAAGGGACACCAAAAACCAAAGCGCCATGCATACACAGAAGTACCCCATGAGCAGGGCTCCACTTTTTGACTATTTCAAAGTAGACTTAATCCCAAAGGAGAAGCCCTGGGTTTAAGTCCATCTTGGGGTAGTCAAGAAGTGGGTATGGGTCAAAATTGAACCACCAGAGGACTGCAAGTTTTAGTCCTTGGTTCCATTTGCCAGGGCAAGCCATTTTGGGTACCTATTTCTGACCCACAGCCAAGTGGAACCCTGACCCCACGAATTCTGCGGCGCTCTCCAAGCAGGCGGGTTTGGCGGGCCTCAGCGGCGTGGCCATCTTCGTGTCCGGCCTCCTCGCCGCCAACGCCGTGCATGTGGAGCCGCCTGCGGGCGGAGCAACGCAGATCTACCGCGGGGCGCGGCAAATGCTGGCTGGGACCTCGGCCTGTCTCACCATGCCGGTCGAGGTCAGGTAGTTGTATTTTTTTTACTGCATACCAAGACTTTGGGCATTGAATGCATGCCTCCTTCTGACCGAAATGGTGTTTACAATGCTTTGCATGCGCGTATACTAATGTAGATTCTTCGGAGTTCTGCTGGCTTGTCAACTGGCACTCCACAGCAGCATCTCATGCACAAGTTCGCTTGTGTGGCGTGAGCTGTTTGAGGCAGTAGTGTGTACGAAGACTGCCAACTGCAGCACGCAGTCAGAGGCAGGGAGACAACGAATTGCACAGTTGTGTGTGTACCCACATTCATGTGGGAGTCGTTCTAAAGGTCCTTGTAAGGAGTTTAGTATTCGGTGACCATCGGTGTTGGTTTAGGTAGCTCCGCGAAAGATTCGCGATGGAGTTGCGAAAGTAACTTTTTTTCTCGCGAAAGTTTTGCGTAACTGTATCTGGTAAATCAATGATATGTGGAACCGTTCATCTTTTCTGCTGAGCCTTCCTTCTATTCTGATTAAAACACTTTGTTGATGTTGCGCTAATAAAGCCTGGTGAGGCTACAGTTTGATACCCTGCTTGGCTGGTTAGTGCTCCAAGCCTGTGTATGTGTGTGTGTGTGGGTGTTAGTCGGTGGCTTTCCGCTCTGAAACGTGGGTGATGTTTCGCGAAAGTTCCGCGAAAGATCCGCGAAAGATCCGCGAAAGCCCGCGCGAAAGCGCAGGCTTCGATTGCAAGGGGAGGTATAGTCTGAGCGCCGATCTAGTCAGTATACTAGCTTGGTACTGGAAAGCTGCGACTTCAAGCTGGAGCTGCACGGCGAACGAGAAGCTGCGACTTTCCAGCCGGCGCATGTCATGTACTACCCCTGTGATGAAAAGTTGCGACTTTACAGCCGGAGTTGGGAACTCGTCATTTCGCTTACAACGCTGGCACTTAAAAGCTGCGATTCTCTGACTCGAGAAATGAAAAGAGCACGGCGATGAATCCGCGAAAGATTCGCGAAAGTAACTTTTTTATTCGCGAAGAATGGCCGTTTCGAGACAAAGGAATTTAGATCAACCACCATGTGTTCCTGGCGATTTTCACCTGGTATGCCACACAGCTTCAAACATTGGAGGGACAATCCCAGAGCGGGAGACATGGCAAACTTGGTGCTGCAGCCCTGGTGCAAGGTCTTCCTGTCTGCAGGTGCGGGAAGTGAGAGCCTAAGCGGCTTGACGTTTTGTATGACACTGAGTCAATACATGTACGGAGGCACGACTGCCTTGACGGCTCGTGCTGCGTTAACCCCGGACGGAGAGGCGCAGAGCACTCAGCTGGGTGCGTGACAGTGGCGAGTCCACTGCAATGAGGACTGGGTGGCAGCCATCGATGCTGCAGGTGCAGCCGTGTAGCCGGTAGTTTCGCCACGCCTCTTCCGTCGCTGGGTCCAGGTGTACCTGCCGGGGTGTACTATGACCTCAGCACGGCCCCGAAGAACTCGGAGCGGAGCTCGGATCAGTCGCGCCTGGACGCGCGACTTGAGGTGTGGATCTCCATGGAACGGAGGGCTGGGGACTTGGACCTTTGCCTCTCTCTTGAAAGCTGCGATTTGCGGCGCTTGCCTTGACAGGATTGCCGCCTGGTAACACTGGTCTCATGATCTTCGTGCTTGCATCTCAGACAAGCTACATGTTTCTTCTGCTTGAAAAGGGTACCTTGAACTAACTTTGTGGCGGTTCTGCTTTCTGCTTGTTAGCGTAATACATGTTGGCCATGGGCCTGCCAAGATTTTGACGTTGCGTGCGCAGGTCTTCTTCGCAAAACTTTATATGTGAAGCCTTAAATATTTGATTGACGCGAAGCCGAGGGGAAATCAACCAGGTTGAGGCGTCCCTCATTTCGACGGCTACTTTTCATTGGCTCGGCCACTTGTCGGGCTCAGGTCCAGCCTGGCGGCCGCAGTGCAGACCATCGCGGCGGAGCAGCAGCAGCTGCTCTTCTCCTGCGTCAGGCCCTCAAAGCAATAAGAGGTGGCCATGGGTCAAAATCCCAAGCCCGTACCCCCAGTGAGCATCCGATTCAATCCATCCACTAAAATAAGTTCTAAAATGGGTGGTGAATTCACCTACCCCAAAATGGCACCATTGGTTTTGACCCACGGCCAGGTGGAGGCTGAGTGAGTGAGAGTGAAAGTGCAAATGAACAACAGAGAAGGGTGGGTAGGGAGAAGGAAGGAGTGAAGAGTGAAGTAGGGAAGAAACGAGTGCAGAGAGGGGAGCCAAACTGAGGCTCAAGGCTGCTCGACCAGTGCGCAAGCCATCTTGGCGCGGGATTGCGGAGGCACAGACGCTAGTCACCCAGCGGGCCAGACAGCCTGGCCTTGCCCAGGTCTGTCAGCTCTGCCTGGTACGGCCGCGGCTTTCTTTGCCCGAGCCTTTCTTGAGCTCTTGGGGCCCGGCAAGTCTTGAGACCAGGAATCCGACAGCAGCGGATGGTCCACAATGATCCAGGCGCAGACTTCCTGGCACATGTTGAGGCAACGTATGGGAGCTGAGGCATCCCCGCTGGCGCCAGGATACCGCTACCAGATGTGTGGGGCCCCCAGCGTTGGACAAGCAGAGAGCACGAACAAACCAAAATTCCGAGACGGCTCGAGGCGTGGACTATGATGGGCCAGCAACATCGTTGCAGATCGGGCCATCTGGTGTGGTGGCGGGGCTCCTTCCGTGTGCCGTGATGCCCCCGCGGTGTTGGGACGGGGGAGGCCTACATCTCGGGAGTGACCGATGTGGTGCCTGGCTTCGTGCCAAGCGGAGGCGAACAGGAACTGGCGCTGTTTTGTGGGCAGGACACGATCGAGAAATCTGTGGGCAGCGATTTGGGCCTTGCTTGCCCTTCTGCTACCGATCGGTTTGTGATGAATCTCAGTGTCACAGGACTGTGGAACATCTTGGGCTCGCGCGCGCCTTATGCTGAAACAGACGGATGGTCTGAAGCTTGCCTGCTCAAGGACTGGCTCGTGACTGCACATCGAATCTCACCGAAGGAACAGAGTGGCTTCCTCTTGTGGCAGGCGAGGTGGATTCGACTTGGCGATGCCAGAGCCCAAATCCTGGCGGTGAGGCGTCAACAACAGCCACAGCATCCTGAAGCTTCCGACGCAGAATTTGGTTGTGCAGAGCTTGGACGTATGCGCATAGCCATGAAAGTGCCTTTATGCTCAGCTCAGGCTGGCGCGCACTACACCTTGTGCACGGAGTTGCATCTTCAAGGCGGACGGCATGGAGTTTAGTGGACATTGATCGCGTCAAGCCACAAGGAGGGTCCCATTGTAATGCCAGGCTTCAACGAGACCCCGGCAGCGGCGCTCAGAGTTGTGTCAGAACGGGGTTGCTTCGCTCCGAAAGTGGTCGCTGTTCGGGTTTTCTTCTAAGACAAGCTGACCGTGGGACACCCCAAGAGACCAAAAATCTATGGGGCCTGAGGACATTGGAGACTCTGGCTGGAGCGTCTACGCCGGTCACTTGGGCTCAAACTCGGTGTGTCTGCAAAATCGAAGCTCACAGGTGTCGCCATTGGAGAGCTTTGAGCCCTGCCCTTTACCGGAAAGCGGAGCGTGACAGTTTCTTTGGCGTTTGGGGAGGCGTCAGTTGCGATAAGCCAAGGCCAGAGGTGTTGCTGCCTGGGCAGGCAAGATGAGGGTTTGCGTGTGGCTCAAAATTAAACAGGAGGGGTTACGCCCATGTTTCCATTTTCCAAGGGGCCATTTAGCCACAGCCGGTTTCTCCTGGGATGAAGCCAGCCGAAAAGCTGAGGCGTTGAGACTCAACTGCAGTGCCTGCAACCAGCAATGCTCCCAGATGGGGTGGGAGGTCATCGAAAGTGCGGCTTCCTTCCTTTGCCCCCCCCCCTTCCCAAATCAAAGGCGACTGTAGAGCTGATACTCCCCACATCGTGCCGCGTTGTTTTGTCCCCGTCTGAGAGAGCCGCGGGCAGCCGTGCGCAGTTTGCATGCGTGACTGAGGTCCCAGGGCTTCCTGGCTCGGAATTGCGGAGGCCAGGGGGGGGGGGGGACATTGAATGGCGGAAACTGGGGCAAAGATGGGAGCCAAAGTTTCTATGGAAATGTTTCAATTGGAGCCAATTCCATTGAATGGCGGAAATCCCATGGAGCTCGGCCAAAACCACATCCTTGCCGTGGCAGTTAGAACACGTCACTCCATGTTTCGCGCGATGCATCGCCGAAGGTGCAGGAAAGCTGGCGCCTTCCGGAAGCCAGAGCATCTCTGACCGCGTGCCCGGCATGCTGGAGATTTGACAGATGAATCTGGAGTGCGGTTGTTTCTTATTTTTTTTCTTCTCGGATTTGAGGAACTGCCCCAAAATAAGTCGAACCCCCCACAAGAGGGCGCAATATTATTATTAAGTATTATGGTATGTCAACACCGCAACAGACTAGGTGGCAGCATAGTTTGTCAGGGAACATATTATCAGTGATTTTGCTATTTGCGCGAAGGCTTCTAGGGCTCAAAGACTTCGAGACGTGATTTGTTCAATGCAACGTCTATCAAAGTTTCGAAGACCCAGCTTTATCTTCGACAACAACCCTAAACCCTAAACGCTGCGCGCTTGAACAAGCGCGTTGGCTGCGCTATTGGCAAGTCCCTTTGGTGAGGAGACCCACTGGATCTCCGAGCCTAACAGGACTTACCTGGCCTGACCAGGCTGCCGATCAGCCTTGAGAAGAAGGCTCTCACCCCAGAGGCAACGCCGCCTCAGGGACTTCTCATAATTCCAAGGTCGCCGCCCTCCGCCTCGGCATTGCGGTCTTGGAGAGCGCGGGCGTCTTGCAGATGGCCGGCCAGCTCCTGGAGACAGACAAGCCGGGCGGGGCCACTGGCGTTGACGCCCTTCTTCGGCCGCTCTGTCGGGTTGGCTTCAAGAAGACGACGGCCGATCCTACTTGGAGGCTTGCCAATTGTTCGCCGGAGCAACTCGGGCCAAGAGCGTGACCATGCAAAGGTTGCAGCTGCGGCGCAGCAGTGGCGCGCCGGCGTGGCTGCGCTCGGAGAAAACCACGCGCGGGATCAGCGGAAAGTCGCGCGAGCCAGCGCGCGGCAATACTTGTTGTCCATGGACTCCCTCGAGGAGATCGCCTGGATCGAGCGCCTGAAGACGCTGGTCAAGGCCGCAGGCAACGCTGACCGGGAGGCCGCGCACAAATGGCTTGGCGAGCCAGAGAGCAAGTTTGTTCTCGAGAAGGCTACCGCTGCAGCCCGCATGAGGGGGTGCTCAATCGGTGCGCGCTCCGAGGAGTCCGAAGCTGTCGGCAGCTCCGCCGCGGCGTCGGCGCGGATAGCCCGAGCCAAGGCAAGAAGCGCAAGAGGACGCGCCCAAAAGGACAGGAAGGAGAAGTCCAAGCGGTCTTCCAGCCCAGCAGACATGCTTCGTCCTAATTAAACCGAACCCCTTCCCGCGCATGTCGAGCTGGCGCTCAGCAGGGGCCCCTGCGCTTCGAATAGTTCAGACATGCTTCGTCCGAATTATTGAACTTCCTGCCAATGTGCATCTGTATGTCAAGCTGGCGCCCAGCAAAGGGCCTCTGCGCTTCCAATAATGCAGGCACGCTTCGCCCTAGCTATTGAACCCCCTCCACCCATCTACATCTCTTTGTCGCTGGCCCCGAGTCCAGGTTTCTGTGCTTCCAATAATAGACATGCTTCGTCCTAATTGCTGCACCCCTTCCCGCCCACGTACATCTTTAAGTCGAACTGACGCCCAGTAGAGGCCTCTGCGCTTCTAATAATTCAGACATGCTTTGTCCTAATTCTTGAACCCCTTCCCGCGCATGTGCATTTGTATGTTGAGCTGCGCTTCTAATTCAGACACGATTCGTCTGAATTATTGAGCTTCCGGCCAATGTGCATCTGTATGTCGAGCTGGCGCCCAGCAGAGGCCTCTGCGCTTCTAACAATTCAGAGATGCTTCGTCCTAGCTATTGAACCCCTTCCCGCCCATGTGCGTCTATATGTCGAGCCCAGCAGAGGCCTCTGCGATTTTAAAAATTCAGACATGCTTCGTCCGAAGTATTGAACCTCTTGTGTTGAGCTGGCGCCCGGCAGAGGGCTCTGCGTTATTTTTTTGAATTTCAGACACGCTTCGTCCTAGTTATTGAACCCCTTCCCACCCATGCGCGTCTACTTCGTCCTGATCATTGAACCTTCGACGCTCAAAGCCACGTGGTTGCTGGCTGAAGCGCGAGGCTGAGGGTGCAACAAGCCACATCAACATCGGGAGCGATTTCGTCGAGGCGGAATCAGCCGCGACTGGGAGCTGTGTGTTCTACAAGTTCTGTTGTAGAGCGACCCGGCCCGCATCGATGTCTTGCTCAGGACACGTGAGTGGCTTTCACACCGGTGCCAAAGAGCGTTGCGCTGCGCCGTGACATGACAGGTGGTAGCAGGACGGCCGGACTTGTAACATGTAGGCTACGTTGATCTCTCAGGAGGAACCCTTCGACATGCACGCATGTATTCGGCGCTCTGTCTGTTGCTTCTCTCTCTCCTCTCTCCCTCTCCCTCTCCCTCTCCTTCTCCCTCTCCCTCTCCCTCTCCCTCTCCCTCCCTCTCCCTCTCCCTCTCCCTCCTGCCTCGATGTCCGAGCACTGCCCCCTCCTGACCCTGAACTTTTCACGTTTCTCATGATGCGCCGGTCATGTCCCTTCTATTCCTTTCAACCCCCCCTTCATGTCCCTGACATTTTCTCGGTATGTCCGCTTCATTTTCCATGTATGTCCCGTTCTTGAGTTGTCTCCCGTCGTGCCGATTGGTTTCCTTGTGCTTCGTTTCCCTTTCATTCCCCCTGCACTCCCCTTGTTTTCATTTCTGTCCCTTTATGTCCCTTTCAGTTCCCCTTTCTTTCAATGTCATTTCAAATGAGTCATTTTCCGTTGCTTTCCTGTCATGTCGACTTCCTATTTCCTCCCCTCATTTCCTTGCACTTCCTTGCTTTTCCCCTTTGCTCCCCAGTACTTCCCGCAAAAAACACGGCTTTCCAGCGTTTTCGCAAAGAGGACGTCCAACAACACAGAGTTTTTCCAGATTTTCGGCAAAAGGCGGCAGGAAGCCCAAGCCAGCAAAAGAGCCGGCAGGGGGAATCGAGGCTGGGACCCCTGTTTTGCGACAGCGGCTCCCCGAAGACTACGTTTAGTGGAACGTCATCAAATTGCCGCGCGGTACGTGGGGACCCCCCCCGGCCCCCTAAAACCTACGTATTAGACGTCGGGGTAAGGGGGGGGGTTATCCTCTATCCTCTAGTAAGTATCCCACACGCCGAACAATGATTTTCGGAGCTGGCGCAAGATTGGCCTTCCAAATGAAGACTTCGGGTGGCTGCTTAATTACCTGCACGCTGGCAGGGAAGCCGGAGACAGAAGCGCGTCATGACCAGCACGCGGTTCTGGTATTACGACGCGACAGGTCCCGAGATGCGGTTTTCTTGCGATGGCCCAAGTCTTCCAGCGTCTGTCGCTGGCAGCGCGCTACTTGCAATCGCCCCGCGGCGCAGCGGAGAAGTTGGCTCAGACCGCTGGCTTCCCCGAGTTTCGTGCTGCGACACTGGAGAGCGCTTTGTGGCCAGACAAGTGGCGCTGGATATTTGTAGCTTTCTTTGAGCTGGCCCAAGACAGAGCCAAGGCAGCCCCTAAAACTTCCCTTCCCGCAACACGCGTGTGCCGTCGTGGAAGTATCAGCCCGCATCATTGTCAAGTTCTTCCTCCTGTCACGCACCCCTTGGCGCCGAGAATAGTCCGTTGAGGTAGCGACCAGTTCATGCGCCTAGTCCCCTCCCCCCGAAGAATGAACTCCCTCTATAAAACATATTATATGTTTCTAGAACCCCAAAACTCAAGGTCCGGGAATGCCAAATTTAAACTAACCAAATTGAAACTAAAGCTAAGCTTCCGATTTGTCCCACCAAGTCGCCAGCACCCCTATGTAACAAAAAAGTTCTTACTCCCTTTAACCTCTTTGCTTGGAAACAAGCATCAGTTCAATCATTGGAGCCAAGAAGAGGGGGACGGAGTACTCTGCAAACTAGTTTGGCCTCTCTTCCTTCCTCCCTATCCGCTGACCTTGCCTTTTTGTGCGCGAGGCCGTCTGACTGTGTCCGGCTTTCCAGGTGGCTCGGGTGGCTAGCTGGCTTGCTAACTGCGCTTGACCCCAACAAAACAAAAACATTGGTTTGTTCTGCCTGGCTGCTTCTGTCATGCAAGGGGGCCCTTAGAGCTGCTATGCTCTCCTGTTTGCTTGCCCTGACTCTTTTGCAGGCCCTGTCCTCAGTACCCCAAACAAACAACTGATCGAATTATTTGCTCAAAAACGCCATCCTGCAACACGTCTTGATTGGACAGGATTTGGACACCCGAAACCTGGGACTTGGGACCCCTAATTCCATTTTGTTTTAATGTTCGGGGCAAGGGGTTACATAGGTGCCAGGTGGCCAAGCGTGAAGTCATCATTGGCTGACAACCCCTTTTTTAAGATGCTCCCAGCGTCTGTAGCTTTTTGTAGTTGACAAATTGTTTCACTAAGATGGTTGTACCCAGGCCTTTAGTTGGGTAATGATCTGTCACATGATGTCACACCATTGCTTTGTATGCAGGTGCTTTTGAAGCTGGATGCCGCTTGCATGATGAAGATGCTAAGCCTCTCATTCTTTTCTCAACGTGTTGCCTGATGAAGATGCTAAGCCAGCCTCTCATTATTTTCTTGACAACATGTTTGTGGTTCTTCAACAGCTTGAGCTTTGGCTAGGTTTGAGTGAGTTGACCCGAGCGTACGAAATGACAGGCACTCCTGCGGCGCAGCTGCAGCCGGAGAATGAGACTGCGGTGTGAGGCTCAGAGTGTCGGACTGCGAAGGCCTGCAGAGCGCGTGGATTCCAGGAGACTTAAAACTTAAGCAGATAGAAGATTTGGGACAGTACTTGAGATTTTGGCCCGCGATTTTGTTCATTTGATTGGGGATTTGATGACCGACTGATGTTCTGCGTTTGACCAGCACAAGATGTGGACGGTCACACGGATGATTCAGCAAAGGCTGCTTGATCTAATAACAGTTTGCACTGGGAGAACCAAGGCCGAATTTCGCCTGGCCTTGGAGATGGCAGACTTGCTCCCAGGATGGGGCTTTGCACACGTGTGCTGTGTGCACAAACCGCACAAGTGAATAATTTGTTGGTGTGACGGCCGGCCTTGCAAGTCGCCGGATTTTATTTGGCGTATCGTTAGGACGTCACTACCGCCTTTGCTTGGACGTGGACGGCCTTGGCTCTCTGTACTCTACTGGGCAGCCACACTCTCAAAAGCTCAGCTACAAAGAAAGCTCTGGGCTGCTGCCTGCTCAGGTCATCAATCACTCAGATCTACATCTCTCCCATCATCTCGGCCTACACTGGTGTCCAAACACTGAACACAGTGCAGGAGCCACCAAATACAGTCGATACATTTTAGACGGTGATGACTTTTGGAAGTCCGAAACATGTCAAAGCTTTCTGCTTCTCTGAAGTACACGCAGGATCAGGTCCTTGATGTGCTCGGCGCCAAGACTTGCTGAGTGTAGTCCGTGAGTGTTTTGTTTCTTCTTCTTTTTCCCGGTTGAACCCCGTCCAGAAGTGCTATTTCAGGCGGTGCACAGCGACTGCTGAGTGCTCGTCTCTCACAGCCAGGGCCTCTAAATGCTGACGTTACCAAGTCTTTTTTCTGAGCAAAGGTCTGGTACTTGACCGCGGGCACTTGTGGAGAATCCGGAGATGCTTCTTTACAGCCACAACAAATTTCTCCAGCACAGGACTGGGCTGCCAAATCACTCTCGAAACCTGGGAGACACGACACACGCCAGGCGACAGGGGTGCTGAGTGCGTCAAGCAGTTCCGGTGCCTGGGGCCTTAGCCTTGCAGAGAGAGCCCATTTGCTTTGATGGGCCCTGTGCGCCTTTTTGGCACTTTGGGCATTGCCTGCTGCCTGTTCAGGGGCATGAAGCACGACTGGATGGAGCGAAGCTTGAATCTGGCAGCTTGGCTTGAACTTCAAGCGTCCATGTCAGAGCCAAGTACGGATTTTAAGCTGGGCCCTTCCCTTTAGGCATGGGCCGTAAAAAGAATTAAATGAACGGACACAGCAGGCCTTAACTGATGGGGTGGGACCGCGCGCTGTTTTTGCTTCTTATGTTTGTGTTTTTGTGCCTGAAAACTATTGTTAAGCCGCAAGTGTGTGAGTTCTGCGTAATGAGCTTTGCGTCGTTGGGGGCAGGCCATGCCGTGGCGAGTGCAGTCAATGCCCTAAGGCTGGCATTATCGCCTGTGCCTAGACTTGGACGGCGTGGGCGAGAAGTACTGGCCAGGGGACACTTTGGTGCAGGCAGCTCTAAACATCAGTCGCGTTGGTCGTGCTGGTCGCATTGGCCACGTTGGTTGCATTGGTGATGTGTCATTGGTGTATTGTCCACATATCATGGCCCACGCCAGGTGTTTGCCAGCGGCATTCTGGCACTTGCACCTCCCCAGATCCTTGTGTCACCTTCAGAGACAATGTTCTTCCAGTGCCAAGCTCAGTATGTTTTCAGTGTGTGTTTGCCGATGGAACGATGGCGTGTTTTGGTCCCAAGGTGTGCCCCAATGGGATGCTCTGCCGACGCGATGGTTTGGTTGGCGGCGCCGGCTTGGTTTCGGATCGTGGCGTCCTCGTTCTGCGCATTGCTCCTGAGGCGCCAGACTGCGGCTCGGTGGCCGTGACTCCTCCTGCGGCTTTGAACGCACGCCGAGACGGGAAGGGACGGGCACCGGGGCTTCGCGTCACAAGGGCACATGGCGATGTGCTAAAGCTATCGACGGATTGCTGATTTTGAACCTTTTTGTTGGGGAAGGCTTGAACGAAGCCAACCAATTGGCGGGATCCCTAGTTTGACACGTATGTTGCACGTGAGCAACATTCAATATTCATCAAAGTGGACGGAGTTTGAGCACATACACACACGCACCAAGTAAGTTGCAAGCAGAGAAGGGAGGTTTGCGCCGAAATTCGTCGCCATGGAAACATGAGATGCATATTGAGCGTCACACGCACAGACGCGCACGATACATTATAGAATGTTTAGAAGCCTGCCTCCCGTGCATTGCCAAGATTGACTTGCTCATGAACCACCAATACAGAGGGTACCCTAGAAACAGACATACCCAAGTAGGCACTGTGACATGATGGTTATTGCTACCCTTCACAGGGAAGTCACGCCCAACCCAAGGGAGACGACCAAGCAACGTGCACTTGCCGCAGGTCAGCGGCCTGCAGGCCTCAGCTGTGCTCGACACAAGCTCTGCTCCAGCGCGGTGCTGAGAAGAGTTCCGTTGCCAGGACCCGGAATACATAGGCTTGTGCCAGAATGGGGGAAGAAAAAAAAACGAACGGTGGTTTCCCGTTGGCTTTGAGAGGTGAAGAGTGTACCCTCAAGAAATCATACACCACATGTTCCATGGTTTGGTACGGTCTGCGGTGTTGCTGGGGACTGCGACCCCATGACCCATTCGCCAGTCGGAGTTTGGAGGCCGGGCAAATGCTGGAGTTGTGCTACCAGGGCGCCGGGTTGCTGCCAGGCACTAGCTTGACTCCAAAGCATCGTTTTGCTGACAAAGTCACGGCGCAGGCGGCACGCGGCTTTTTGTTTACCTCTCTGGCATCCTTGCAGTGCATCCCTGGATTCAGACTTGGGCCTGGCACCTAGATCCAGATCTAAGCGCTGAAAACATTGCCGCAGACACTCGAGAGATGCTCGTGCTGGAAGATCGAAGGTTGGCCGCCTGTCGGTGGAGTGTGCCACGTCCGCCTGTGACACTGCATCTGAGGCCGGACAGTCTGACTCGGGTTGCCGGTACATCCTATATTGTTTGTGGATGGTGAAATGGGCCTTCTCGTATTGCTGAAGTGTGTTTTCGTCATTTGACGGTAGTGTCTTCCCTTGGCTTCTGCGAACTCGTCAGCTTGCAGGGAAGAGAGTGGATGGATACCGAAATTGATGAGAAAACACATCACAATCGCTCAGCCGCAATCAGATTCTCGCTGGTCGTCACCAGGCCTACCTGGGGCTGCAATGTGAAAGCCGGCCTGGCTCACTGCCACCAACAGCTGCTGCCCAGTTGGTCCAGGATTCCGAACTTTCGTTGAGTAGCCTCTCACCCTGTGAGGTGCCTGGCTTTGCATTCTTGTTGCTAGGGGGGTGGTCCCTCTCACGGTTTGTTGGTCAGGACGGTGATGAGCACACGACTGCTGCTCCCTCAGCCGAAAGCGTATCTGTTTTGTATCTGGCTCAAGAGCTTCAGGTGCTTGACTTGAGCCCGCTGATTGCAGGAGTTCACTACAGGCGCACCATGTGCTTGGTGGTTGCAGGGATCAATGAGTCAAATGAGCGGATGAGCTGGAAGGCTTTGCACAGACTTGGATGGGCCAGGCGGGAGGAACATCGCAGACCAATTGCATGTATCTCTTGGAGCGGTTGGCCATGTTGGGTGTGGGTCAATATTGAATCACGAGGGGACCGCAGATTTTAGTCCATGTTTCCATTTACCAGGCAAGCCATTTTGGGTACCTATTTATGACAACCACAGCCATGTGACAAGGCCCGCTGCCCGCCTTCTTCTCGAGCTTCTCTGTCTTTGTGACGCGTGTGCGCCCTGCCCCTAGGCTTGGCTTTGCTGGGCTACTCCTTGTTCCTTGTGGTAGCCACATCAAAATCTTTCCCCGGCCCAGGTCAGTCTGCACTTCACCTGGTGGCAAAGCAGGTCGTCCAGCGCTCGGATGACCCCTCAAAAGGAGGGTTCTGCTTTGGGGAGCTTCTTAGTTTGACGCTGGCTGCGGTGAAAATCAGAACAAGTGGCTCACCTCAGCCGACGAGCAGAACCGATGTGCCTTGGGCAGGCACGCTATCCGCTCCTGCTGGACTGCGATCCAGCCGGCTGTCCTGGAGCTGTAGCCGAGGTGCTTTCTGCAGAGCCCCACTCACCCAAACGCACGCAACATGAGCGAACCGTGATTCTGAGTCAGTCTGATACTTCATGGCGTTGTCGGGATTCACCTTGGCTTCATTCAAACTTGTTTTGCCGGCTTCAAATGGTTGACCCCTGTGTTGGGTGTTGTACATCAGAGACGCAGCGCTATATCGCTTGCACGGGCCCGCCGCAGCAGTTCCTTGCCAGGCTTTCGCAGCGGAGAACTGCAGCGCGCAGCCACAGCCTGGGGACAGGCGGCGCGTCGATCTTTGGCGCGCTTTCAGTTGACCATGGGTCAAAATCCCGTACCAAAAAGTGAACATCCCAATCCCCACTGAAATAGGCTAGAATGGGTGGTACACCTACCCCAAAATGGTACCATTGGTTTTCACCCACAGCCAGTCTCATCTTGACTCCAGGCTCACAACTGAAGGGGCCCGCAGGAGACTGCTTGGAACAAGCATGCACTGCTGCATGTGCTCGAGGGCTGCATTTGGCCAGGATTGCCACGGTGGATGCATCGTCCCTGACCGCAAGGTGGCTGGTGTGGAGTGATTCGGAGTCGGCAATGCAAGTTTCCCACACGTGTGTCACTTGTCAAAAGATTTGGCCTCTTGGGGCATACCGATTTGGCCTCTTGAAAGATGGGTTGACTTCCACGGCAATTTCGGCTCGGGGAGCATCACCATTGAGGTGGTACTACTTGTGCTTCGATGAGGATGGCAAGGCTCAGTGTGGCTATGAATTTTCATAAGCCACCTCCCAAATGGTTGGTAGAATTCATACCGTCCCATAGCCTTGGATTCGACTCGCACAGAGGCATCCGCAGCTCTGCACCCGGGCCCGGTGGGCCATCTCTTCGTGAGCCCCGTGAGCAGAGCCCTCGACCGTGGATTGGAGCGGTGGGCCGATGGGACGCCAGCTTTTCAGCTGTCAGGCGCGGTGTGGCCAGGCACCTTGGCCGTCCAAGCCTGAGATGTGCAATGCATGGCACGGAAGAACCGATATGGCCGTGGGTCAAAACCGTTTTGGGATCCCATGTTGGGGTAGGTGAATTCACCACCCATTTTAGAACCTATTTTAGTGGGGATTGGGATGTTCACTTTTTGGTTCGGGATTTTGACCCATTTCCATATTTGGGAGGGACCAAAGGCATGGTGGCCAAACAGCGATTTTGAGCTTTGAGCCTTTGGGCCAGGCTGGCGGTCTTCGAACCTTGATGCTGAATTGCACCAGCTGTGAGGGTGCTGCCGCAACGGCCTTGATCAATCAATCACTCACACAGCCAGATGCAGATCTTCAGGTCTTTCTGTCGGCAACCTGCACCTCGCACAATGCCAGCTCCCAAGCGAAAGCAACGGCCTGCCGCTTCACACGATTCTGCACGCTGGCAAGAGCTTCGCATCCAAATGATTACCAAGCTACAGTCGTCCATCACAGGTGTTATCTCAAGTTCGACTAGCGGTGTGTTGAGCTGTTTACATCCCTCGATTTGTCACAAGCTTGAAGCACCATGCAACAGCCCGCTCGTAGCATTTGACAGAACCCCGAAAGTTTTTCACGAGGCTTGCCCCAGGCTGAGCCTCTCCTGTTCATGCTGCGCAAAATCCGACTCTTCTTGACACCGCACGTGTCGAAGCCAAACCGAAATCGGTATCGTGGGGTGCGCATGTGCGATGCTCCACGACTCCAAGGCATCCAGCGCTTTGGAGCCTCTGGGATTTGGGTCAAGTATGGCGATGCCCGCGCCTGAGTGGAGTCGCCACTCTACCGGGGTGCAAGCTGAGATCCTGCAACTGGACTCACTAGTTCCCGCTGTTCCGTTGTTCCTGGAACGGGAAGGGACCCAAGGGCAGGGAGCTAGGATTTCGACCTTCACGCATTTCAGCCAGTGCTGTCATAGGCTGGACACCTCATCCGTGGATCCTGGTTTCTATCGGCTTTGCGTCCGCACCTCAGCTGCCCAAGTCCCATGCATTCTCCAATCGCCATTGGCTGACACTGGACCGACGTGAGGTGAAGGACTTGGCAGGGAACGTCACCGGGCCGAGTGGCGAGGCGGTGTTCGTGGCGCCAGAGCTGGCCCTGCAGCAGGCGAACATGCGCGTGCGCGCGTGCGGAAGCAGCATGGCGACGCCGGTCAGGCAGGCGTCCTGCAAGGCATCGCAGAGGTCCGCAGGGCGCTCAGACTCGAGACGCCCCCCTTGGGTCATGGCACGAGCGGAGCTTTGAGGCATTGACTGCGCGGGCTGCGGGCTGCTGCACTTCGCGCTGGCCACGGCCTGCCCTTCGTGGGACCCCCTGTACCAGGCCAAGGAGATTGCACAGATCATCAGGTCAAAGCCTGTCAAAGGTGTAGGGCTCGCAAAGAAACCGGTGCAAATAGACAAAGCAAGCAGAGGATAGCCGGCGACCTTGGCACAGCTTGCGCAAATGGAGACTGGCGCAGCAAGCCGGACTGGGCAGGTGCCAATGTCATCAGCTGCCAGCATCTTCTCTCCTACTGTGGTCACCGTCGCCAGTGGCAGCGCACTCAAGAATGATTAAGAATCATGTTGCCCCAAGCTCAAGCCTTCTTGAGTACAAGCTGAGAGCAAGCATCAAACACAGGTGTCAGTGTCTTCGCAAGCTTTGGGCAGATGCCGTGTTCGTCTGGAGGCCCGGTTTCCCTCGATGCGTCTGGCCTGCCGGCGGGGCGGATGGCGCGGCTGTGCGTCGGCTCGGAGGACAGGCATGGCTCGCTCATGGAGCGCGAGTGGGGTTCCTTGCCTGGCCCTCACGTTTCGGACAAACAAAACAGATTCAGCTTGTCTGGCTTAAATGCATCCTTCAAAGAATTCCTTGAGCAATACTGCGAGGACCAGCCCAAGCCACCTAATCGTCCTTAAGCAATGCTTTGCACAAATCCTAAACCGGCCCAGTAGCCAAAGGCTAATAACCATTGTCCAATCCTCAGCCAACCCGAAAGCCTAATCCAAGCTACAATCAGTTTCAGTTGGTTTGGGCTGAGTTTTGGATTCATCGCTTTTCAGTTTGGAGTTGACTAGGTTTGGCTGAGGGCTCGGGATCTAGACCTGGTTTTGGTTGGTTTGGGAGTAGATTGGTGACGATTCTGGGTCGGCTCAGGGTTAGCTTAGCTAGGCCCTCAACTCTGAGCCAATCCAAATTTCACACTGAACCATCCCAAACCCAACCCGAACCAAGCTCTAACCCCAAATCCATTCCAAGCTGATCTAAACCAGCCCGGTTCAGGTAAATCCCGCGACCAGAAAGCCAATCTCGAGAAGCCAAAGCTATGGTTTCTCCAAGCCCAAACCAATCCGTAGCCACCCAACCCATCCTAAAACCAAGCTTAACTCCCAAAATCCGGAAAAAGAAAACAAACTGAAACCAGGCCTAGACCCACACCAGAGCAGCCGCAAGAAACTGCCGTAGACCAACCTGACACCCAGCATGCGTCAAGCCTAAACCAACCCCGGTCCAAACTAAGCACTCACCTCACACTAAGCCCGCCACCTTCAATCAACTGCCCAATATTAGCTTCCGCGCCAAACACAAAGCAAATCTGGAAATCGCGCCCTTGCCTCCAGCCAAATATTCGTGCTCAAGGTGAGTCATGATGAATATTCGTTGATTCTGCTCTTTCTGCCAGTGGTCGTGCATTATTCTGGATGCTTTTGAATTTCCGTGTGTCTTTTTTCGTTTGCTTTACCAATGATTTTGCCCGCTGCTTTGCGACGACACTTTGCGCATGGTTGCCGTTAGGACTTCCCGATGGGTGACGGTGGGCTGTGCCAACCTCAGCGGCTTGCTGCAGGCGCCTGGCAAATCGGATGTCGATAGGTCGCTCTTCGTTTCGCCCGTGAGCGCCGTTTCCGTGGACGTCCTCACGGCCGGGCGCAAAGATGAAGGAAATCCATCCATAGGCGTCCTTTTTAGGTGAGTTTGGTTCAAAATAGATGGCGCTGGTTTAGATGGGGTTTACTCCACTTACCAGGGCCAACTACTTTCCAAAAGGCCACCTATGAATCCATCCCGTTTTTTCAGCAGCTTGGCATGAGGCAGCTGCAGCGCCCCAGTCTTTCCAGCTGAGCTGTGCCGGCTGCAGTTCCATGACGCAGGCGTGGGCCTGGCAGCAGTCAATTTTAGAAGACCAAACGGTTGCGCCGACTTCGGCGTTGTGTCGCATGGGAGAGGCATTCCTCTCCGTCAACTGCAGCGAAGATACTGAGTGGGGGGATACAAGCGATACCAACGACAGGACAGGCTTGGATTTTATAGCGGGCTTTGATGCTTGTCACCTCCAGCCTGACAACCATTGAGGACGCCCGCATCCAATCTGGCCGGGGTTTCTGGAGGCCATGGCATTGCCGCGGGCGCAAAGTCGGTGGATGGAGCTTTTTGCATTTGGAGGTGAGTGGTGGGCGGCAATCAACACCACGTCCTTGGAGCCAGGCAGGGCCCGACGGGAATTTTTGGGAAGCCCTGGGTTCTGAAAGGCGAGGGCGTTGGCGTGGACATTCAGTGTGTTGCGCAGGCAGCTACTACGACCTTTGCGTGGATTTGGATGGCCGAGGGCCTTGGCGAACTCTCCGGGGATCGCTGTGGTTTTTATCTTAAAATCGGGGACCGGAATGGATGGTTCTTGGCTTACCTTAACATCCATCCAAAAGGGCTCCCCCCAAAAACAACATGGACACACCTGTATGTGCCTTTTCGTCGCATTGCATGAGGTGAGGGCGAAGAGTATCCAACCGGCCCATCACAGTTTCAATTCTACGCCTCCGCGGTGTGCTCCTCAGAAAGCCATTTCGGAGCCGCTTGTTTTCAAGGTTCCATTGTTATTAATACAAGGCAGGCTTAAACCAGGCTTAGGTTTAGCAAGAACAAAGTGAACTCTAGTATTTCTTCCTTGGTGCCGCATCAGGGCTCCTTAAAAGATACATTTTGCCCATTTGAATCATGGCTTTTTCCACCAAATTAAAGGGACACCACCATTTACAAGGCAATGTTCAGGTGTATAATGTAAAGATCCCTGCGCATGTACATGCTTTGCACTCCGAGTTTGCACCGCAGCGCTTCTCGCTTCCGCTGTCGCCTACGGCACAGTTGAAGGCCAGAGGGAGAGTGGCTCCGACCAAGACGGCCTTGGCCAAGACCGCACGCGTTTGTCTCATTTGGGGGTTGATCGATATTCTTGGCCCCCCAAAGATTTTTCTGATACCAGGGGCAACTTTTCCCATGCGTGGCGGTCCCCTTTTTGGTGGTTTTCCCTTATGGTCATCCCATGGAAAGGACCTTGTGATCGATGGACAGGTGAGCTGCGCCAGCTGCGTCTCCGCGCAGGGGTTCTTGGGAAGCTGCGTGCCAAGAGACCTCCAGCCGGAGGACGGCGGGTGGATTAAATAGGATGAGAGTTGCCTGGATTTGGGTATTTATGCATCAAAGCAAGGTCTGGGGGGGGTGGAATGTGGTTTCCCCTTGGGTTTTTTCTTAAGCCAACCCAAAGGGCGTTCCTCCCAAGAAAGACACGCCCATTTGTCCAGCTCGCCAGGATGCCGGAAACCCTGACAACAGGTCCAGGCCAGTTTCAGAGTGTCAAAAAAGAGAACAGATCTCAAAGTCCAGCGCTGAAGGCCTGAAGACTGTGGCTGTCTCAGAGCGTGAGAGGCGCGCTGTTGGTTGTTGGAATCGCCGTTGAGGTTTGGGTGGCACCGGCACAAGCACCGACGCCTGGCCGTTCCTTCCGCATGGCGAGGCTGGCGTTTTTGGGGGGGCCGGCTTGGGCACCGGCTTGGATCGCGAGGACTTTGTGCTGGAGCTGGACACCTGTGCGAGCCCCGGGCAGTTTCGGCAGCGAGGAGTTGCGAGGGGATGAACGGCACCAGGCAATCTTCTGCCTGGCTCGTACCTGTGGCTTTGCACGGACATGGATGGCCTCAGCTCAAGGCTCGAAATCTCAGAACCCCACAGCTATCCTCAGCGTCTAGGCAGTGCCTTTTCTTCAGAGCCAGAGATGTTGTTACCCCAAAACCAAAACCTGGTGAGGACTACTCAGAAGGTCCAAGCTGCACCAAGATTCATGAGTACAGCACTCATGGATCCTTATGACGCTAGTCAACCACTTTAACTTGTTGCCTCACAGCAATTGATCTATTGAAAGGGGCTGATCTCTGATGCACCGCCAATCGAATCTTTTGGTGAGCACGTTGCATCTACAGCGCTGCACGCATTCCGCCTGGCAGGCAGCAGATAGGCAATTCGAGCATCGAGGTGTACGTACCACGCTCAGCCCTGCTTTTGGTGTGGCCCCATTGCGCCTGTGCTTGCAGGTCAGCCCAGTGACCTCTCTCGTGGGACCTTCCAGGCGATGCCCATGGCGTGTTCTTCGTCAATGGATGTAGCCAGGTTTCTGAAGGGCAGCCAATCACAGATGACAATCACATGTCCAAGCGCGGAGCTTGGAGTTGATGTCCAAATGACCTGTTCCGGGCCTTAGTGCAGGCAAAGTTCTGGAACACCTTGATAGGATGCTCCAGAAGAAAAAGCAGCCTGGTTCCTTAAGACATACAGAACAATTTGATTTTGCCTTGCAGAAACGGTGTGTTTTCGGCTTCACACCAGCAAGTTGCGACACCATTGCAACGCTTAGTACCCTTGCTTGCTTGGCATTCCCCACGTTCATGCGGGCACAAGATGCTCCCTGGATTGACCTGTCCGGAGTACCGAGCCAGCTCCAAGGTTGTGTGGCCGGTGTGACGACAGTGCAATTAGCCTTCCAGTGCCATGGTTCGCCGGTGGCTGTGTCGACAAGACCTCAGAGAAAGTTGCGCCGCTTCTTGCGCAAGTGCCTTGCATGAGGCCTAGCAGCACAGGTGCCGTTGGTTTGCAAGCAGGCAAGGGGCTGGATGTCTCAAACCTCAGCCGCGTTTTGGTTAAGTGCCCTGGCATTGGGTTGGCTCGCACAGGTTCACAGGGCTGGACCGCAAGCTTCGACACACGCGGATTGAGCAGTGGACGTGGGGGCCGAAGTGCACCCGGGCATGTTGGCCTATCTGAGCCGGCCTTTTCTTTTCTATGTTGCTCAAACGCGGGGTGATCAGTCAATTGGGCGCTTGTCGAAAGAGAGGAGTTGCTCTAAGCCTTGAGGCGCATACCGATTGCTCTGAGCCTTGAGGCCCATACCGATTGTGTGTGGATTTGGACGGGAGTGGAAGCATGTATCGTGCGACGGCCTGAGATACACTTGCATGTGTGCATGTAATGCCGTGCAGTGCGGAAATCCTTAGCTTGAAATTGGCCAAGGCCGGCGACAGCGGCTTCACCCTCTCTGTCACAGCCGTTGCATCCATCAGTCTGAAGCCAAGATGGTCTCAAGAGACCTATGGAAGCTGAAGCTAGATCTAGCCATGAGGCTTGAGTGACGAAGAATCCGCTCCGCAGCCCTCGCCGGGAGCTGAAGTTGGGGATGGGCTGGGGACGGACTCATGTGCGAGGCTGGGCCGACGACTGGCGTCGGCGACGACAGGAAGCCTGGACCTTGAAAGCTGAAGTCAGCCAAAGGAAAGCATTTGCATTGAGATCAGGCGTCAGGAGCTAAGCCAAGGACTGCTGAGCCTGGAGATGCTCTGCCTACCTGGGCCTGGTGGATGCGGGAGTCACACCGAGGCGCGCTCATGTTCAAATCCAGATGCTGAAAGGGCGAGGACATGGGTGACATAGGGGCTGTCAGAGGTTGAGAAGCGCGCTGAGTTGTGGAGCATTGAGTTTGGCAGGGCTTCCTGTCGCTCGTTGGGAACTGCACGGCGGTCTCTGAGCCACATAACCTGCAGCCTCTACAGTCTTACTTCGGCGTGCCTCTCAGTCGGAGAGTCGATGACATCTCTTGACAATGGTTGTGAAGATGACCCTGGATTGCATGTGTTTGACAGCTGCCCCCCCTTTCAGATAGACTTGTGCAAGTTGCCTGAACACAGCCCGCTGCCAAGGCTTAGCCTTTGAACGTTTTGGCTTGAGCTTGAGTACAACTTTACTTCCAGCAGGGTACACCTATCAGCCGGATCCTTGGCATGAGATGCCCATGACTCACCTTCACGTTTGCAGCCTGCAGCCGCAAGGGTCTGCGTGGACATCGATGGACCTGGTGCTTTGCCGGCTGTGTCCTCGAGGAACCTTTGTGGCGCCTTGTTCTTTGCGTCACTTGAGGCGGCCGACACCGGCTTCACGGTCTACATGTCACCAGCCGGGACCTTGTGAGACTTGTGAGACTTGACACAAACAGCCCTCCTTGGACCAATTTCGTGCAGCCCTTGTTCCTGGCACCTGCACACACGAAATCCTTGCGCAGTATCAGATTCTATGAGTGAGCAGCATCACTTGCCAGGTTCAGATGGCGGCCTCCTGGGGCGATTCTCTCTACGTCCTCTGTGCCCAAGGGGGCTGCAGTGAACAAACGCGCGCCCGGATGGATGTCGCCAAAGGGTCCATGGTCAAATCCAATGGTCTTTGCTGAGGTCTGGCTTCCTATCCTCGGATTGTTCGATAACAACTCCTGCAGCTACTTTGACAGCCGGATGCTCTGACCCGTGACGCAGCTTTGAAAGATCTAGGATGATCTAGGTGGTAAGGCGGATAACCCTTGGAAAGGATATGCGGGGCCCCAGGATACCAACAATACCAACACAAAGCCAAGCATCAATTGAGCGCCAAGGCCCAACTCCCAAATACACAGGCCAGAGGGCTCGAGAGTCGGGACTGAGGCGCCCCAGAGCGGGACGTGGGCAAAGTGGGCAAAGCTACTCTACCTTGCCAACGAGAGGCGCGACCGCTTGCTCATGTGCTTTGGCTGACTTTGGATGTGCAACCTTCTAGTTTATCATTGGAAACTTGAGGGTTTAAGATTGCAACCGAAATTCCAAAGTTCCAAAGTGGGTGTCTGAGGGATTCTGATTCGAACAGAAACAACTCTGATTCCAAAGTTCCAAAGTTCCAAGGTTCCAACCGAAATCTCAACGGAGCTTCGAAATCCAAGAGTCCTCCCCGCTCAGTGCGGTCCACGAGTGGCAGCTGTCGGCCCCTGCGCCCTCGGGCCGGCCCCAGCGGCTCTGCGCGGGGCTGAGGGAAGTTGCGCCCCACAGTTGGCGTAGAATGAAGCTGATGGGTGGTCGGACTTGAAAAGTGGGCATGGGTCAGAATGAAACCACCAGGAATTGGACCGCGGGTTTTAGCCCTTGGTTCTTACCAGGGTTTCATTTTGGGTACCTATTTTTGACCCACAGCCAAGTGTCAATATGATATATTATATGTAGAATATGTATAGGTATGTATGGTCCAGTGTCGATGGTCCCTGGGTCCCCCCCTCCCGGGAAGGGGGAAGGGTTCAGAGGTTGTAGTAAAAACCATGTGCCCGGGCCCCCCCTGCCCCCCCGTGGAATCGTGGTGAGTGACTGCTGTTGCAAGCATCGAGTGCATTTTCGGGGAACCCAATCTAGACGTGCTTTCCTGTAGGGTTGAGAAAGTGCTGTGGAAACAAGTGTTAAGGGTCACCCGAGCTTGTATCTGGAGGAACAAAGGTCCGGCAATAGAGTTTGAAAAAGGAGTTTTAATAGGAAGAAGCAGAGCAGAGTTGCGCGGGAGCGCCCCCCAAAGACCTACTCTCTTTCTCTCTTTTTTTTTTTTTTTGCGGGGGGGGGGGGGTTAACATACATATATATATATATATATCTATATATATTGTTGCATATATGCGCATATAAGTACACACATGTCCAATATTGATTTGCTCCCAAGACTGACAGCCAAATGCCGCTTGGTTTGGCTTGAGTTTGGATCCTGCCCAGTTCTCGTCGGGCTTGAGACCAGCGACCTGCTATCGGTTTTGGCCAAGTGTTCAAGAACACGTGAATTGCTTAGGGTTTAGGGTGGTCTGATGCTTGCGTGGGGCATCATTTGTGTCGAGGTCCGAAATGATGCGGACCCATAGAGATGCATGTGGCTACATGGTCACGTTTTTTGAAGGGCTGAAGTCAGGCAAGTCTGCTGGGGGAAGAATCAGCGGAGGCCTTGACGTGGATGGGGCCGGTCCCATGCCGAGCGGTGACGCAGCAGGAGAAGCGATGTTAGATTCGTGTGTGCGTGTGTGGTTGCGTTGGTGCGCGTGTTTGCGCGGAGCTGCCAGGAGTTTTTGTCTCTGAGATCCAGGATTTGTTCACAGAGGGAGTGGCACAGGCACGGGCCATTTTTGGAAACACATCAGTTGCAAAGGTGGTCAGCCCTTGTCTACATGGCATGAAGCGTTAGCCCTGAATCAGGGTATGGATGCTGTGACCTTTGCCTGCACCACTGGAAGATGCAGAGGCCTCAGAAGCTATACGATGGCTAGTGGATGCCATCCACAGAAAGCAAGTACCAAGTTAAGGCCAATTGGGACCCAAAGGCATGAATTTCCTTTTGGTACCACTGAAACAACCAACTACAGCAGCATTACCCCAGTCTAACACAAAGCCATGAGACCGAGTGTTCCTGAGCCTGGAGCAACCTGAGGCTCTGAGATGTCACAGGCTTACCTGGCCAAGACCTGTGACATCCACGACCTGGATGCTTCGGCCGTGGAGGTGACAAGATCTGAGGGTTTGTATTTGGGTATGGGTCAAAAACTTCAACCACCACAAAAACCGCAGGTTTTGGTCCATGTTTCCATTTACCAGGATGCCATTTTGGGTTCATATTGTTGACCCACAGTTGGTGGGTTGGTTTAAAGGAACTCGCAAGGAATCCAAAGATGCTGTCCTGGAGACACACCCTGATTGGCCATGAGACCTTGGGCCCAACAGTTTCCGCAGCCATTGGAACCACAGGTCCACCATCCCCAGTCAGCACAGGTCTTGGGCGAGAGGACGGCAGCCGTGCTCTTCGTCCCGGACAATGTCACGGAGGCATGCCATGTTTTACCCCTGCTTCCCCATTGGCTTTGCCGGGAAATTGAAGTTGACCATGAGGTAGGCTCCCGGCCCGCTCGGCATGCACCGATTCAGGCAGCGAACAACACGGAGGTGTTCTCAGTGCATCTTCGCACAGACGGACTGCATGCAGGATGGCACTACAGGCAGCTTGCGGGGACACTTTTGTAGGCTACCATAGTCGAGCACCCACAGTTGTTGTTCCAAGAGGGGCGTTTCTGTCTAAAGCTCCGCCATGGCGGAACCCATTTGTCCGTCGCCAGGCTTTGTGTGGATCTAGACGGCGCTGCCTTGGACCTGCCCATGGGCGATACGCAGCACAAGGCAAGGGGCGGACGGGTGAAGCGTCTTGGACGGCAGCGTGCTTAGTCCCTCGTGACAGGTCTATTTGAGCCCGTTGCAGCAGGCTGGTGGCGCGACACTTTGAGCCAGAAAAAAACGTGTGGTGAGCGGTTTGTAAGGATTTCTTGTTGAACTACCCAGACAGGTTGGGCTCTTTTTGTCATCACATCTGAATTGGGGCTGTCGAAGAGTCTGGCCATTGTTTGCACTATGCTGCTGGGCCAAAAGCAAAGTAGCATCTTTTAAGACCCAGCAAGCATGTCAGACGTCAGCACCCGATTCAGCCAGGTGGAAGCCAGAGCCACTGCGGGCGATGTGCAGCTGAGCTTCACTTGTCTGGATTGCACGGAGCTGTCGGAAGGCTTCTTGTCACAGGAGCGCTGTCCGCCTGTTGCTCTTTGGGAGGTCTCGAGTGCTGGTCCATGGAGACGTCTCGCACCCCACGTGGGTGCACCAACCACCTTGTTTCAACCCGCCATTTTAATAACAAATCCTTCTGCTTGGAAGAGCTCTCTCAGACAATGAATGGGGCAAGGCAGCCCCCACAAGATGGACACCGTGTCCAGGACTGCTACCGCACTGTGCTGGCGCGGTCGAAGAATGCCACAGAGGAGCCTGGAAAGTGCTCTCTGATTCAGTTTTCTTGCCCTGCCGGAGTCAGAGGACTCAGACAGTGAGTTTGCAACTCAGCGCCTGCTTGTCTTGCTCAGCAGTTTGAGCAAGAAGTCCTGAGGTCTTTGCGTGAGGCTGGACTGCTCATGTTCACTTCAAACAAATTTTGCAGTTTGCTTGGCACTACACTGTTGCCTGTGACGGCCAGGCGGGCAATGAGAGTGAGGTCAGTGCTACAGCGCACCACGGGCTGCACTAGTTGGTTGCAGGGCTTCAAATTGCGTGGGCTGCAATTCGCATGCAGGCCCACAGCCTTCATGGCTGGCTTGACCTGGAGCGTGAACCTCTCTACCATCGACTTAATGGGTGGCCTCTCCTACAGGCAGCAACTGACGAGTGGGCTGGCTTTGCCTGCGAAGTGCTAAGGCTTTGCGTGGACTTGGATGGCCCAGAGTCATCCCGCCTGGTGGGAGACACAGGCAACAGATCGCATGTCACGGTGCTAGGTGCATCGAAAAACCGAGCGACGGCAGGCCTCAGAGTTTTTGTCAGCCCCGTCACAGCGGTGGAGCCCACCTTGCTGACGCCTGGCAATTCCTCGCTCATTCTCGTTTGCGAGCGAGGAGGCCGGGTATTGGTAGACGGCTTGAATGCATCAGACTGTTTGCGCCCTGAAAGAATCCAATTTCAGACAAGGGCCCTGGAAATGTTAACCTTTCACCCTGTGTTACTGAACATGCATGGCCTGAGACAAACCGACCCTCCTGTGGGATTTTGCTGACCCGGGCCCACCTCGCAGGCTGCGACTTCCTGACAGAAGGCTACTTGGCAGAGAGCTGCCAAAACCCGCCTGAGAGCTGCGAGGAGTGCGAATTCAGCGGCGGCTTTGCAGATTTCATTGTGGTTTGCGGTAAAGCGGAAGATGCACAGCCTCCCGCATGGCTCACGAACCAGGACACTGCGAACAGTACTTTGGCCTCGGGCTTACTTCAAGCCGACAAAGAGCAAAGATTCGTATTGTCAGCTCCCCATATCCAAGAACTGCGTTTGGCCATGACCAGGATTCTGGCTGGCAGACTTGAAGAACCCCCAAAAACAAACAACTTTGGGCAAGACAAGAGTTGTCAACTGCGCGGTCACAGATTCATTGTGAATTTGAAGGTTGGAGCAACGCCGATGAGTACCATCAAAGCCAAGTCGCCAGTCTCTGCCCAAGTTGCGGGACAGTGGCGCAGCGAAACACAGCATGGCTGGCACAAGGCCGAGCGAAGCTTGGAGCTGGATTTGGCTTGCACCAAGCTGGGGCAGGACCCTCAACTCCCTTGCGACGGTGCTGCGTTTTGTAGCCCCAAGGGAAATGCTTGATGTTATCCCTATTTTTTTTTATTTTTTTTTTATAAATATTTTTATTTTAAAGGATCATGGAGTGGTCATCAACGCTTGAAATATTTCGAACAGCAATTGCGCGTGTTCAAACCCCTTCTCCAAATTATGCTTCTTGTGATGGCTCAGATGTCCGCGTTTGCACTGTTGCGTTAACATCATCAACCTAAGGCGATATCGCCTTTGCATCGTGGGCCGCGCTGTCAGTTCCTGCTTTGGGGGTGTGTCCTGTCGTTTCTTGAATGTTTGCAATGTGTTGTTGGATGCGTTCCCTGAAACTTTGGCGAGGCCGCACGGAAAGCTTCGGCGTTGTCACCACCAGCATTCAGGCGCGCCTGGCCAGGTCAAGACGTGAGGGCATGAAATCCATTCTGCTTGCCAGGAAGCAGGGTTCGACATTGACATCAGCTAAAAGGCAGGTTTAGTTTTGAACATTTGTGGCCTTGACATGTGTATTGTTCATTGTCAAGATTGCTCTTTTCTTTCATGTCTAATGTACGTGGAGTGCTGGCAAGGGACCCATACCTTGTTCAAGGGAAACACTGGAAGGTGGCCCAACGACAGACATGGCCCATTTGTGGACAACCTGCGCAGTTCTGTCGACCTGCGGCATGGCAGGCCCTGAAATGCTGATCCAGGAGCTGTGCCTCGATATGTTCTGACTTCAAGAAATTGGTCATGACATCAGCACGCTACAAATCGCAACATTTGTGGTTGACCATGATCTTTCCACATGCTCCGCTCTTGTCCTTTGTGTTGAGAGCTGGAATTTTTGAGCGCTCCAATGCCCAAATCCAGCGCTGAACACCCTTGAGGCTTAGTTCAGAAGACTGGACCGGAGCCCTTCGCTTTGGAACAAGAAGAAGGAGCACAGGCAAATACCAAAGCCCAAGAGGAATGACGAGTATGAAAATCTTTATAAGTTATCCCGGCAAGAGGCCCCAAACATATGGCAGTGATTTTTTTGAGGGGTCTGTAACAGAGCCGCGGCGGACATTCGTTACAGACCTCGTTACAGACCTCTGTAACAAAACCAGCTGGCTCGTTACACACCCCTCGTTACACACCCTCGTTACACACCCTCGTTACACGCCCTCGTTACACACCTCAGATGAGCAAACCGGGCCAGTGACGTGACTGCCCTCCTTTTGCCGCAGCTTGGCTTGCGTTGAATAGCTGCAATCAAGTGCTTTGCTTTGCCTTGTTACAGACCTCGTTTCATAGCCGTTACATACCTCGTTGCAGACCCAACCCCCAGCCCGGGCCAGCGACCCCGCGTTTTGCCGCAGCTTGGCTTGCGTTGAGTAGCTGCAATCAAGTGCTTTGCTTTGCCTTGTTACAGACCTCGTTTCATGGCCGTTACATACCTCGTTGCAGACCCAACCCCAGCCCGGGCCAGCGACCCCGCTTTTTGCCGCAGCTTGGCTTGCGTTCAATAGAGCTGCGGAGGCGTGCTTTGCGTGCTGCGCTTTGCTTTGCCTCGTTACAGACCTCGTTACATAGCCGTTACATACCTCGTTGCAGACCCAACCCCCAGCCCGGGCCAGCGACCCCGCTTTTTGCCGCAGCTTGGCTTGCGTTGAGTAGCTGCAATCAAGTGCTTTTTGCCTTGTTACAGACCTCGTTTCATACCCGTTACATACCTCGTTACAGACCCAACCCCAGCCCGGGCCAGCGACCCCGCTTTTTGCCGCAGCTTGGCTTGCGTTGAATAGAGCTGCGGAGGCGTGCTTTGCGTGCTGCGCTTTGCTTTGCCTCGTTACAGACCTCGTTACATAGCCGTTACATACCTCGTTACAGACCCAGCCCCAGCTTTTTGCCGCAGCTTGGCTTGCGTTGAGTAGCCGCAAGCAAGCTGGTGCTGCGGAGGCGCGCTTTGCGTACTGCGCTTCGCTTTGCCTCGTTACAGACCTCGTTACATAGCCGTTACATACCTCGTTGCAGACCCCACCCCCAGCCCGGGCCAGCGACGCTTTTTGCCGCAGCTTGGCTTGCGTTGAGTAGCTGCAATCAAGTGCTTTGCTTTGCCTTGTTACAGACCTCGTTTCATACCCGTTACATACCTCGTTACAGACCCAACCCCAGCCCGGGCCAGCGACCCCGCTTTTTGCCGCAGCTTGGCTTGCGTTGAATAGAGCTGCGGAGGCGTGCTTTGCGTGCTGCGCTTTGCTTTGCCTCGTTACAGACCTCGTTACATAGCCGTTACATACCTCGTTACAGACCCAGCCCCAGCTTTTTGCCGCAGCTTGGCTTGCGTTGAGTAGCTGCAAGCAAGCTGGTGCTGCGGAGGCGCGCTTTGCGTACTGCGCTTCGCCTTGCCTCGTTACAGACCTCGTTACATAGCCGTTACATACCTCCAACCCCCAGCCCGGGCCAGCGAGCCCGCTTTTTGCCGCAGCTTGGCTTGCGTTGAGTAGCTGCAATCAAGCTGGAGCTGCGGAGGCGCGCTTCGCGTCCTGCGCTTTGCTTTGCCTCGTTACAGATCTCGTTACATAGCCATTACATACCTGTGCTGCGCTACATCGTGCTACTGATATTTCTTGTCAGGAAATGCTTGTGCCGTTACAGACCTGCGTAACAAGGACCTCCGTTACAGACCTCCGTAACAAGATTCGTGGCGCGTCGCGCGTTACAAACCCCTAAAAATTTTTTTATAGCCATATGTTTTGCGGGCTCAAACAGCAACTGTTTACTTTGCATACGCAGCTAGAAGCGACGCTCTTTTGAAACCACAGCCACAACGATTTCACCAGCCCAAAGTCCGCAGAGGGCTTGATTTCGTTTTTCAACATTTGCACATCACCGCAGCAGCAGCGATTCCACCAGCCAAAGCCTGTAGAGTGTTCGCTTTCGTGTTGCAAAACATACGATTTCCTGCCACACACAATTCACAGCACCTGTTTCTCAAAATGCAGCGCTCGCCACGAAAACTACACAGTCAGCGTTGATGCGTTTGCAGTGCACGCCGATCTCACAGAATGCTGTGCTGGTCATGGACTCCAGCCATCAACGCAGTCCGGAAATCGGCACAGCGAGAGGCAGTTTTAAACAAATGTCCGTTTCGGGCGAGACCTTCGTACAGCTCATTTGCGACTGTCCGAATGTTACGTCCTGGCCCGACAAGTCCACGATGTTCTTGCGAGGTACCTCTCCGGCATCATGGTCCTGCCATCAACAATGCATTTTGCTTAAAGAACCGCGTCCTGTGTGTTGTTTCCTGAGCAAACCCAGCAGTCAAAACCAATTAGCATCAACCGCAAAGAGTTTCGGCGCGATGCTCCTTAAACAATTTGCAACAACACCCTGACCGACTGCATCGCCAATCAAGCACCGCCAACCACCACAACATGTTGAGCACGCCAAGCAGCAAGCTGACCAGCACCCACAACAGCACCTCGATCAGCACCTTGGGTACACCAAACAGCACCTTGAAAAGCGCCCAAGCAGCAACCTGATGCTTTGAGTTGTGTCTTTCTCAGTGCAGGAGATGGAAAGATGGGATCGAGATCTCTGACATGAGGTGCGCAAGAAATCAGCTTGCTCTCGGATTTTCAAGTTTCCGACGTTGCAACTGTTTGCCGTCAATTTCAATCCAAGTAGAACGCACAATTGTTGGCAGATCATGTCGGAGAAAGGGGAAAGGCAGCTAGCAAACAGGGTAGCAGCCAGTTTGCTCTATGCAAAATTCACCGCAATCGCTGAAACTCAAGAAACAACAAATTGGCTGTTGGCTGACAATGGCTGGACCCAAGGTGAGGTCCTCAACACAGAGAAATCATAGGGCCCTCGAGAGCATTGCCCTCCGTTGAAGTACTTGTTTAGCCTTGCGACTCCGCACTGGGTCTGTGCATACACAGAAAAAAAAAACACCTGGAGAAGTGGTCGAGAGACAGGAACTGAAGAGGTCCCTTAAAACATTCCTGAACCGCGAAAATCATCTCTATCCATTCTGGTTCCATAGCTCACTCAGACGGCGAGAGACACCGACCTCCCATTTTTTCAGGCCAAAGATGCGCCGATAAGCGTTCGGCTCTGCCGGGTGAGGCTGCAATGCCTGCAAAGAAAAAGTTGGGCGCACTTTGCGACTTTGCGAATCCTTTTGCCTCACCGTTCATATAGCCCGCGGAACTCGGAGTTTGCGCAAATGTGCACAGTGTTCAATGCCACTATCGCAGTCGATTTTTGCTCAAGTGGCAACTACCTGTACCTCCTTCAAACCGATTCAGGGGCAAACCTTGCCCCAGCGATGCGTACATTGATTTCGTGGCTGCTCTTTGCTTGCACTGTTGCAAGCGATTGCGATGTGAAAGAGATTGCCGAACACGTTGAAAGGGGGCCAGCGCAAGCAGAATGCTTGCTCCAGAGGTCAGGGCAGCTCGGCGAAGCTCTCGCCTTTGAAGAAGATGGGCTCCCGTGCGCAGGCTTTTGCGCGGGAAATAGCAAGCCATGGGAGAAGAAGTGCAACTGGAGAAAATGCAAGGGTTGCGCAGCATGCGCGCAACCAGCTGGTTGCTTGCCGTCGACCACGTTTTCAGGTTGGGGCGATGCTGGTTATCCTGACAACTTTCGAGGCTGGTATGATGTACAGGGCTGTGGGAAGTGCCATGACTACTGCCGCTGGGTGGGCGCTTCTGGCTCCGGCGGAGATCCCAAGGAGAAGCTCACCCACCAGCAGTCTTACTGGAGTTGCAGGCTGGCAGGAACCTCTGCTATCCATTCCCCCAACGGAGCGTTTCAGTCCTGGAACTTCGACAAATGTTCGGGTGAGGGTGCAGTCGCGCCTGCGCCAGCGCCTCCAGCAACACCGTATGTTCCCGGTTCACCTGGTGCTGCCTGGTCTGAGCACGAGCTGCGTGTCGTGCGAGCCAAAATCCACCGCATCATCAATGAAGGCGATAAAGTGTTCGATGAGCTTGGTCTTCAGGCAGGGTTGCCCACAAGTACGTGGCCAAGTAAAGACACCAGGTGGAAAACTACACTTGCAAGTGTGGTCCCAAGCATGAGCCCAGTCTGGAGAAGAATCACTCCAAATCGCAAAATCCAATCACCTTCCCCAACTTCATGCTTTGGGGATGATTACAACCCCTGAGGAGGATACTAAAGCTGGAAACGGGATGGGCTTGAGGGATGTTCTGTCTTTCCACCTTTGAACCTGCGCGCTTACCATCCCCGTGAGGTGGAAGAGCGGTGGACCTCCGTTCCCAGCGCGGGCAAGCTGCTGAGGCTCGGGTTTCACGATTGCTTGAGGTACAAAGACGGCACCGGTGGATGCGATGGATGCCTTGAATGGAAGGGCGTGGGCGTGCGAATCCCACGTGCTGACCTTGAAAGGGGAAAGTTTCCTGGCGATGGTGAGGGCGATGGCCACAACAACGGTCTTGGCTATGTGGTTGAAGTCCTGGAGGCAATCTACACCGACAGAAGCTTTCCTGGCAAGACGCCACAGCTCTCTCTTTCGCTGCAACAATCAGGCAAGTCTCGAGCTGACCTCTGGGCTTTTGCAGCAATCGTTGCTGTGGAGTACAGCCTGGAGCTCAACAACATGGTTTGTGACAACCCGACCATTTTGCAACCTGATCAATGCCACCCTCGTGAGGGACAGCCAGACTGCAGCATCGCCAGGCTGCCCCGACCTATCATCTTCAAGACTGGGAGGACGGACTGCTTGAGCACGGGATCGCCGTACAAGCAGGGCAAAGAAGAAGCCCACCCGGACCCCCAAGCAAACGGACAGGCTACGGCGGCCTTCTTCAAGCGTGACTTCAACTTGGCAGGGAGACGGTTGCCATCATGGGTGCTCATACGCTGGGACGAGTGCATGTGATTAACAGTCTGTTCCGGTACACTTGGAAAACGACGTCGGAGAAGTTGTTCAACAATGGTTACTTCCGGAATCTTGCGAAGAAGAGGGACTGGTACTATCCAACCGGTGCCACAGCTCCATGCAAGCGTGTGGGCAATGCAACTGGTCACAGACCTGTGGCCAGGTGGATGCCTCATGTGCGAGGCGACACTGTTGCTGGAGGTCCTGTTCAGTGGCTGCAAGAGAAGCTCGTTTGCCCGCACTGGAATCCAGATTCAGAGGAGATGGACACTTGCGATGAGAGTGAGCTGAAATGGAAGTTCGTCATTGGAAAGGATGAAACTGCCCTTCCTTGTGAGATGGGCTTGTATGTGGATTTTCAAGTCGATGCCAATGGTATTCCATCTGGATGTCCTGGATTTGAAGACTTCAATATGGAGAAGTGGGGAATGATCAACACGGACACGGGTGGTTTGAACAACTACAAATACACTTGGACGAGAATCGACGGCAAGCCGGCCGAACCCACTTGCCCCTTCCAGAAGCTTGCAGAGCCCAGCGGCTCGACCCCCTTGCATCAAATTGTTGAGGACTTTGCAGATAATGCCACCAGTTGGCTTGAGACCTTCATTCCTACCTTTGAGAAGATGCTTGCCAATGGCTATGAGTCTGAGCTGCAGGCCACGCCCCAACCGACGGCTCCTTTGTGAAATGCCCGTTTCAAGACGCCGCGATGCGGGCCGTCGGCTTAGCCAGTTCGGCTGCTTCCCGGGCAATGTGCCTCGATGCAGTGCCTAACGGCGCGGATCAGCAAATATCAAAAAGTGGCTGTTCCATGCTGTTCCATTTGTTACTCAAATCAATTTAGAATTATAGAAGAACCATTTGGCATTGTTTTCGACGGATTTTTTTTTGTTTATGGATATAGATTCGGGAAAGATTTTTAATTATATAATAATAATTATATTATATAGAATATATAAAATAATATTATATTTAAATTATTTACACAAAATACAAGAATATAATAATATATAATTTATATAAATTATATTTATTTATTTATATTATAAAAAATATAATATGAAATTCGATTGTTGTGGTTATATATATGTTTTATTTATTTTTGGATATTTTTGGAAATTGATTTGGGATATTGTTAGAACATAGAATTGTTTTATATTGTTTACGAGTCGCTTGGCTAAATTTGTTTGGATTATGTTGGTATATGTATGGCAAATATAATGATTTTATTTTTTATAGAGATTAATTTTCCGAAATATTTTAGATATTTCGGAAAAATGATTTGGGAATTATACTTAGCTAAACTTATTTGGATTGTTTTGGTATTTATTTGGAAATATTTGAATTATTTTGGGTAAATAATTCGAGAATTATAATTATTCGTTATTTTCTGAAAATATATGGAATATTTCGGAAAAATGGTCGGGCTTGGAACGAAATTAGAATTAAGATATACTGAATCCAAATTTGCAAATACTTAATGTTAATATGTAAACAAGAACTAAGGTATTTTATACCCTTAACTTTACATCGTAAATCTTTTTGGATGGCCGTTTCGAACTACTGCTGAAGGCACGAGTCTAACTTCCTTTAATCCTAAATCTTAAACCCCTTAAAACCCAATTTTCTTTTTGGCGGTTTTAAATATCGCCTTTTGGGCCAATTTGCAGTGATTTTTTTACGATGAAATTGAAACATGGAGTTCTGGTTGTTGTAGGGTCGATACGAAACAACTAGCTTGTTGGTTGGTGTTATATTCTTTTCTTAGAAAAAATAATTTAGGAAAATTATCCCATATAATATGTTTTCTGTGTCCGAAACACACCAAATTCCGCCTCTGGGGCAGGAAGTTTCCGCTTAGCGCGGTGGATCTGGTGAAAGGCGGGCATAAAACGCCCACGGGAAAATTTTCTTAATCCCATATTATTCTATATAGAGTGTTGCCTTTTTTGTATTTACCTATTTGATTTTTGGTTTAAAGGGACATTATGAAAAAAAAAAAAAAAACATATATCAATTTTGGGGTTTCTTATATTCATGTATCCCCCTGTCCAAGTCCATGGTTATGCCAAGCAAGCGTAGCCGTTGGGCGTCAGCCGGCGGAGGTCCAAGGCGGAGCCGGGGCGAGAAGGAACCTAACAACGACCCCGAGAAGGAGATCGTTGTTAAAATCGGTTGTTTTCGTGGGTTTTATGAATTTGTGGGCAAAATAATTTGAGAACAGGAGCGGAGGTTTTCCAATATGAGAAAAATATAGGTTTTTTCTATTATGGATGAACCATTGGATTATATGTTTTAGTCTTTTCGGTAAAGAAGAACTGGAATGTTGGTGAATCGAGAAGGCATATTAATCTCGGCCAAGCCCATCCAGCTTGGAAGACGACTTGTCGCGATCTCAAATGGAATTTTGAGACACGGAATCAGCCTTGGCCAGAAAGAGGCTGCAAATAGGATTGGCATAAGAATTGTTGTAATCATTGCGGATGTTCCGGTTATAAATCTTTAACGTTATATAAATGTATTTCAAGTTATTTTCATTCCGGTAGGCTGTAGTACAAGCACCATAAGTCTGTAATTGTTGGCGGCACGCTCGGTACGATAGATGATTATGCGCCCTGACGGCAGCCAATTAGTTAGTTAGTGCCACCTTTTTCTCCTTTTCAAGTTGCTAGGGATTAGCCGTTTTCTGCCAGGGTCGTTGGGCAACTGGAGTAGTATGTTTGTACGATGTTTGAAGAAATGTCTAGGCGAAATTCTTGCTCCTGGTTACATTTGGTGGCATGCATCCAGCCGGCGCGGCGTGCTTAGTTTGAGAGTATGGAAAGGTTTTAAAGTCCTGCTATTTTGTTACCTGAGGGTTAGCGTATTCTTAGCAAGCAGTCTGCGGATTCCCCATGTCAATTTGTTGCGAAAGATGAAGCCCTTATTCTTTTCTCATGGCCATTGGGCTTTGCCTATCCTATCGCAAGCTCCGGGATCGGGGCTTAAACGAGTTCACCATACTTGGGAACCTTTTATGTCGGGTCTTGGGATTATAATTGTTATGGATCTCTAAAAGTTGTTGAACTCACCAATATATTGATTTATCGGAATGACCGATTATTGGTTTATTGCCTTATGGAATTTTACCAGTCTGATTTTGTAACTTTCTTGCTATGGGCTTCATCTCGTACGCTACTGGAAAATAGCGGGCCCCCGCTAGTAAATGAATGATTTAAATTTTAAAAAACAAAATATATAATATAAATATTTAATATATTAAAATATTATAAATATAAATAATTTATTATTATTCTATTTAATATCATATAAATATTATTAATTAAAATTATATAAATAATTATTTATTTAAATATAACAAAATAATAATATATTATTTAAAATATTTATACAAATTAAAAATAATAATAATAATACATAATTAAAATAATTATATATATATATATAATTTATATATAATTTATTATATTTTTTTTCCGTTATTATTAACATGATTTTGATTATTAATACTATATAATCTTCTATTTAAACATATTGCAAATTATTGCTTCTACTACTACTACTATTACAATGCTACAACACCCGAACGCGGCGGCCGCGCGGCGCGTTAATTATCGCCGCGCATTGAGACACGAAGAATAATAACTAAAATCACGACCAGGTATTAATTTGCATTTGTATAATCAATAATATTAATACTACCTTCATCATTTTAGCATATTAGTTACCAAGGCCAATAGGTTTCGAGCGTAAATTGCCTCACAATTCGCGGGCAAAATTTCAATAATCAATCTAAAACAATCTAAAACCACATATAAATAGATTATATGTCTTCTAGACGAGACATATATATTTAGGGTATATTAACTCTATCTATGCTTCCACCATTACTAACGTACTTGCTTACTATTATTACTATTACTACGACAGCGACTCTTACTATTACCACTAATATGGTGATCTAGTACTACTACTAATATTAAGTAGTTCCATTATTTCTATTTTTATTACTACCACTATTATTATAATTAAAACTATTATTATTAATACAACTACTACTACTATTACTACTATTACTATTACTACTACTTCTACTACTTGCTATTAATACTAATACTACTACAACTATTACTACTATTACTACTTCTACTTCTTCTAGGCATAGCTCCCGCAACCAATCTATAACAATCTGCAGCCATACAAAAACAGGACACGTGCCGGACCTACCAATTAGTCAGGTTTTGCCTACTCCATGGAAGCTATTAAAATTATTGCCGGCCTTTATTTATACTCCAAAATAATGCCTATTTATTTAATTAAAAGAATATCTATATAAATCTATAACATTCCAATTTCTAATACCAAAAAGCTATTCCTAAACAATTAATTAACAAATTAATTGGTTAGTTATTTGGTTTGTGCTTCTTTGCAAAAAGCCAGAGGAGACGTTTTTCAATTATGGGCATTAAACAATATTTAAATCCTAAAAGATAAACAAACTACCACCAGGAGATTATACTCTCTTCGAATCTATTTTTCGTAAAACGAGCCTTAATTTCCCATGTATTTTATATACGAAAATAACGACATAAGCAAAAAACACATACAACCGCAAAGAAACGCATCAAAAAAAAAAAAAAACCTAAAGTTCTTCATTTTAATATCAACCAAAATCCATACTCTAAAAATTTAAATGTATTATATTTCGAGAAATACCATTTCATAATTGTTATCATTTTATATGTTTCAAAAATATATAAAACCATTCCTATAATATAAGCACAATGTTCCTATTAATCTTCAAAAACCAATTAGGCTAATTAATTTTATTTTCATTTATAATTAATTTCCTTAAACTACATATTATATATATTTAATCCTAATTATAATATTATTCAATATTTTTATATAATATTATTCCCAAATAATTACCAATTTCCAATAACCTCGTAAAATTAATCAATATTTTTCAAGAAAAATAATCCAAACAAAAATATAATAATCATATTTATTTTCTTATACCAATATCAACAACAACAATTATTATGTCTTCCAATCTTGCCCATCCCCATTAAAGGTTCCAAACAGGGTTGGACCCCCATTTTTTCAGATAAAATAGGGTCAATCCCAACCTTGTTGAAAAATAACATGAAATAGTCCAACACTAACAACAAATACAATTGAAAAATCACGATTTATTTTGACCTCATGTTGAGGGTTGGTTTAAACAATCCGAGTTGGACAAGACGTATTTTATGTTATTTCCTATGAACATAAAGTCGAGGGGAGTCCAACTCATGGTTATTTTGCGCATCCGCTTTTTTCACAAAATAAAGTCGGGGGAGGTTCAACTCGGAAGGTACAAATTCAAAAATCACATTCTGGGCACCCCGAGCACCAGGCCAGTAGGAGGTTCATCAAGCCGATGGGTGTCCCTTCTAGTTTCCCTTTAAACCAATCAAAAAAAACGGGATACACCCAAAAATATAGACCCTAATGGCTCAATTGGCCCACAATCACTGCGGAGGGTATCGAGGCTTTCGACTGAACCGAGGCTTTCGACTGAACCGACCTTACACATGCAACATATACAAACTGCAACATAAGTATTTTGCACACCCGCTTTTTCACAAACTTCAGTTGGGGGGGTTCAACTCGTCATGGTTTCCGTAAGGCTTTGAGCTAGAATTTGGTCTTGTGTTTCAGTTGACCCCCCTAAAGCTAACATAATCCAGCTCCACACTGAATATAGTTAGACTTCAAAAAAATGTCATATCCAAAATGTAATTGCCGCAGTCCAACATTTCCCAAGCCGTGAATGGACTTGAAAAAACGGCACTTCCTCGGGAAATCACAGATTACCTCATGTTAATTTGAAATAAGTTCAGTCCAACTTTGAAGGGTTTTTCATAGAGGCCAACATGATTTCGCATAAAAAAAAATTGGGGTGGACTAAAATAAAATAAATGACTTATTTTAGGGTCCGACTCACCCCTACTTTATTTTGAGCCTGCTTCGGGGCTCTTTCCCCAACCTTCACACAAGATTATATATAAAAAAAAACACAATTTAACTGCCAAACAAACTATATATAACCCACTATAACACAACTTATCTTCATAATAACTGAGAACAATATGAATAACATACTTGTTTTCATAATGAGATATTCCCTCATTCAAAGTGAATCATTTTGACTTGATCCCTGCACACAACTTCCGTACTTTGCTTCTTCCAAGGGGAGGCTGCATCTAAACACCCTGGCTTTAAATCCAATATGGTACTCTTCTAATGACACTTCTTGCGTTATAAAAGCACGCGTATCGAACAACACAGTGACTTTTGATGTTTTGCGATGAAACAATTGTAACGTTGTTATCGGTACCTGGCTCGGGATTTGCATTCAACTCTTTGCTCAAGGTACATACATGGCGGGGCACCCATCTCTTCGACCTGCTGATGTGCAGCACGACACCGAGCACAGCAAGTACCTCAGGATGACATTTAGCCCTCTGGAAGCGTGCCGCGACATCAGCCAATCGCAAGTAAGTGTTGTTTGGCTAAACCCGAAGTTTGCACCAGGAGTCGCCCAAATTCCCAGCTACAGCATACCGTTATGACTCGCGAAGGCTTGTCCTTGATTTGGTCTGCCTTTCTACATGCGGACGGCGCCTTCCCCAGCTTGGCCGCTCAACTTCAACTGCTGGCCTGATGGATCAGGAAGCAGCCGGCAGGTGACTCATCAGCACAAGGAACGAAAGCAACGCATGTGAAGACCTTGGAACATAAACACCTGCACTGAGACAGGACAAATCCGCGTCCAAGCCGTTTTACTTTACTGAGAAGCCCACGAGGTCAAAGGCTGGATGGAGGACGGAACCGTCACCTGGCACTCCAAGTGTTTGCAAGACTTAGCGCTTCGATGGCTATATGGCTGTGGGTCCAAACAAGTCAAAAGGTGGTGGGTACCCGAGTCCCCACCCAAATGGCCGTGGGTCAACACCAATGGTACCATTTTGGGGTAGGTGCACCACCCATTTTTTAGTCTGGTTTAGTGGGGATTGGGATGTTCACTGGGGGTACGGGCTTGGGATTTTGACCCATGGCCATGTGTCTGCTATGCCGTCCTAGAAAGAACAATCTGCTGGCAAGCGCGTTGTTCTTTGACTCTCTTTACAGGTAGAACCCTGCCGCACTTTAGCGTGCAGGCCTGACTGGAACAAAGGTGCTGCCTGGTGCTGTCACTTCAGTGAAGCTCAGGCACAAGAGTATGGCTCAGCAAGCAATGCCATCCTTCACCCTTTGGGTAATCTCCTGGCGCAAAGGCACTTGAGTGCAACGGTGCACTCAAATCGACAACTCTCTTCAGTAATGGTTCTCCACTTTTGGAGATTTGCAAGGCAAAGAGTATCACTTTCAACGTAACAAGGTGCCCCACTGTCACGCACAGCGCACACACATAGACACAAGCACAGATGCGCACACACACACACACACACACACACACACACACACACACACACACACACACACACACACACACACACACACACACACACACACACACACACACACACACACACACACACACACACACACACACACACACACACACACACACACTCCCACACATTCCCACACACTCCCACACACTCCCACACACTCCCACACACTCCGCACACACCACAGCAAAGTGAGCAATGGCCACAGCCTCGACAAACTCCTCAAAGTCCTCAGCTTTGAAAAGTCTGCGACCCCAGGTGCTGGCATGCCGCAATCGCCAAGCTGCTATGACTCCATCTCCTTTTGTGTCGATCTCCTGCGTCCGACTTTGATCTGACATGGAGTAGTTTCACTTGGGGGCAATTTGCAATGAAGTCCGCAGGTTGCTTGAGGATCCACGCTCCGTTGAGCGCATCTTGTCAATGAAAGAGGCATACATTTGATGGCTCAAATGGAAGACTTAATCGAAGAGCTCTGCGAGGTGCACGGCTTGAAGAGCAACAGTCCCAACGGCTTTGCGTGTCGAAATGTTTTCAGCTAGATTTGCACCTTGTTATCGCATGTGATTGCCTCGGCATTTGCCCCACCACCGATGGCTACATCTGCAATGTCGGGTCAGGCTGTCTTTCGTCTCGCGGAAACCCCATTTTTGTCCAAGCTTTCAGAACCAAACATGTTCAACTATCTGGCCGACCTGGCCATGTGGGTAAAGGGAACCAGCTTCCAGAACCAAAAGGACAATTGCGACCCGGGATCTGTTGGGCCACGGGTGGCGTTGGATGACCCGGTGACTCACCCCCCAGCTACCCCAGATTGGCGGCTTGCTTTGACGTGTGCAGGAGTTTGGTATGCGCTGGTCCCTTTTCAAAATGGATGGGGGCAATGCTGGTGGCTAATGTATCTCACTTATCAAGGTTCGGTCGACCAATGTGTGGCTTTACTGCGCGTTTGACTGTCAGCTTGCGCATTACTTCCCTGCCGTTGGGAATTCAAGCACTCTCCAACATCTTGCAATGGTTTCCGGGGGGGGCGGGGCAGGGAAAACACAAGCAAGAACCAGCAAGGCATTCGGGAAGTCCCATTTGTTGCTCTCCCTCTGCATCAATCACCCATCACAAAGCCCAGTGCTCCTTGAACGTCGACACCAAGTCCTCATGCTCGTTGGCTGGCGGCTGGTTGATGGCCTACATTCATCTTTGGCTTCCGTCCAGCACCAATGGCGCGACCCTTGCCTTCAGCAAGACCAGCAACTGCTCCTTGTCAATAGTCCTCTGGTTCTGACCTCGGAGCATGGGACGCTCGTCTCTGTGACAATGACACGTGGATACAGTTGAGCTGTCACCACGCATCCATATAGCCGCCAAAGCCCGCCCATGCTGCGCAAGGTGCAGTACTGGTACCAAACCATCCGGAGAACGGCTTTGTCTCCAACGGAAGGTCCTTGTACAGGCTTCATACTGCAAACTGAATCGCTTCGCAGCTGAGGGGGCAACCATTGAAATGCCCCGCACGGCTTTGGTCGAGCATGTTCCTGACCATCATCTATTAAGGCAGCAGGTGTGGCAAGGGCATGTGACTGCCCCTGTCAGCACTGATGCCCAACTTTGCAAGACTGTGATAAGACAACTACATGCTGGCCTGTAAATTTCGGCAAATCTTTCTGGGCCTGCAAGCGCCAAGCGCTGCATGAGCTTGAACAAGCAACATGCTGCACCCAGCCTGAGCACGAAATCTTGTCACGCACGCGTTGGGTAACCTGGTGGCAAATGAGTGCACAGCCCATATCAAAACCCTAGGGCTGCCTCTGCTATAAAGTCGTCCCAGTCGATCTTGCCGTTGCCTTTCCGGTCCCACTCCTGTGCAGGGTAACTCAGCTTGGTGAAGCTTGCTGCTTAGCCCAAGGTTGCACATGCTGGCCTTGAATGTTGCATCAAGATCGTCATCATCATTTTCCTTGGTGGAGATGGGATCTCACTGCAGTGAGGTGCCACCAATCACTCTTCTGCCAAAAGTCTGGTGGCTGATAAATTGCCAGCAGCAAATCCAACAATTGAGACTTGCTGATCTTGCCTGCCCAACTCCCTGCTCACTCAAGGCAAACGCGCTACTTACGCCCACCTTTGTTCGGCATTGCATACCTTGGGCAGCAATTGGCTTCAAGATCGCACCGCGCTGATCACATGATCGTCCACGGGAAGCAAGTTGCACTTGCCACATTGACTGCAGGACTTCAGCCTCCTGACCGGATAGACAAGTACCAATGCCATTGCTCACAGAACTTGGGCTGGGTTGAAATACGGCTTGCTTTGGCTAGAAGAGCCTGCCAAGAGCAACGAACGGGGGTTTGCCAAAATACTGTCATCATCTGATCAATCATTCTCAAGATTAAGCACGCACTTTCTCCAGCCGACTATCAGCCAATGTTGGGCCCCCCAAGGGCCTGGGAAGCCAAACCAAACGAACCCTGCCCTCTGATTAAAGAAGACAGGGACTCCAAAACGATTTACTTTCATAGTCCAAGCGGGGGGGCTCAAGTCACATCAAATCCGCCGACAACAGACGGCGTGTTGGACATAAGAAATGCTCCTTACCTCTTTACCTGTTTCCCCTCCCCTTACCCCTCCCCAGGGGCACAATTTCAGACCATTGCGGGGGGGGGGGGGGGGTTCCACGTACCACGCGGTTAGGGGGGGAAAGGATCTCAGCAGGGACAGGGAGAAAAGATCCTAGGGAGGAAAAGGGAGAAGATCTCAGGGGGGGAAACGCCTTAGGGGGGAAAGGGGGGAAATGATCTCAACAGGGAAAGGGGGCAAAGGATCTTAGGGAGGAATAGGGAGAAGATCTCAGCGGGGGGAAAGGCCTTAGGGGGGAAAGGGGGGACAGGATCTCAACAGGGGAAGGGGGGGGAAGATCTCAGGGAGGAAAGGGAAAAGATCTCAGGGGGGGAAAAGGCCTTCGGGGGGAAAGGGGGGAAAGGATCTCAACAGGGAGAGGGGGAAAACATCTTAGGGAGGAAAAGGGAAAACATCTCAGAGGGAGAAAGGGCCTTAGGGGGGAAAGGGGGAATGGATCTCAACAGGGAAAGGGGGGCAAAAATCTTAAAGGGGAAGGGGGGCAAGGGGACAAATCCAAAGGGACGCAAATAAGAAAGCAGGCCTGTAATGTCGGCGGCCTTAAAATTATCAAGGTGGTGTTAAGTCACATCATTTTTTGTTGAATCCCATGGCACAGTGCTGGCAAGCGCGTGCTTAGCCGGAAACTAGTCGGCAATGGCCAACAATAGCAAACGCGTCTCCCGCCCAGCCAGCCTTCCCTAGTGCGGTTCTTCATCAGACACGTGGCAACACAATTTGCTTCTGAATACGTGGTGACAAACGAGAACCGAAACGATATCCAAACGAGATCATCACGATCCACCACCACACCACACCACACCACAGCTTCACCAGCTTCACCCACCCCCCCCCCCCCGCCGCCGGCAGCCAAAACACAAACAGTGCCGGATTGATAGGGAGGGCTGCGTTGAGACCGTCGAGCCCCTCCAAAATCACTTTTTTCGGGCCGGGGGGGGGGGGGGGAGCGGGACGAATCAACAGTTGTTGATCGGATATGTTGGGGCAAGATTTTGCCCACTTATCAGTTGAAGGGGCGGGAGCAAGAAACCATTCACAAAATCCATAGTCCTCCTTTGTCGGCCCGCTGAAGCGGCCAGCCAGGCTTCGATCCAGCATGGCCTGCGCTGGTCTTTGAGCCCCAAACACTCCACGTACTGGATGCGCCTTGTAGACAGCGGCGAAGCGCTCGTGAAAGAAGACCCGCTCGTACTCGCACAAACCACGCAACAAGGATGCTCCTGTAATCTACTATGGTGACGGACCACGCTGCATCCAACCCAAAGGTGCTCAAATGAAGCCCGCAAAAGGCCTTCCTTCGCGGACCTACTAGGCCGTTGCTGCAATTGGTGGTGCGACAAAATATCGCCCAAAGCCCTCCCCACCGCCATTCTCGCTGCACAACGCCTTCACAATGTATTCCGGGTACACGTGGTCATCGTTGAAAACGATAATCTCCCGGAATGTCTTGTTTAATTTCAACCTGGCAGTCTGCTTGGCACAGTCTAAGCTTTCACTCTCCGAAGTCTCTGCTAATTCTGCCGCGCCTGTCCCCCAGAACAGAGTCGAACTCACCAGAGAGACAACTCTTCTGAAGCCTCTGAATGCTCATGGAAAAAGGAAGCAAATAAGCAATCACAGGCAATAGCCACATGATCACACCATAGTTTGCTTGCCTTGGATGCCTTGAAAGCCAACTCGCTTGCGCTTCGCCTATCTGGATCCGGGCGCTGCTCATCGTTGTAGTGCACACGGCCCAGCCTCAGCTCGGAGATCCATTTCCAGCCCTCCCCTTGCGTACTCCAGCTGAGCCACGCGGAGCGACAAACCAGAATGTAGGACCTCAGCGGCTTCCAGCCGTGACCCGCGGAAAGCGCTCTGTCAATCAACGCCAGCTGCCTTCTGGCAGCTCTTGGGCGAAATGTTTAGAACCCCGGGGTCTGCCTCACTAAGATAGATGGTCAGCTTTTGATTGACTGCCAACGATGGGAGCAACGCTGGGATCGGAATAGCTCTCTCACAAAATGCGGCGCCCATCTGAACAATTGGTATTGTTCTTCCTTCTTCTCAGCGTTACAAAACCGTGGTCATAGCTTCGCTTATCCGCTCCGGCCGCTGGCTGCCAACACACAAAGGCATCCATCAACGGGCCACTGCATGCTGAAACGCTCCCACATCGGGCTGGGGTAATTAATGCCCTCGGCCAATTGAGCGCCTCGCTCGCGGACCAAAGGTGGCGGAGGGCCTGGAGGAGGCTTAGGCGCCTTGAGCACAGGACTCACAGAGCGGGGTTGCCAAAACGTGGCAAGCATCCCCCGTTTTCTTCCCTTTCATCCCTTCCCTCTACCAGAGCATGGGCTTCATTCCTGGCCCACCTGTGACATATCTGGCTACCTGGCCTCGAAGCCCATCTCTGCCTCCTCGCCTGTGGAGGCTGGGCCCTTGGGACCTTCACCGTACTCATCAGACCTCAGGTGAGTCATAACCAAAACTCGGCAGTAGAATGGTCTACCCAGAACTATGTAAAGAACTAAAAACGCAACTGCACCCATCTATGGCTGGGATTAGGCCCTACTAACTTCCACCTACCCGGGTTTTGATTGTGGCTCAGGTGACTCGCACGAGCGCGCGCCTCGCGCGCTAAGGCCGTGGCTTGGTCGCGTTCTCAGCCAAGTAGATACCTGGCCGGGCCGGACGGGCCGCCGTAAGCCGGCGCCGTCGAGCCGCGCCGTGCCTTTGCCATAAAGAGTGCCGGCATTGGAGCCGGACATGTCCAAACCTCAGTCGGTGAGTTTTCATGGGTAGAAGTAAGTGGTTGCTTGTCGGTTCCTTGAGGATTTGCTTATGCAAAGTCATTTGTGTTCTACAAGTTTTTCAGGATTGGCTTTTTGTTCGGGTTTTTTTCTTGGGAACACATGCCGTGTTTTGCACTGTTTTCGAGTACATCCCAGGCAATTCTTGGCAAAGCGTACCAGCATCCAGCAACACCCCCAGCTCACCAGCAACAGGGCTCAGGGTTCGTTGAGGGTTGATTTGCGTAACTTCGGGGTGGGCTATAGTTGCTTGAGGAATGCGTATTTGAGGGTGGGTTTAGGGTTGGTTAAGGGTGGGATTACCGCCAGCAAGCAAGTGGGGGCGTTGGGGAGGGGGGCATAACAATCACAGCTTACACCAAAAAGGACAGCAATGGAATCTGGAAGAACTAGGTTTAGGGGTGGTTTAGGGTTTGGGGTGGGGTTGGTTTTGAGTGGGTTAGAGGGTTGGTTCAAGGATGGTCTAGGGCTAACTTAGGGCCAGTCCAGGGTTGCTTCAGGTGTGCGTGGTTGAGGCAGGGTTTAGGGGGTGTTTTCTTGAATTTTTCTTTGGGGAGGATGCTGGTGAGGCTAGGGTGTTGCTGGCGATGCTGAAATGTCAAAAAGCCGCAAAAGCCTGCAAAAGCCTCTTTCCTGTCAGCCGAAAAGCGAACAACAACGCAACAAAATGACAACAATTCCCCGACAAAGTGCTCTCCGTTTTCATGCATGCCTGGTTCAGGTGCAGCCCAGTCTCGGAAGTCGTTTTCGGCGATTCCCTTGGCTGCCTCCGCAGTGGTGCCGTGGAACAGCCAGTGCTCGTTGGTGCCCTGGGCAACTTGCGCAGTGTGAGTCAGGGCTACGTCATGCAGGTGCAGCAAAACCAAAATGCCATGCAGGGTGTGGGATATGCCGGCCAACTGCTGCTCTGAGGTGGGCGCTGAGTCCAACACTGGCAATGCTGACAGTGTGCCGCTCCTCAAGCAAAGCAGGTGCCCCCAAGATGGCGCCCGCCAATGAATCAAGCAAGGAGCTGCTTCAAGTGGTTCACGGTGTGGGATCCATCTGGAAGCTCTGGTTTGTCTCCGCCCCTTGCCTTTTGAATCTCATCACGCTTCGTGGCATACTCCTCGCCGGGTGCTTGATACCCACGCACGCAGCAACATGGGACGGCGCATCTATGCAGCCAAGGGTCTCGCCACACCTGGATCACATGCCAGGCATGCGTTGCGCAGGCTGTGGGTTTTCTGTGACTTCCCTGCCTGATCGTTGAGGACCCGATGCACCTGCCACAGCTCGACAAACAGCTGGGCACCAACATGCACTAAGACACAGGCGGCTAATCAACTCCCATCAAGGGGTTCCTTGTTGATATTTGGCCTCTCTCCCGAAAGATGAGTGTGAATACCACTTCTTGCCTCCTTCACTGTAAAACGATCTGGAATCGGTGCTCCGCGTCTGTCACGAGTGTACACCTTGGGTGCCCAACTCTAGACAGCCCCCTCTCTCTCGCTCTCTCGCTATCTATCTGTCTATCGTCTAGACATCTGCTTCTGCTTAGCTGGCATGGCTGTTGCAAAGATTGCCTTGCAGCCTGCTTCCCCGTCACATTCTGGCAGCAAACCCGCTGCGCCTTGCGGTATGTGCCGTCCAGCAAAGACTGCATAGCTTTGACGACCTTTGCAGCGCGATGCTAGCTGCGTTGCGTGCTGTTCCCAAATCACCGTTGCCCACGTCCTAGGTAGTTTGGCAACGGTTTTGAACCAGGAGCCACAACCTCCATCTTGATGCTTCTATTATCTTCTATTGCTTCTTACATTTGGCAACGGTTTTGAGCCAGGAACCAGAACCTCAATGTTGATACGCTTCTCATATTATATCACTCAACTGCATGTCGTTCATCCTCTTTGAGCCCAACATAGCCCAATCCAACGGCCTGGCCTGTGGAGGCTGCGGCTGGAAGGCGACCACCGCAGATGCCTCGGCCGGATGTCCCAAGGCGAACCCAAACACGGCTCAGCTCCGCGCCTTGCGCCCGCCGAGGCCACCTGACCAGAACTCAAACGAAACCTTGGACCCAGGAAGTCGGACCCTATGGCACCGATTTAGCTGAAAATCATTATGGCTCCACGTCAACCCCAAGATTGTGGATCAGATTTCCCACAAAACCACAATAAGCAAAAATGTAAAATGTTTCCCAACAACAACCATGACGTCAACCCCAAGATTGTGGATCAGGCTCCCATTTTCTAGGTGGCAATTGATGTCCCTGATCGGACCAATTTCCGCGCAGCCATCTCCGGGAGAATTTGGCGCCTTCGAGCCGGCGACCCGCGCAGAAGGCCTTTAGATCCTCTCAAGACGTCGGTGAGCTTGTGAAATGGGTAGGATGACCCTGGGTGTGTCTTCAATTCGGGCCCCTGCTCCTTTTGGTTTTCCTTCACAAGCCCACCAAAAGAAGGTTCCCCAAAAAAAGGGCGCACCATGGCACGCACAAGATTCGCAGCAACGGGAAATCAGGCCGGTCCCAATCTGCCGGAATTTGGAGGCGCTCGCGGAGCCGAGCTTCTGCACCTTTGCATCTGGACAGCACAAATGTGGCCGTGGTGTTTGAGGGTACCGTTCTTGGTCGGCTTAAAGGGGAAACACAAAGGAAACCGAAACCCGTTTTGGGGGGTCCCCTGTTTTGACACATAACCATCTGGACACAAACAACATCTGCTGGCAGCTGAACCGCGCTGAGCCAGCAGCTGCTAACTTCAGCACCTCGCTGCCCCTGCGCTAGGGCGCGTCCAAGAGCTGCGCGCAAAACCTGCCGAAGTGTACTAGACCTCGCATCCTGAAAGGCAAGTGCCATATGCGGAACCGCCTCCGTATCCTCAGAGTCCAAGCCTCACAGCCAGTCAACAAAAGCCATCCGACCGCCTTGCACAGTCGGAGTCACGTGAATCCTCGGAACAATTAGTGTTTGGGAGTGATGAGGCCCTGGATGGACCAAACTTGAGACCCCTGACCTTCAAACTGGTGGGCGAAAGCGCCATGGCCTGCAGGAGCCTTCGATCCTGGCTCTTGCGGCCTTGCAAGCAAGGAACGCATTGCACCCAAAGGCATATGCCTCCAGCATCGACAAAAAGGGGGCCTCTTAAGAGTGGTCAAGAATGCAGAGTAAAACTTGCCCAAATGCCAAAGCGGCACGAAGAGGAACTAAGCTTCAACAACTGTCGGTCCATTGTTCGACTGCAATTCAGGCCTCTTCTCGGGCTGTTTTCCAGCACTTCCGGCACCTTCAGCACTTGCAGCGCTGTCAGCTGGCTTTGAACCACCGCAGCCCATGCTTGCCACCACAAGATGCGACAAACCTGGGACGCGCCAGTCGCGTAAGAACCTTGTGGTCTTCACAAAGCTTGAGCCGCAAATGCAAGCACCCCGAAGCGAACTTACAATGGCTTGTGTGGACCCCGCAGGCGCCACATCAACGGGTGCAAAGCAGAAGCAAGCCATAGCTCAAATATATCGAAATGTGTGACATGAGTTCGTTTTGTTTAAGGGCACCCTTGGTTTTGTAAAGGGCAAATCAAAAAGGCAAACCAAAAGGAAAACCTCAATCTCGGGGGTCCGTGTAAAAAAGACACACCTACATGAGTCACGCCCGCTTGAGCAGTGCTATCGGCATCCGAAGCGCCCCCTGAGCCGCGTCACAGGCCTGCCCACGAGGTGGCCTACCAGCAGCCACCAGCCCCGGAGGCGTCTTCTCCTGCAAGGCTAGAGCAAATCAGCCAAATCTCAGGCTGGAAATGGCTGGGTTACTTTCCTCAAGCCAGCTAGACCCAGCTGCGGGCCAAACCATTTCAGCGCTCCTGGTCAAGGGCCTTCCTTGGCATTCGCACTGCTATGTTCTGTCTGGCTTCCCTGAACTTGCGCATTAATGCCGTCCGGCTGCCTCTGGTCCCTGATCTGTTTCATCTTCTCAGCTCTTGAAGAATAAGCAGTCTGCACACCAGCCTGGCCCACTGGCAAGCACAGGCCAGGCTCAGGCGCCAGCAACGCGCAGGCGCCAGCAGGCCTCATCGCCTTTCTCTTCCTGTCCGCTCGTGGCCTGCAAGCGTGCACGCCTCGGTACCCCTGATCAGAGTCTCAACCGCCTTCCTGGCCTTGTCCTTGTCTTTCACCTCTTCCTGTTGCCTGTCCGCATCCTCTTCTTCGGCCATTGCGGTGCAGTGAGACCGAACCCACTGGAAACACGTTTGACAACCTATTGCTGTGCATCGGCGCTGCCCACAACAATGAGATTGAAATCAGTCAGCCACGAGACATGCTGCAGTTGCTCTACTCTATTTCTGCTAAGCCCACCAGCGATATCAAACATAGACCGAGCTGCGTTGCTCTCTCAAAGGTTGTTCTGTTCCCAGAGTCAACTCACTCACCCTGGGACACTTTTATCCATAGCACTTAGCACGTTTCCATCAGGTCCGCAACGCTGGCTGCTCATAGCTGGCTACTTCGCCTAGCTTCTCTGTTTTGACGGGCACTTTCAGGAACGGCTCCATGTGAATCACCTGCGAGCTTTCGTTTTGGCCATGCCCACAAAAAGCCCAGCTCTGCCTCAGCGAAAGCCAAGGTTTGCCAGCGGAATCGGCTCTTGAACTGCACCAGCGTCGCCACCTGTGGAGTGCCAGGAGAGCTGAAAACACGGCGCTTGCTGAGACAGCGGCATCGACTCGGCACTCAGCCCAGCTCTTTGATAGCCAAGGTTCTGCCAGCGCCAAGCTGAAGGCTGCAATTATTGATGGAACGCAGCTGGATGACTCACGCGTCAGGATTCCACACATTGTGACCTTTGCTTTTGCGCTTTCAAGAAGCACAATTCTGGGTTTTGGGTATCCCTAACTACGAGTACCGCCATGCTGGTTTGTACACTGCTTTGGCATCAACACTAAGCTGGGTGCCGCATATAGAACCTTATTCCAGACACAAACATGCCATGAACAAAGCGAGGCCATTTCTCGGCCGCTGATGCTGAAACCAGGGGGGAACCAAATGCCTGTGCTCGGCAAAAGCCCTCGTTGCCAAGCTCCAGCCAAGTTGCTATGCCATACCTTACTTGACTGCAAGCACCCTTGGGTGCAAGTGGTAGGCAGGAACTCATCCAGTCTTTCGAGCCCGTGTTGAAAGCTGAGAGGTTTGAGGCAACGTGTCATCTGCCTTTGGCAATCTTATAAGATCTAAAGAGCAGGTTGAACTGCGCAGGGAGCCTTCCTGCCCGAACCCCAAAGACCTTGCAGATTGGAAGGTTGTGTGGCGCTCTGTGGCATTAATTTTGATACGGCAAGTTGCAGCAGCTGTGTCATCGACTCACACCAGAATTCTCCTCCCAAATCTGGCTTCCGAGTCTCAGCAAACACCTGGGCAACCCAAGCAGCCAGTTGATCTGGCTGCGAGCAATGGCTGCTCTGATCAAGGCTTGTTTTCCAGACTCACCTCTGGCATCAGCTTACAGCCAATGCAGCTAGTTGGTGGCAAGCCTCGCCCAAAGCTGCATCACGAGGTGCCAGCCGCAAACTGAGGGCTGAGCTAGGAGGTAGCCATATGCCACTCGCTGAACTGCAAACTTGGCAACGACCGCCAGCGTCACCAAGGGTGCCACACCTGAACCGTTTCCACCGCAAAGGCTCTCCCTCAAAAGGGCTGCACGCTGGGCTCGGGACTGCAGAAGATGCATCCTGAGGCAAAGCCAGGCGCTACCTCTAACCCCTCGCCTTCATGTCGCTACAGTTTTCTGAGGCGTGCGTTCGGCCGCTTGGCCAGCCACAGTGCAGAGGTTGCACTGCATCTGTCCCCCCGCCCCGTTGCTTCCGAAATATGTCGCCAGGCTTCCGATCACGAGATTCAAGTTCCACCTGGCCATCCTGCCACCCATGCCGTAGAAGTCCTACAGGCCAACAAGGCCGGTTCATTGACAGCCGGTATGCCTGCATACAATAAACTCAAAGGCTTCGCTAAATGGCCTCAGTTGCTTCCTCGTGCCATCCCACCCCAAACATGCACAGCCCACGATCCTTTTTTTCCCACAACAACTGAGCCAAACCACGCTGAGGCGCCTGATCCTCTGGCTCCGCTTTCTTCAGAGCTTCTGCTTCACTTTGGATTGACCTTGCAGGGGCAAAGTGACATTCGGCAGTTCGAGTTCGAAGCGTGCGAGACAGTTCGGCAAGATGACACATCCACAAACCGCCTCTGAAACAAACTTCGATCGGCAAACAAGATGCCAACACCCTTCACTATCTTCACTCAACTCAGAGAGGCACCAAAAACCACATAAGCGAGGCAACAAAGGAGCTTTCACACAAATTGAAATTGGGATCAAACATGCCGCCGGCTCTGGGTTCTTGAAACCACCATCTGAGAGAACGCCTGAAGAGCAAGAACTTCACCAGGACCGCCAGTCGCAGCAATTCCATACCTCATGTAACAATGAAGGGCATGGCCACATGAGCGAGAATGCGCATGAGCAAGAATGCGCAAGCAACCGCACTTGCGTGCACACTCGATTACCAACTCATGCAACCTTCAAAGAAAAAATAAGAAGCCAGAATCTGAGTGGATCACATGCCACACTCCACTGCAGCACCTCGTAATTGAAGAAGAACTGGGAGGCCAGCGGAATCCTCAGATTTCCGCACTTCCTCTGGGCGAGTTTCCCTCGCCCCGAATTGCTCCTTCCTTCAGTCGGGCGTCCGGTCTGCCAGAAGCCCGAAGACTTCAGCTGGACTCCGATAGACTTCTTGTGCGAAGTGCCGGAAGTTCGTGCCCAAGACCGGCATCACCAAGACAAACAAGAAGAGAAAGGAATAATACCAGATCTGAAGCCGGTGCTGAGCAAATGATTCAGCGCGAAGTGTGAAGAAGGTGGCAAATACCAACAATAGTACCTTACAGCTTTACCAGCAACACATGTTCAAGGGAACTCGCACAGCTGCAAACGCATTGACATGCAGCCAAGAAGCTGTTGGCAACATGGCAAGAAAAATGGTCAATCCCAGAGTTGGCGCCAAAGCAGCCCACAAGGGCTGAAGCCAGCCGATGTCAACCGCAAGTGCGGCCCTTGAAATTTCAAGACAAATCGGCGAGAAGGATGCCTCACTTGCCAGGCCAGGAAATAAAAGCTTCACAGCTCAGCTTTTGACACCTTGACCAATAATAGACCACGGAGAGGGAAAAACAAGAAACCCTCAAAAGGTCGGCGTTGAGCAAGTGAGATGCATACATCAGCAGAATGATTGTGCAGCCAATGGCTGAACGCAATGCTCCGTGCTCTCGCGACACGTCTTGCCAGCGAATAGCCGATGCTTCTGGTGCATCACGGATGGCCCATTCACCGGCATCATCGCTGAACTGAACCGCCTTTGCAATCTCAGCATCTCTGCGAGACCGAAACGTCACGAAGGCGGACGAAGTGTTGACACCTCCTGTCACGGAGGATGCCTGACGAATTCTGTGGCGCTCCTTCTCAACATAAGCATCCTCTGCAGCAAGCTGAACTTCAAACTGGTCGATGGCGTCAAGCTGTGTGCCGGACATATCTAGCACCGGCCTCACACCATCCCCGCATTGCCGCCTTGCCTCATCCAGCTTGGCACCGATCGCATCACGCGCGGCCATCAGGGAGTCAAGGGTGTCTGTGTGCCGTACCATGCTCACGTGGACCACGCTCTCAGGGCTGAAGTGGTTGAAGAACTTCTGCACCCGCTCTTGGCATCGGAAGGAGTCAGGGATGCCCTCCACCAGAACTGTGCTGGCTCGTGGCCAGGGCAAGTCCCTGAGCCAGGCGTTCCGCCTCTTCATGAACTCCTCCTGCCAGCCAAAGATCATGGCGCGCGCCAGCAGGACCACCCCACAAGCCACCACCCCGTGCAGGTGATACAGCCACGGGTGGCCGGGTTTGATGTTTGACATGGACAGGCTCGCCAGGAAGTCCGTCTCAACCAGGCCTTTCCCACCATACCAGTGGTGCAAGGGGCTGAGCAAAATAACCAGGGGCAGCCTGGCCATGAATTTGACTCTCAAAACCAGACCCTTCCTGATGCCTCACCTGCATATTGAAATGTTTTGTTCCTCAACGGCACGTAGGAAAGGACTACCCTTTTCATCTCTCTGTCACTTGGGTGCCCCTCCTAAACACTTCTACGCCTGGTGCCTCAATGTCTGCTACTGGAAGGCTGAACACAACGGGATCTTTCAGACCTTGGAGGCTACCAACATATGTGTCCTGGCACCAAACAAAGCAACACATGTACTTCTATGACGTTCTATATTATGATATACTTAATGTCCTCTTGAGCAGCTACCAACTGCCTTGCGGCGGCTACTTGCATAAGCCAAGGCACCCCAAGGCGGCCGAAAGCCTAAATCCGAAGGACGCATACTCAATCGCCATGCACGCATCAAGCCCTTTGGAGGACGCTACCATGTCGCTGTCCACGTGAAGTGCTGAGACTACCCAGTTAGAAGCTGGTTGCACCTCACTCGGTACATTTCCAGCATAGACCTGAGCAGAGCAGTCGCTCAAGCTCCTCATGAGCCACACGCATGGCATTGCTAAGCCTCTGACACCGGCATATCGCACCCGAAGAGCCCCAAACAGAATCACGCAAGCCGAGCAAGTAATCAGATTCATGACCATGCCGCTAATGGCCTGTGCTGTCATGGGTGCCTGGAGTGTTGCTTCTCCGCCACTCTGCAAGCGAACGAAGTCCTGCTTCCACTCCATGGCTTTGGCGGCTTCCTTTGCCGCGGCTTCTGTGGCGTTCTTGGCCGCCCGCGAGGCGTTCCGCGCGGCGGCGCCGATGTTCGCGCGCACTGCCGTCTGGGTGGGGTACGGCAAACGCTGGAGGAGGGAGGCAGCCCGAAGCTGTTCATCTGGCTGCCCGCCTGGAGTTGCCAAGTTGCCAAGCCCGAGATGCAGGAAACGGCTCATGCTGTCAGCTTGCGCCATGCAGCCCGAGATGCAGGTCTCCGCATTACACAAAGCAGCCTTCGTCAGAATGCAGCATAGGAGCTTAAAGCCGTTCATGAAACTTGCAGGGCTTTTGGCACCTTGGGTGATGCCAAATATGAGCACATTAGTCGAGGCCACAGTGCATGATGGTTCAATTTAAGTCTTACCCTACATCATTTCAATGTCCTCACCCAAAAGTGGCACGCGTCGATCTTTCCACGCCAGCTTGGGAATCATGTGCCACAAGCGGTACATGCTGAGAACAGCACGCAGTTCACGGTGTGCGTCAAGTCGAGTAGGGGTAAAGTGTTTGAGCCATGGTGCTGGGCTGGCGGCTGTTCGGCTTCCATTGCAGCTGTGTGCATTCTGGCCCCACATGGCCCAACAGGTATCTGGCCAGACCCCGGCAACGTGTCATATTTTTTGACCTTCATTGATTGAGATCGAGATTGGTGCGAATTTCCAGGCAGCATTAGTTAGAGCGGCCGCCCAACACTGCGCAAACACATTCCGACACAAAGGCTCAATGACTTCAAGATACAACAGCTCAAAAAAAGGTGCCAAGCGGGGATGAGGCCTAGCAGAGACGGAGTCCAACTCGCACAGGAATTCTCACATGCGCATTTGTACACTAGATTGAAGCGTCCGGCGCCGCCCTCACACCTGACTCATCTCTCACATCTGACTCGTCTGAAATGGAGTCACTTTCCGGAAAGCCTCGGAAGCCGGCCCATCTTTGGGGAAAACCCGCAAGTCGCAAGTCGGCACATCGGGAGATGTGGGTGCCAACACACTTCAATACACATGCGGTGGGCGAGTCAAGGGTAGTGCACGTGTCCACAAGATGGGCCCTACTTTTTTGCTTGCCTATCTGACAGAGCCCTTGATGGGCAAATCACGACACAGGGCTCCTTTATAGGGCCATGGAAGTGACGGGACTTTCCCCAAAACCCGACTGAGCTTGTGCAAGGCAACTGTCTACAGAATCTCCTGACCGGGATGGTGGAGTGAACGCCTGGGCCCCACAGGCGCTCAAGCGCTCAAGCTGCAAGGTGAGGTTTGCATCCTGAGCCATCCACTGGCAAGGCCTGCAGGCCGCGTGACAAGCGCCCAGCGCAGTCGATACAAATGTCCTGGGCACATGAAGCGCATGAAGCACCACGCTCCAGGGACTCAAAGTTGCGTAAGCAGTCAGCGTAATCACCACACCCACGGCATGTGAAGAAGCCTCAGTTTCACCCGCAGGGAAGAACACGGAAAGCAGCATGTGTCAAAGATAAAGCTTCTGACACGCCTGTCTCTTGTCCAATCCTTAGGGAAGCACAGTCGTCCTGGATGTCATCTTGGCCTCAGCTGTAGCCGGGGCGGACAGCAACGGCAGACACTGACAAATGCTGGTAGCTATTTGCATCCAGCTGTCCACACTCCGTGCAGGATCGGAAGTCATCAGTGTCCTTAGCAGCGGGGCCTCCTCAAGGTGTTGCTCCAAGCAAGCAAGGACCAAGAACCGATGGCTCTGCGACATGGTGCGACAGCAGCATTGGACGAATTGGTACTTCGTCGAACGAGATCAGTTGAAAATCCTGCTAGCTTGATGTGGCATTTTCTAGCCCAGCGATTTCTGCAAAGGCGCCCGATGCGTCCAGCCAAAGCATCTCACCTAACATGGCACATCTACCAGCCAACAAAGGCTTCTTTCGCACCTGCTCCGGCTTGATGAGCAGCATCAAGTGCTTCCGGGGGCAGTATGGCTCATAGCTTAAGATGGAGCCTGGCAGGTGCCCTCAAGTATGTCCGAATAGGCTTCAACAAAGAGCTGGAAGCAGCCATGATGTTGAACACGCAGGAGCTACACCAGGAAGCAGGGGGAGGCTTGCAGCAAAGGGCCGCTTGCGACTTGCGCTCGGGAGAAGAGGATGGGCCACTTGCGCTTGTGCCTGGCATATTGCTGTGTGCATCTGTTCGTCTGCCTCTGGCTCCTGCCAGTGGCCACAGGTCAGTGCATCACATGGGGCGCAGCCGGCCTGAGCCCTCCCGTCCTGTTAGTCGTTCAACGCTGCGTGGCCGCACAACCAGCGACACCACTCCGTGCCTAGGAAGGTATGGGCCGAATGGCCCAGGAATACATATCCTAACCAATCCCTTTCCCCCAATAGTAATTGTCCCCCGGAATCTTGGCAGTTGTTTCCCGAATACTGTTTTGGGTTTGTGGAAGTTGAGTATTGGTTTAGTATTGGCTCGGAGTGCTTGTACAAAGCCCCTGATACAGGCAACTACTTGTACTAGAAATCGATTGTCTACGTATTTATGCAACTACTGGTTGGGAATCGGTGTGTTCTAGATCACTTTGTGGACCGCTGATTTCTGCTGCTTAAACTCCTTACCAGAAATTTCAATTTCGCATGATTTTGGGCCCGAGAAGGGGGCGGGGCCTCATTTGGATGAGCGGGGAAACCCGAAAACGACGGGACTGGAACTTGGGCCCCTTAATAGTGACTGCAAGCTGAGAGCCGTGCGAATCCTCCCCGTAACCAATCCTGCAGCTCGAGGGAGCTTTGTGCTGGCAGTGCGGAAGCACATCGCTTACTGAGTCTGATGTATATTTCCTACCGCTGATCTGCAGCATAGTGTCAAGAGCATGCCACCATCGTTGGGTACACTCCTGGGCCCAGAGCAAAGTTGGGACTCCCAGCTGGACAGCGCATCCAAGCAGGGCCAACCCCTTGGTTGAAGATGATCAAACACCTGTTGCATTTTACAACCTCCTCTTGTTTGCCGAATCGAGGGGACCACGGTCTCGCTGCTTTTGAAACCATGCTTGCCCAACCCTGCATCCAAGACACCCCATGTAGTTTCTGGCGGAGAACACCCGTAACAAATGGCCTTAGCATCGGCCATCTTACTCATCTTACCGCCTATGCACCGCTGTCAAGCATTGCATGCACTGAGATGACTATTGGGGCCAAGTGACCATCATGCATTAGCTCATAGCCCTTGCACGTGTTGGTGAATTGGTGAGATCCTCAGATATAGAATGCAGAAAGGTGGCTCAGACATCAGGACCGCACAGCAAAGGGCCCTACTATCTCACTGACTTTGTTCAGCTGACAGTCGGGCTGCTTCAGCAACATTTTTCAAGCAACCAGAGTATAAAAAACCATCCAGTATCACCAGGACCTCCAGGTATTTGTGTTTCTTTCCCGATTTCGCACAGTTCCCCAACTTCACCCCATCATCGTATTAGAAGTTTCCCTCAAGGCTTCAAAACCCGTGACTTTGCGGGAAACCTTGGGGAGTCTGAAATGAAGGTCTGACATGCTTGTGGATTTCGGACTCAGCTCAACCACGCAGGCGGCACCAAGTTTAGGCCTTGTGTACCTGAGGGTTTGCAAAACAGTGTGTGGCCTGCCTAAGATGTAGAGACTTGCAGCCAGCCCGGGATGACCCAAAGCATGAATGAGGCACCGCCTTCCAACGCCTTTCAATTTGTGAGACTCGGGTCACGTGCGGCCAAGGATCGAATCACAAGTTCCAGGCCCTCTGCCTTGCAGAACTTCTGCGTCACATCACCTGCGATCAGCGATCACCCCGCTATCGAATGCTTCCGCTTGCTGTTGGCTGTCGGCTTTCGCAGACCAGCGGCGCCCAAAGTTCTTCATGACTTGCCAGTGCTTGTCCCGAGGGCCTTGGCACAAGGCTGCTGCACACCTGCCTGACACAAGAAATTCATCCTGAGGCCGCAGCTGTCGTGCACCTGCGCCGTATGCAACATGGTTCGCTCTCAAAACCGGGGCACACCGCCATTGTCCGGATGCGCAATTTGCTGACGCTTTCTGCAACCGTGCTACGCCGAAACTCTTCAGCGGATCTTTGCGATTCTCCGGCCTGGGATGTCGACAGTGTGATTTTCCCACCCTCCCTCCCCTTCGACCCGCCACGTGCTAGAAACACCAGGAATGGTCAAGTGCATCGAGTTGTGCTGCAAGAGGGAGGCTGTCAACACCAATGTGCGGGCCAGCCACTTGTGTGAGAGAGGGTCCGACCAAAGGATGTTGTACACCTTGGATGGGCCGGACGTGCCTCATACAAAGCCCATGCCACGCATTTGCACTGCGCAAGTTGCTTCTCCCTGAACAACCCTGCAAATCCTGAAAGCGCGCAATAATCCAAGAAACCAGCTACAGGACATTCTGCGCAAATCCATGTTTGTGGTTTTGTGTTTGGCCATGACTTCCCTTTGAACTTCCTGTAGCTGTTATGAACTAACATTCGGCCTTGCCACAACGCCATCAAGAGCATAGTGGAGCTCTTTGGACACCAGTGGTCGCTCCACCATCGTCAAATCCCCCAATGACCAATCCTCGCAGAGCTAGGCCATGGCGGCAGCACAATGTGAAGGACCAGAACCACATACTATGAGCTTCATTGCGAACAGAAAGCATCAAAACATCGCAGTGATTCGCATGAAGCACGAGACTTGGCAAAAAACAAACAAGCCGCACCCTGGCCCGACTCCTAGAACCTGAAATGCTCAAATCCGAGTCCGGCACGCCAGGGCCCAGCCCACCATGAAGCACCAAGACTTTCTGCTCAATGCGGGCAGCCAGCGGGAGCCTAGCTCGATGCTGAGCTCGGATTCATTTCCAGCCGACTGTTGCGCGGCAATAGTTGCATGCAAGTGGTCAAAGGATAGTATCAAACCAGGAACCCCCCATGTTTGATTTCTTGTTGGTGTTCGCCTGGAACCATCCAAAATGAGGTGCCTATTTTACTAAGCGTTGCCAAAACAAATGCGCTAGGTGCGCTGGCTGAGGTGAAGGCCATTCGAAAAAGGACTGGAAGCCTTCGAAAATTCTCTTGCCCTCGTCCATTCCGAGCGCATCTGTGCCTGAGACGTGCGGATTCTGAAAGCTTCCTCGCCCTGCTTGATCTAAGTCTGCGGCAAGCGCGGTCGAAGCCCATGCTACCTGCAAGGCGCAGGCCATGCAAGCTGGTCCAAACATGAAGCTCAGCAAAAAACCGACGCTTGTGCACGACACCATCGTGCCTATCTTAGTGGTTCTCATGTTCTGTTGGCGATCTTCATGATTGCCCCTGTTGAGCCAAACATTCCTTGGGCGCGTAATCCTCAGCTTGCGCATCGCACCTAGCCATGGTCCTACTCCACCTGGCCATGGCGTGGGACTTCTCAGATCTACGCGCCAGATTCGTGCTCCAAGCTTCTTCAAAGAGAGAATCAGGAGCATCACTTCCATCTGATGACGGCCGCGGTCCACCCAATCGCCGTTGAACCTCATGCGTCGCGGCAATGCGGCAATCATAGCAACAGTTATCGCTGCTAAGCCGAGCTACACGTAGGACATTGGCTCGTCATCGCCTTCCTGTAGAATAAACACAAATACTTGGAAAATCGGTGCCCCCAAAAAACAATGATTTCATGCCCAAACTCTCTGAACAGTGCTCTCTTTGTGTTGCCTTTATCCGGCTTTATCCCGTCCTCTTCGTCGTCATCTGGCCTGCACAAGCAGCCGGCATTACATCCGAGTCGGTTGGTCTGCATTTCCCCATTGCCCTTTGTGCCATGCCTGCCGTAAAAGTGGAACAGCAGTAAAAGGTCTCGGAGCTGTCCATGAATGTCGCCTGAGCTGGTGAGCCAGCACCCAAAAATGTCTGCAAAGCTCTGCCGAGCTGCCGAAGACCTTTACTGGAGCAGCGACCTCCGAGACGATTGGCCTGAGTCTTCGATCCGCCCGTATCCCGCCTCATTCGTTGTCCCTCCCTCAGCAAAAGCCAGTTGGGGGCATCCCCCTCATGTGCAGCCATCCTGTGTGAGCCGAGCAGCTGCACCCTCTGCAGGTCAGTGGCTGCCCGAATCAAGGTATCGATCTGCAGGGGTCACCAAGCTAAGCTCTGACACGTTCCACCGTATCAGCGATTGCTTCCATGACAGCACAGCGTGCGCATGCCGCCTTGTTGGCATACTGGCCCTCAGCTTCCAAGTCTAGCCCAAGCGTGGCACTAGGCAACCTTAAAGCCTAAGATGCAGCCAAAATGCGACGACCTGCGTGTCGTATCCCCGGGGTGCATCGTTCCCTTCAAGAATCCATGACAGCCTCAGGCACAGCATGCCCTTCCAAATCGACGATGGGCAGCAACACTTTGGTTGCAGGAGCGACAGCAAAATCGAATACAACACACGCACGCACGCACACGCACACGCACACGCACACGCACACACGCACACACGCACGCCCACACGCCCACACGCCCACACGCCCACACGCCCACACGCCCACACGCCCACACGCCCACACGCCCACACGCCCACACGCCCACACGCCCACACGCCCACACGCCCACACGCCCACACGCCCACACGCCCACACGCCCACACGCCCACACGCCCACACACCCACACACCCACACACCCACACACCCACACACCCACACACCCACACACCCACACACCCACACACCCACACACCCACACACACACACACACCCACACACCCACACACCCACACACCCACACACCCACACACCCACACACACACACACACCCACACACACACACACCCACACACACACACACACACACACACACACACACACACACACACACACACACACACACACACACACACACACACACACACACACACACACACACACACACACACACACACACACACACACACACACACACACACACACACACACACATGCATCGCACATTTTTTTTGGACGGGGGTCTGTTCTCATAGAACCTACCTCTTACTTGCTTGGCACCCCTTTTCTAAGACGCAAGGATTGTGGGTTCTACGCTGGTCCGTTTTCCAGTCCGACTGGAACAATATTTACGGTAAGAAGAAGTGCGTCCCAATTTTCTTCTTTTTGTCCAAAACACTTGATTCTGTAGGATGCAGACCAAGATGCAAAGGATCTGACAAAAAAACACAAACAAACACACATTTTCTCCGAGGTCAACCACTCAACTTTAGACATTCAGTACGCAGCACGCGTACTACCATATATATATATATATATCATGGGCCACCGCTCGTCAGAAACAGGACTTGCGCTTGAACATCTGGGCATGCATGCCTCGGCCCAAAGGCACGAACCCACTTACGGTCAAGGGACATGCTCGGCTCATAGTCGTCGCAAACTGTGTTGCTCAGGTCCTTGAATCTGGACCTGCCGATGTGACTGTAGAGGTCAAGTAATCCCCCTAATTACCTTGAGGGGAAGGGGGGCTTAAAATTATAGTTTTCCCATATCTTCCCCATAAAAGGGATACGGGAACCACAAATGGAATTCCAGGGGTCACCCACCTCCCCCAGTTCCATTTTTGAGGGGGTGGGGATGTCAAGTAAGGCAGGCGCAAAGAGGCATGGGGCCCGAAGAACTGTTCTTCAGGCAGCTGCGCCTGGCATGGATTAAAGAACCCTTTGCTCGGGGAGCTTACATTGTGACGTGAGTGTCATGCTTCGCCTCGACCTCATCCCACGCACTTTGCCGTTTGGGACGTGCGCGAGATTGCGTGCAAGAGCTAAAGTTTCAGCGAACGCACCTCCTTCCTGAGAGCATCCGCCCACTCGCTCAAGACGGCACCTGACAGTCTCAAACAGCAAACGCCCATCATTTTCTTTCTTGCTTTCTCTTTTGCTCGCAGCCCTCTCTCTCTCTCTCGATCTTGCCTTCTGGGTGCACCAGGACCAATTCAGAATCGCAGGTTCTGATCTGCAAATCCTCAGCTCGGCTTGGCAAGCACCGCCCGGTGCACGAGCCAAGGGCTGTCCTGACTGAGCGTTACCGTGGTGCTGCTGCCGATGCGAATGGCGCCCAAAGCCTCTCCACCTTTTGAGTCGTCCTGCGCATACGGAACCGAAACACGAGCATCTCGAAAGGGGGACTTCCCACATGAGAAAGGGCGGACGGAAGGCTGGCACCGCCTGAGCCAATGCTGCCTGATTCACTGGCCTGCCTTAGATAAGCCCTCGCAGGTGTCCGTGTGCCCCGAAGCTTGCGACCAGGCATGTCTAGCCCGAGGGGAGTCGAGCCTCCTTTGCCCAAAGCATGCGCTACATGTCCCCATGGACCACGCAGATTCTACTGGAGAAAGGGTGCTGTCACCCAACTCCTTCCCCTGGCACAAGCCTCAAGCAAAGCCTCGACAGCTTTCGGGAGATCGGATAGAATCGGGCGGAATCGGCAAGAAAAAGCCTTTGAAATGCAACGCGCAACGTGCGAGCTCCCAACAGTCCTTGTGCCACTGGAGCAGGCCTCCAAGGAAAAACATGCACTAAGTTTAAGTTGACAGTTGACCGGCCATGGTTCACCAGCCTCTGGAAAGCACGAAGAAACGCCTCAGAACAGCTGGACAACATCGAAGCAGACATGGATGCAAAATAACATGTTCAGTTGTCACACCAGGCAGCCAAGTATCCTCTGTGCCGTTGACAGAACCGTTCCATGTCGCGGTTGCTTGGTCAAGAAGCCGCTCCTTGGAGTGAAAACACTGCTGCAAAGCATACCATGCATGCCTGGCGATGCTGAGGCAGCATCTTTGTTGGCTGCGAGGAGCCATGCGGACCTTCGCATGCATCCCAGTGCCAGTTCCAAGTGAGCAGCTTTCGAAACCCGCTTCACTCTAACCCCCAACCAACCCAGGTAGTAGAACCTTCTGAATGGCCCAACGGAGACTCCGTTTTGGGCGCAGAATGTGGGGCCACGGCGAGCCGGCGCCCACTCGTGGTCCAGGCAGTCAAAGCCGGCAGCCACTTCAACAGCCACAACGTCCACCAGCTGCATGCACCGCCTCACCACCTCGCAGCTCATCCGTGGTCCCACGCTCCGTACCGTTGGACGCTCATGTGGGTATGAGTCAAAATTGAACCACCAGGGGACCACAGGTTTTGGTCCATGTTTCCACTTGCCAGGGTTCCATTTGGGGTACCCATTTTTGACCCACAGCCATGTCTGCACAAGCTGAGCAGGCAGACTTGTCGTGCGAGCGCCTCACCGAGCGTGCAAAACATACAAAGGCGAATGAGGGGAACATGGCTCACCATCATTCTTTATGACCTCATTCACCTCCATGATTTTGGAATGGCAAACAGCACGATGTCACCAAGCTAAGGCACAAGAGCATCTTCCTGAACATCGCCTTAGATGCGGGCTCGTGATAAGACACATGCCCACCACTGTCCGACGAGACCAAGACGACTTGCCCGCCCACCTATCGCTTGGTTTGCGAGGGCGCAGTTTTCGATTCCTTGCGTTCCTTTTTGAAAGAGTAGTGGCGCATGAGCTTCTTGCTGCTTGCTAGGCAATAGTTCCTGCTTGCCCGTTGCTGGCCGGTTGTCTTGAACATTGAAAGGGCAGTCTTAAGTCTTCACCTGGGGGAAACACGCTTGTCACGCCAGCTTAGAGGCAATCTGGCCAATTCAAACTCAGTCCTCGGCATTTTCTACATAACGCCATAAAAGGGACCCAACATGGGGCTCCACATCACCCCCGGACCAGTTGGGACTCGGCGGGCCAAGGCAATCCCAACAGTACAATATGCTCAACCCATCGATTTAACGACTCAGGGCAAAGCTGCGACTGCCCGCAGCTTGCGGATGTGTCAAATTCCCGGCTACTACATTCTCATGCGAAACGCGCACCGCGGCGCTAATAAACTTGCTCTGTTCATGCTCTAGCCAAGCAGCTTCTTTCAGATCTTTCTGCGATGACTGGCAAGTGATATGTATCCACATTCATCGCTGCGTCGCTGAAAATCTAAGCCACGGCGAGTAAACCATGCATGCTTGTCAAAGTCTTCAACCAAACCATGAAAATTGAGCCCCTTGCCGCGTATCTGCAATCTTCGCCAACTCCCAGGCCCCTGCATGCATGAGGCTTTGCATGCTTCCCTGGATGCATGCCTCATTTGCTGCTTTCAACACGGGACTCACTCCTGTCTTTTGGGGCCTTTTGACTCATGGCGATTCATATTTCGACAACAGGCGTGCCCATCATGCTTCAACAGCATCAGCATCTACTCCGACGAGTATAATCCTGATCAGAGCGCCTATAGTAGGTAAGCTTTCACTGAGCGGGCAGCCGGCTTGCTGATGCTCACTAGCCAAATGAGTAGCCCCAGCCTCTTGTGCTGGTGCCTTCGCATGTGGCCGTCACCAGGCGACACAATGTCATAGGTGGTGCTGATAGCGACACCTTGCGCATGCTCAAGGCCATGCTACTCATGCGATTGGTTGGGATTTCGCAGCCATGTCACTCCTTTGGCGTTCTCGTGCATACTCCTTGAAGATAGATCGCAATGTTTTCTGCCTCGGACTTTGCTTGGCGAATCTGCACAGCCATGCTCACGGGTATGCACGTCACCAATTTCAAATAAGTGGCGAATCCTTTGACCGGTCAATGAGACAATTGTCGTGCATCCCGCAGTCAAAACATACGTCGTAGCTGCACCGGCGGCACATGTACCTCGAGCAAGCCCATGACATTAGTTCATTCGACGGCTGGGAACAAGTCTAGCTGCGATTGCTGTGCGTCCAAGTCTCCGCCTGGCAGATCTAGGAATAACTTCATGACACACCTGCGCGGCAACACCGGTCTTGCCGAGGTCAGGCTCCCTCAATTAAATCCCCACTGCCAGGGCAACGAGCTAAACCAGGGTTTGGACAGCAATCTTTAGGAAGGATCCATAGAGGTGCTCAACATTCTGGCGGAGGGGCTGATCGCCCCGATGCACCCCAAGGATCCCCAAGGCGTCAAAGGGGCCTTTGCCATGCCATCGTCTGCAGCCGAGCCGCTGTGCAGCGATGCTTTCGCGCACAAGGAAGATGAGTCAGGTGAAGCCCGTGCCCCCGGGAGCATTTCATGAGTTCAGCCTGCGATCATTCTTGGTGCTTTCTGCGAATTCCGCGAAAACGAAAAAGAAGGCATGCCCTCGCAAAACAGGGGAATGGGTCATCTTGACACCCCCTTGACATAACATTGCGATTTGTGAGTTGACAAACGGGTTCGTGCATCGATGCACTGGCACTGCCGAGTTGCGTGGCCACTCTCACAGCAGCTGGCTGCATGCGTCACCGTGAGGCTATCACACAACCCTGGCCCATTGCAGCTAATCCTGCGAGCCTGTAAAGCTGCGAGACATGAATGGGTGAGGTTCGCGAGCTAGCAGGCTGGCATCGCGGCTGCTTCGCTTTTACACATGAAACTGTGACCGCCCATATCCGCCCATGTTGGGCGTTGCAGGGAGTGCACCCGCTAGAGCTCTTGACCTGCACGGTGGGCTGCATGCAACCTTAACTGCACCACATTCGCCAAATCACGCAGAAACGCAGAGATTCTTTGTGCGACAAGCCGCCAGATGTTGGCAGCCCATTTCTCCCCTTTGCTCGGGCAGCCTCCGTGAATGCTGGACCAGTAGAAGCGTCCAACATGACCTGCACTGCCAAAATTCAACTGCATCATATTTTCTTGAGCTTGCCGCACTTGCAAACGAGTAAAGTGTGCTGAAATAAGCAACTGGCTCTGATTGGCATTGGCGCAAACATACCCACAGCAGACCCCCACAAATCTCCGCCAGAGCCTTCGTTCGTCACTGCCATGTTGTACCAAAACACCGCTGAGCCCGCTCGAGGCTTCACAACCTGGGCAAAGAAAAAAGGCTGGCGGGCGCTCTCCCTGCTGCCGGATGGCACTCTCTAGAGCCAGGTGGCCAGGGACGAGGCAAAGGGAGATGATCCATCAAATCCAGGGCAGCTGCGCACGGACTGGCACTTCGACTCGATCGGCCCCCACACGTCTTCCTCCGAACAGCATGGCGGTCAATCTGCAGCAAGCTACCATGTATCAGTTTTCACGAGGACATAACTGTGCGTCTGTCTGTCTTTGTGTCTACCATCTCCTTCTGTGTCTCTGTCTGCCTCAACACAGTCGAGCTGCAAATGCAACATCGCGGGACACAACACAAGCTGGCACACACACACACACACACACACACACACACACACACACACACACACACACACACACACACACACACACACACACACACACACACACACACACACACACACACACACACACACACACACACACACACACACACACACACACACACACACACACACACACACACACACACACAACACACACACACACACACACACACACACACACACACACACACACACACACACACACACACACACACACACACACACACACACACACACACACATGAAACCACGCGCACTCACTATCAAGTATCAAGATTCTCCAGCAGCGAAGCGATCTTCGGGGTACGTCCCGTTCAAGTCTGTCCCGAAGAACACAGTCTCACCACCATCCACGTCATTGAGAAAGAAGAAGAGCGTCAAAAAGCGCGGGAAGTCAGGATTGTCTGGTGCCTGTGGGCCGTAGCGAGGCCTACCTTTAAAGTTGCCGAGTCTGACCCATCTGAGCTGCCAGGTTGCGGTGTCGTGGTGGCAAGAGTAGTGGCCGCCTTCAGGATAGAGAAGAACTTGCATACTCTCCGCCGTTCTGCGCACCAAACTCTTGGACAAGCCAGTCACCTCCAGTCTCACCGTGGCTCAGCTGCAAATAACACTGGCCGACTGGCCCTGGGCTGGCATTGCAACAGGAAAGCAAAACAGGAATCTAGGCCATCGGCAGCGGCTACCTTGTCTAACACGGGCTGCAAGAAGGCGTGGTCTGAATACCTGTAACCGCTGATCAGGCTGCCTCGAATGTGTTTTCTCCTCCATGGAGTTATGCAGCCTTTGAAGCAAGGCGGTTTTGGACACCGTCGCAAACCACAAGGATTTGCAACCACTGGTTGGTGCCTGTTCTTTAGTTTAGTTTCGCACGTCTCTCTGAATTGCACGCACGCACGGCATTGGCTTGCCCCGAGGTCGATGATTGTGCGATTGCAGCAAGGTTGCTCCACAAATGTCTGATAAGAATGCCGCGCAAACCTTTGCTCGACATCTGCATGACGGCTGGCTCAAAAGCGTGCAATGAGGTGCAAGAGCAGCCATGGGGACAGGGATAAAAGACTCATGAGGTGGAGACTGACTGCATCAAAGGAACCAATCAGGATGATGCTTCTTTGCAGCTCTGAAGAACTTGACCCAGTCTGTCGATATAAACTCTTTCTGGCTCACCTGCGTGGATTCGCCAAGGCGACAGGCAAAACCCCCAACAGCTGGCAAATGCAAGGCCAACCCAACCATGGCTTCAGCTCTCTGCTATGCTCGGTGCCTGTCTCCTGTCACCAGCGGCTGCCGTGGCTTTGGGCAAACTGAGGCAACTTGTGCTAAGAGAGCTGGGACATGGCGAACGCGCAACGCACTACAAATACAAAGGGGGTGCTTGGCCGAGAGCCGAACTAGGCGGATAGAAAATCCCAAGTGAAGTCCACCAGGTCCGCCGCCTTTGCTATGGGCAGAGCAATGGCCTTCCGCAGCTGGCTTAATGAGAATGCCTCCTTGAAGAATTGGGCGAGCTCATCACCATCAAGAGATTGATCCCTGTCTACCTGCAAGCGCATGCCATGTTCTCAGCCTTGCCAAACAGTACTCGGAATCCGCTCTTACACACGCAGACTCAGACAACACTTCTCCGCTGCTGTCATGCTGTCAAGTCTCGTCCACGTCTCTGAAGTGACGGGCTGCACGCTTCTTCGTCACTCGCTGGTATTCTCTGGCAACCAAACCTGGCCACGCTATGCCACGCTTCACCCACATAATATGCCCTGGTCAAAGTTTGTTGTATGGGGGAACGATGGCCCTTGTGTTGAAATCAAAGTTAGTACCCCGAGATCATCGGGATCTTCCTAGCCTGTTCCCCGAGCAAACATCAAGCCGGGGGCGCTCTTCATCATCGCGGGGCGGGGCGCCGCTGAACGGATGGCACTGCACTCCTCGCGGTCCAATCTATGTTGGTGCTCGTTTCAGATACCTAGTTCAACACGGCAGGCAGTGTTGCAGCAGGGGTCGGCACACTTCGCTGCTTCACTTGGGAGGGCACAAACGCATCGCAAACGGAGTGGAGAAAGGCTGAGCTACTCGGAGTCTCAATGCTCGCTGTCCTCTTCAGACAGCAGGTCTTGCACATAGAAGACAGGTAGCCCGGTGCCTCACTGCAAACTACGGCTCATGCTCCTGCTCGCCCCCCCCCCCGCCCCCTCCCCCCGTTGGCTGGATCCTCAGAGTGGATTTGAGGACGAGCAGAACAAGATTTTTTGTAGCAAGGTTAAATACGCCTACTCCTTATAGCCTGAGAAGGCTGCCAGAACTGCGTGTAATTTAGCCCCTTTCTTGGATCCAATCCGAAAACCCTTGGGGTTGGGGAACAAGGCACAGATGTCAACCGACAAACTCTCCGCACTTTGGATGAAACGACTTAACCAAAGCAGCAGCTTGAAGCTTCCTGCGGCGCAGCGGCTGAAATTGCTGAGCGTCTCAACCTCAACGTGTTGGCCATCTGCCAGCTGGACCGGCACCCGATATCCAATGTGGAAAGGATCTCGCACCGCATACTCGCAGCTAGCAAGCGCCTCAGAGCTGGAGCATAGCTAGAGCCTCTCTGCACGCTGGGATCTTGAGCAAAGCCCCCTGCCCAACACGAAGTCAGGAGAAGGATTTGCCGTACCATCCATCCTGCGCCCTGTGGCCTTGAGCTTGGAATACTTCTACACTGAACGTTGTTGAAAAGCCCTGGCGGTCAGTGCTTCCCATCATAGCGCTATTGGTAGGTTTGCTGCAAAGAGAAGCAAACTTTGGAAGTAGGTGCTGTTGTGTAAGTGACTTGCCAAACATGCTGCTGCATTAGGTGTCAATGAGCCCATGCGAATCTAGATAATCTAGTGCGTACGGCTTCGAACCGTCATCCTTGCGTCGGCAAAAACAGTCTTGCACGTCATGATGCCCCAAATGTATCCAAATCTGGCACGGCAGGGCAAGCCCTCCGCACAGTTCGAGCCTTTTCTCGGAAGCGCTGCGTTTAGCAATGTGTTGGGACCCTGGCTTGTGGGCACCCGGCACTCTGGACTCAATGCGTCCGCTTGAGCTCGGACGCATGGAGCTCGTAGACCGAATCTTGAAGCCGATGGTCAATGCCACGGTTTGCCATCGCCACCATTTCTGAGGACGACCAGTGAGTTGTGCCTCGCTCTGCTTCGCGGCTTCGCGTCACTCTGGCCAGTTCTGGAATTCAGTTCAGCGCGATGTTACAGGGTCGCATCGAAGGTCATGTGGCAGGTGGGGCAATAGGCTAGTACAGAGTTCATTTGAGTCTCACCTTGAAAGGAGCACAGAGGGAAAACATTCACACACGCACAACATGCGCAAATGAATGACCGGGCCACGCTCCATGGTGGCATACTTGCTCAAATCCCCAACGCGATGTCCATACCTAGAGAGCCGCAAGGAAAAAACAAGCCTGTTACACACCTTCCAAGAAAGAAGCGCTTGCCTCACAGGATTTCGGCAACCAGCGGGACAGGACAGCTCATCGGATACCTTGGTGATGTTGACTTCCGCATTGCCATGTCAGCTCCCTGCGCTTCAAATGCGGCATCATGTTGCATGCCACGGCGCATGTGCAAATCGCGAAACAAGAGTCTTGACCTTTGTCGGGGCGGCGTTGCAAAATAACCAAGATGCAACAACTTTGCGTTGGGACGCACAAAGAAGTACACTTTTGAACACATTCATTATGCTGATCTGCTGGCTGAGCTGCGTCTGACGGAGGTGAAGTATCGGACTGTGCTTGCGAAGTATCAGCAAGAAGCTTATCCACCACATCCTGCAGTCACATCGCTTGGCACACAGTGTGCAATAACCCCCTAACCACGCAAACATTGTGGGAAACTCAGCTCCTAAGGGGGTAAAAGGTTAGAGAGCTCCGCTAACTTTCGTGAATAGCAGCGGCCTTGACGCCTTGACCGTCCACGCCCATGGGACGGAACACGTCGCAAATCGCCTGGCATCAACATGCTAGCTGCGCAACCTGCGCAACTAACTAAGCCAGCGCTCCTCTGAAGTCGAACTTCGCATGCGAGCCAAACCTCCATTCAGCTTGCAAGCCTTCCGCTCTGTTTCAAGCCGGTCGAAGCTGAGCAGCAGCTTCGTGCTTCGTGCCGCGGTCGGATAGCCAACTCTGCCAGTAGCGCAGGTTGCCAGGACTCGCTTCCCGGCACGCCTGGTTTTATCAAGTGCAGCTGCCAAACAGTGAAGGTGCTGAGTGGGGGTCCTTCCAACGTGACTGCGAGGCATTGTTTCAGCTTCGTGCTGTCTCTGCCTGGCATGGCGCCACACGTCTTGTGCGGAAAATGACGTGCTCTCTTGTTTTTATCCCGGTTGCATGCTAAGTGGCATGGCTGCTTCTGTCCTGGCAGCGTGAATGCATACTACATCATGCCTGGGATTTCTTTGCGCTTGACTCTGATAAGTCAAGCTCATAGCGTGGGCCGAACATGGCCAAACGACAGCCTCGTGGCCGGCACGAAACAAAGGATTTACGAGATTTAGAATACAATCTGAATGATCAACACTGACGGGACCACGACGATCATCACCAAACATAACAAGATTGCCCAGCATGACGACTACCATCATGATCCAAACATCCGGAGAAGAAAACAACAACTCGAAAGCACAACAATTGGCGCGACGCATGCCAACGCGCTTCTTGAAATCAGAGGCACTTTAAACAACTCAGTGTTGTTTGTCATTGTTCTGTATCCGCCGGGTGCTGTAGTGCTCCATTTCGTAGCCTATCGTTATCTGCAATGCTAGGGTCTGCGATTGAACCTTGATAGCTCGTTTGTTTGTGTTGTTTGTTGGGAGCGGCCCGCCATGGGGCCTGTGTTTTGGAATTCAGCCTTTTTACACCTTGGCATGCACGGATGCACCTTTACTTGCGCATGCGGGTTTCGGAGCTTTTTCACCTACTGCAAGCATCTGTCCTCTCCCCCGCTTTCTGGCATTCCCTGAGTGAACTCCCTGAGCATTCCTGCAACTAGTGACTTTCTAGAAATGATGTTCCTCATATTACCCCAGTACCTTTGGTATTTTCTTAGTATACGGCCCCCTCAATATTCCACGGTATTTTTTGGTAATTGCCTGGTATTCTCCTAGCAATCTGTATTCCACCAGTAGTCTCTCAGATTCTCAGAAAATTCCCGTGGTATTCTCTTGGTATACCCTCTAGTATCACCCCAGTGTCCCCCTAGCAACTATTCCCAAGTACTTCTTCAGTACTCCCCTACTTTTTGCCGAGTAGTCCCTTTGTGCTTCCCTAGTACTCCCTGTATATACCCGTAGCATTCCCCTTGTTATTCCCCCCCGCAAATTGCCTCAGCATCTTCTCTGTATCCTCCTAGCATTCCCATGTTTTTTCTTTATATATAAATATATATATATATATATATGTATCTATATTTGCTACACCCTTAGCATTATCTCAGTGCTCAAGTGTTCCGCTTCTTTCGGTGTACCCTCTAGTATTTCCTCAGTGTTCCCCTAGCTTCCCTTAACTTCCAGTAGTCCCTCAGTATTGTGTTGCATTTTTCATACTGTTCACTAGCGTTCCCTTAACATTCCCGAAAGTACCCCGAACAGTCCCCTATTATTTTGGCATTCTCTTACACCTAGGAATTGCATTCCTTTTGGTATTCCCCTCATAGTCCCTATTCCTTTAGAATTCTCTTACCCCTAGATTGAAATCCCCTAATGCCCCACTAATATTGTTCAGTATTCCTTGGCATGCCTTGTTGTACCCCGAGCACTCCCCTTTGTGCTTCCCCATCTGCGCTTCAGTGTCTATTCAATAGACACTGAGGGGATGAGAAAAACCAGTGGAACACAACAGGGCGGGAACGTAAACAACTGAGGGAATATCAGGATACTTGGGAAGTATCGTGCTAAAGACATGCTAAGGGAACACTGCGCAACATACTTGGGGAATATTAGGAAATTTGCGGAACACTGGTGCAAAGAACGCTGAAAGAATATCGGAAGGATGGGAAAGTATAAAAATAACATCTAGATCCTTGCGTCTGCATGGCGCTCAGGTTGCGATCGACACCACGTTCGTCAGCCCAATCGCGAGGGCCGGCTAGCCACGAGGCCGCAGTGCCAGAGAAGCCAGGGATTGCTGGAGCCAGCGTAAACGGGAGGCGACCTACCCTCAGCGTGGCGGTGCCGCCTTGTCGTTTTCGGCGTCGAGGTTGGTGGCAGGTGGAACGGTGAGATTCGGGACTAGCCCGTGCCAAAGCGATGGAGCGGCCTCAGCGGCGGCGGGCCTCGGCTGCGCAGGCCTTCCACCAGCGCTGGTCCCGCTTGCTGCCACCTGGGTGGCACCGCGCCGCCCTGCCCGAGGACGCCTCGGTGCGGCTGAGGAAGTCAGGCGGCTGCCACTGTGGGCAGGCTGAGGATGCTCGTCCGCTCCCGTCTTTGGAAGCGCTTCACCCTGCCTGCACGGGAAAAGGCGCGGCAAAAAGAAGAAGGAGGAACTCTCAGGGAGTAGTAAGGGACTAAGAGAATACTGAAGGAACACGGAAGGAATACTCGCAAAACGACACGGGGGCGACACGGGGTGACACGCTCAAACTGTCGTTTTGGGGGGGGACATGGGGTGACACGGGGGTGAGACGGGGGTGACACGCAGGTGACGCGGAATGACAGGGGTGACACGCTGTGAGGTGCTTGCTGCATTTGCTGCCACCCCTTGGTTGCTGCCATGTACTTAGAGTATGGGCATCCCGAAAATTAAAAAGACATGTTTCTAACTACCTCCGTCTCCTCGCCCCACCTCCCTCCAACTTCAAGGGCCAGCACCGTCAAGCGACACCGCCGGGCTTGCTGGAACTCCGGGTGGTTTAACTGATGCTTGTGCTCGGCCGCGGCCCTCAAGGCCCTAGGTCGACGCGAGGCAGGCTGCTCCCGTCGCGACTAAGCGGGCTGACGAGCGCCACATCAACCGCAACCTGCACGCCTCCAAAGGCCGGGAGCCCATTCGCGACGACCTCGAGCCGGCGCCCGTCGGTCAATGGCAGCCCGCGGAGGAAGACGTTGGTCGCGACCCGAGCGCCCGCCTCCCGGCAAACGCGAGCCGCAGCGCGCTCCAGGGGGCAAGCGCGACGGACCAGCACGCGGCTGTGGGGAAAGCTGCCCGGTAGTCTCCGAGCTCTTCCAGGGCGCCACCGCACCGGCAGGCTCTGGCTTCAAGCGGCAGCGGGCGGCGCGCCGGAGGACGACCAAGCGCTGCGGGCCAGGCTGCCCCAGCTCGGGGTACCGCGTCAGCGCGGCGCCATCGCGAGCTCCGTAGACGACCAAGTCAAGCCGGCGACGGTCGTCGGGTGACACCCCAGGCGCAGTGGTCCGGGACAGCCACTGTTGTGGCACGACGCGGCCCTCTGGGCCGACAGCCTCGCGCGCGACTCGCGCCCACGCTTGCTCAACGGCCAGGGCGCGACGGGCAAGCAAGCCGGAACGAGGGCAGGAGACCCGATGGTCGCCCAACACATCGGCCTCGCGTCCGCAGCCCGTCTGGCCATCGCCGCCACAACGTCCCTGCGTCAGGGGCAGTGGCAACCTCAAGCGTCTGCGCAAAGCGAGGCGCATGTGTTCAGGCGAAAGCGTCGTGCCCGGATCGCACGGGGCTGCTGCAAGCCATGCGCCTGCCTGC